CACAATTCTAATTTCCGAGACGCTATGGGTCAGTACCTGTCACTAGGGGAAAAACGCCTGCCAGTTTACGGTGACGCCGTCAGGAGTGGAGTGAGAGAGTCTCCATCCGGCCTTTATACGAGTCGTGCTATCGTCGGTGACACCACAAAGAGTAAGCTATTGTGGGGAGAAAAGCGCCGGGAAAGCATCCGGAAGACGTATTTGCATGACTCTTGAGGGTGGGTTCGTGCAACTATTTTCTTGTTATTTTTTCTTTTTTTTTTTTTTTTTTTTTTTTTTTTCCTTTGCCTGAAGCAGAAATGGCGTGGCTGGGGACGGGCAGATCGAGTCTGGATCTGGGCTGAGTTCATCGTCTGAGCGCTGTGTAATCTTGCTGATATATGCAGGGGTGATTCATGCGATCAAAGCAGTAAAAGGGCTTTTTTACCTAGAAATGCCGTATATAGTATTCGGTGGTGTGCTGTAGTAGTAGTATATACATACTTGCTGGAGGATAGATGCGTATTGGTATGTAATCCGGTGGTATTTCCTTGACGCGCATGCAGGAACACCCGCCATGGCCAATAAGAGACAACTGCCAGCCACACTTTCGACGAATCCCAGCCTCCCTCATTCCATGGTACTCCACTATTCTGCTTCACTCACCAATAAAAGCACTGTAAATAGCATAACATACGGTACTAGCGCTATCGAGGCTTATCGCGCGTATCGATAGACACCCTTCGTCATCCCTCTCTCTCAGCCATTCACTCACTCGTTCTTCTTTCTTTGCATCTGCCACTTGCTTCTTATTTTCTTTCCTTCTCTTCCAATTTGTCGCTTGTTTCCATCCGGACCATTTGTCGTTCGTCGACTGTCTGCATTGGTCTTCCACTCGTTTCTACTACTCCATACGACTCGTCTATACTCCATGACTGAGACCTGAGGTATTTCTTCTAGTGGGACGATCTTTTTGGATTGTGTTGATTTCGGTTTCCTAGGATACTGGACGTCTATTCATTGTTTCTGTCTAGGAAGCACATTGTCGGAAAGAAATCCCATCATGGCTTCCAAACAACTCCCCCGGATGTCCATGGTCAACCATGCCGCGGGCATCTTCGCTGATATGTCCGTTGATGGACCGTCAATTGGGACGCTCGTGGCTATTATTGATCGTGCCAAGAACCTGCCTAATAGAAAGACTATGGGCAAACAAAATCCTTACTGTGCGGCTCGCTTGGGAAAAGAGGCCAAGAAGACGGAGACTGACTTGCGCGGTGGTCAAACTCCTAGATGGTAACTACTCAATCGATGGTTGTGTAATAGAGGATGCTGACAGGTACAGGGACTATGAACTTCGCTTTACTGTACATGAATCGCCCGACTACTACAGACTCAAGGTGTCCGTTTTCAATGACGATAAGAAAACCGATATGATCGGAGAAACTTGGGTTGATCTCAGGGACCTGATTATCCCTGGTGGTGGTCAAAGCGACAATTGGCATCCACTACAGTATCGCGGGAGATATGCCGGCGAGGTTCGTATCGAAATGACGTTCTATGATACGCGTGTGCAGGATGAAGCCGTGATCGAACGACGAAGCCATGCTGCAGGAAGGATACAGGCCAGAACCAGCGGCTCAACATCCAGTTCTTCCACCGTGTCGGGGCCCCGGCAACCGAAAGACATTAGGCGACGTCCATTACCGACCGATCCCAATAACCCAACTCATGTACGACCACCGCCCCCGGAGAAATTACATACAGCCCCGGCTCCGTCACAGCTCCCGTCTGTTAGAGCTCCTTACCCTGAACAGCAACAGCAGCAATACGGTCATCACCATACTTACTCGATGCCGGCCCATAATGGTAGCAGTGAGCATTTGCGCCAACCCTCGAGGCATTCTATGATTATGCCAACCGAATACGATGTGCCGACACATGCTCCTACAGGCCCGCGGCCAGCGAGAGGACATGAAAGCCCGGATGATTTTCAGAGACAGTTGAGCCAACCTGCTCTACCTGCGAAACTCCCTCCTGCGATCCATCAACCAGCTCCCGTTCATCCTCCGGTGACTTATCCGCAAGCCACGCCATCTTCCAGATACGACCCGGTAGAGCAGCAGTACTCGTACCGTGAACCTCCGCCTGAGTCTTATGCTTTGCAAGCGCGCTCTAACCATGGACGACCGCATTCTTCATATGATGGGATTCCACCTCCCATGGACTATCGCGTATCGAGACAAGACCTGTACCAAAACAGCCAAGAGCAACTGCCACCTGCAGAACCTGTTGAACCGCGAAGGAACTCCCATGTATACGAAACGCGCCCGCGCCAACCAAGCACTCAGGACTATCCATTTTCATCGTCTGAACGATTCCTTCACGGCGATGAACCGGTTTCTTATGAGCCAGCTGGTAACTATGCTCTGCGGCATTCGAGGAGTATGCCAGGCGAACCACCGCACGAGTACGTGTCAGCGCCACTGGCGGAGCCGGGACCGGGACCGGGACCGGAACAAGACCGTCTCTATTATCATCAGCACAGCAACTCCATCGCCAGCAATCATAGCTCATTGCGCAATTCAATGAGCCGCGGTGAGCCTCAGATACAATATTCCAGGATGCAGCCCAAGGTGGAAGATGAGGAAGACGAAGGCCCCCCACCTCCTCCGCCGGTGCATCGATCAGGCCTGGGGCAGTCGAGTCAGCAGTTGGTGCCTTCACCAAGGACATCCTACAGAGCCTACTCTCCAGAGTACGCATCTTCCCCAAGTGCTTCAGATGATGTAAACCTTCCATCCCAGCCTTCTCACTACGTACCAGACAACGTTCGATTGCAGGACCTCCCTCCCCATACAACCGCGTCGTCTATGCCCCCCAGCCTGGTCGCCGGTTTTGATCCTGGGATTGCAGACGCAGAGACAGACCGTATGTACCATGAGCGAAAGGAGAGCAAGAGGCGCAGCGTCCTATTTGAAGAGGACGGTATGGTTGCTCAACCGCCTGCTTCTCAACTACCCGTTTCGCAGCCACCTGTGTCTATGCCTCCAGAGCCGACGCCTGTTATGCCTCCGTATCCTGTTGATCCGCCCGCGAAGCCCGTGTCGCAACCTGCATCCCAACCCGCGGAAGACCGAGGATCGATGAGCGGCGCTTTGGTCAGGAGCAGAGGGGGCTCAGCAGCCTCTGACTCTCGCGTCATTCCACGGCGCAAATCCGTTAGTCCACAGCCACCCCCGGTTGAAGCGCGTTCATCGGGAACGATACCCTTCTCGCCGGACTCATACGACGCCCTAAATCCCAATGCATCACGATCTGCTCTGATTGCGGATCCCACTCGCGAGTATGATTCGCCAACTCAGGCAATGGAGGCCGCGCGACGGAGCGAGGCAGAGGCGAAACGGGATCCCGGGCCTATTATCGACGATAACGGACGCGAGATCGATCCCTCCGACCACCTGCCGACTGATACATGGGCACCTGAACCAGAGAAAAAGAACCGAAAGCCCGAGCTGGTTGTTCGCTTCAAGAACCCGCCCGCTCAGAGTCCGCCTCCGGCCAGGGAGTCCCGACCCCTTCGTGTGACGTTCAAGCCATCAGCCGATCGAGAACGGACGTACTCGCCGGATAAGACCCTGCCACGTCCCAACAGCTCATACCAGCGGGGCTCCATGGCAGTCGAGCGAACATCCCCGCGAATGGACTTGGTCCGTGGACGTGACGCGTACACAGACTACAACCGCGGGAGGGACTACAGCCGGTCCCCTGGCATGGACTCTTACTCGTCCTCGCGAAAATCCGTCTCACCATCCCCTGGGTCTCACACGTCAAGCCTGTACGAACCTGCGAGCACGGGACCACCTATCCCCGCTAAAGTCCCTATCGCACAACCCATGAACCAAAGCTACCCGATAATACCCGCCGGTACCAACTACAACCATGGCAGTGGCAACGAAGGCAGAGGCATGGACGCACTGAGCCGGGAACTCAACACGATCGACATCGGGTCTGTGGGCTACAACACGAACCGTGCGGTTCGGAAATACGTCCCGCGAGTGACTACTGGTTATGCAGTTTGATGTTTATGAACGCGACGCCTGTATATTTTATTGCATTGTTTGACGCCTGATGAATTGCATATGGATGGACATGAGATTGTACTTGATATGGGAGGGACACGACAGCATGATTAAAAGGTATCATCTGCATGGTTGGAGTTTTTGCTTAATTATTGTACACGTACACGCATAGCTACTGTATTCAAGTCATTGAACATGAAAATATTCCATTATCTCTTCCTTTGTATACTCTGTACACCAATGTCTCGCTCTCGTTCTTTCGCTTTAGACTGGTAAAAAAACACCGTCTCCTGCCCATACCAATTCAATAGGGTTATCCGACTCAAATCTTAGACACGCCTACCACGATCCTACTAGCTTGATTTCTGTTTATTCTTCACTTGCCTCCCGTACTCTCTCTATGGAAATGAAACACTTATTCCAGCGTCTCTTCTATCTCTTCTACAGACATCCCAAAGCAATGAACGACACAAGAGACAACATTCATTGTCAACTCATCCTTATGCTAAATCCCAATTGTCCCAGACAGAGACACAGACAATGCTTCTATAAGCGCTACAATGCCAGAATGGTATAATGCCAATTTCCACAAAGATCCAACGGTATCTCCCATGGTCCCATCTCAATGAATAAGGCAATTCCCTTCCAGCGGTTACGGCGGCATGGTATTTCCCGTTGGAACAGTGAATGGCACTTACCGTTGGAATGGCGAATCAATGGCCCGCCTCTTTGCACCTTTAGGGTGTTTGTTTGGGTATAAATATGGGATTTGGTGTGTCTGTCGTTCTCCCATCTTCTTACTTTGCTCAGTGGCCATCGTTCGTTTTTCGCTTTGCATCGTCCTTGCTTGCGTCTTATATCTGTTATCTGGGGTTTTTTGCTTGGGTTATACGTCCAAACCAAGCATACGACCAACCAAGCCACCCAAGCCAAGTCAAGATGTCCAGCATGGCGCCTATCAGCTACAGCTTCAACCGCTACCCCAACAACAACGGCAACAGCAACAGCACCAGCAACAACAACAACAACAACAACAACAACAACAACAACAACCGCGCCCCTGAACTCTCAGAGACCAACGAAGACGAACCAGCCTGCGAATTCACAAACCCCTGCACCACAACCTCCTCCCCCACCAAAAATCCCACCTTCAAAAACGGTACCGGCAAACACCCCCGAAAAGTAATCTCGCACATCTTCGGGCGCAACAAAGTCGTCACAAAGCTCGTCCCCGTTTCCATATGGGTGCACTACTGCCGCAAACACTACCAGCGCGCGCGCTACAGGTCTACCCAGTGGCCATTTACGCAGGCGGAGTTGTTGCTGGATTCGCTTGGAAGGATGGAGAGGTGGGGTGGGGTGAAGGGGTTTGAGATGGTGTTGAGGAGGAGGGAGGTTGAGAGGGTTGATGGTGTTGATTATGGGAGTGGAGGGGGGTGTGTTGGGACTAGGAAGAGTGCGAGGGTTAGTGCTGCGAAAGATCAGGAACAGGATGGTGGAGAGGATAACGACGGCGACGACACTGTGTCGGCGTCTGGATCTTCCAACGACCACGACCACGACGAAGATAATCCCTCCTCCTCCGACCATAGCCCCCGCCGCCGCAGTACCTCTTCCAAAACCAAGAACAAAGCCAAAGGCCGCCGCAAGAAACCCAACATCGAGCCCGCCCCCGTCCCCGACTGGTTGCGTCAAGAAGTCGGCCCCAACAAATCCTTCGAAGACATCCGTGGCATCATCAGCCGCTTGTTGGAGTACTTGGCTGTTCTGCGGGCGGAGGGGAGGAAGGAGAAGATACGGTTCCCGGATATTGAGATTCTGCCGGAGTTTCAGGGGTGGGTGTTTGAGATGGAGAGGGTGAGGGTGAGGGAGAGGGAGAAGAGGGCTAGGGATGCTGCTGCTGGTGGACGGAAGGGGAAGAAGGGTGCGAAGAGGGTTAGTGGACGGGGTGCTGTGCAAAAGGTTTAGATTCTTTTGTTGCGTTTTTGCTTATGTTCTTTCTTGTGTCCTTTCTTATGTATTTTGGGATAGAGGTTGGAGTTAGTTAGTTTTGAGATCGATACCAGATAACAGTCTGTCATTGAATGGACATTAGCATGTATCAACATACCACCATATAACAGACATATGCTCCATAACGCCGTAATAACCCTCAACCCGCATTAAATCAAACCAAATCATAAACCCATATCAGAGATCCCCCATATTTTCCAGCCAGATACCGTCGTAAATCATTAAGAATCCGAATCAGCCGGCACATGCCAGACTCGGCATCGTCATCGCCACCATAAGATCATCAGATTACGATTACCACCATCACCAGACCAGTCGGATCAATCGGTTACCGGACAGTCAATCAAAAATGATCCGGGATCAACTCATACCCCCCCTCGGACGGCAACGTATTCGCAGCAAGAACCAACACCACCGCACAAACCAAACTCAACCCCCAGCTCACCGTGCAATAAACCCAACTCTCCCCTAACTTCCACCCAGCAAAGAACCGATCCTCGTTGTCGTACAGATATGCCTGTCCACCATTAACCACGGCTCACCAATCCAATCCAATCAACCAAGTAAAAGAGGACTCACCACAATACTAACACTAGCAGCCTGCACAACCGCCCCCAACACAATCAACAAACTAAGCACCTTCCACCCCGACTCCCGTAGTCTCTTCCCACCGGATATTATAATCAGATACGAAACCACGCTCATGCCCTCGAGCACCACGGCAAAGGACATCAGGAACCCGACCGAGCGCCACATGGAGCAGAAGTAGCGGTCTTCGCCGTGGCAGTCTTCGCCTTGAGGAAAGCTTTCGCAGGTGTCGGTTAGGGAGGAGCAGCGGTGGTGCAGGCCGTAGGAGTAGGAGTGCTAGTCGTAAACCTCGGTGTTAATAGACTGCGTATGGTGTGATGTGGTATGTATGGTGATAGGGAGGTGTACCTTGTGGTTAGAATAACTAACCCATTTCGGGACGATGATTGAAGAAATAGTTAATCCGAATGCTATACCAAATAACAAATTTTTTCACATCTCGTCAGTTTTTTAATAGTTCCAAGCTATAGGTCATAACTAGCTTAAAAGCTTAGCTTAGCGACAGAACCCACCAGCCAAGAACACAAGCAGCGTCCCCGAGTAGACAATCGTCTTGGTCAGGAATCCGGTGTAATTGCGATCTGATCCGCGGGGAATGAGATGCGAGTCCATTGTGGTGTTTTCAGATACTATTGGTTGTAAGGAGGTAAGAAGGTAGAAGAGTTGGAGAAGAGGGGAAGAACTGAAGCTGTATAAAACGTGGAGACGAGGTTACGATGACGACAGATGAGTGCCGCATGCGATACCTTCCGCCGTAGATGCAGTTAATGTACTCTGTACAGATATGGGAGTTATATACTTATCGTGGGATAATCACAGAATTAAATAGATGTTCTTTGATTTTTAAATCACGTCAAGTGTGGTATGTATGCGTGTCACGGGATCAGTCAGACCACGAATATATTATATATATATATGTACATATCATGGAGACTATACAGACATTCCATTGAATCAATCTATCACTCATAAGAAAGAAATAAACCATCCGAAACTAGTAAATCATAGCTACTACCAGTAGTAGGCAAAGAAGCGAAAAAAAAAAAAAAAAAAAAAAAAAAAAAAACCGAATAAACATAGTCTACATCATGCCAACAGCAAATCAAATGGAATCACAATAGTAATACTCTTAACACACGCGAAAAGGTAGAGTACGGCAAGCAACAAAACGCCTAACCTGCCATGCAAGACAAATAAGATAGATATCAAATCCTTTGCGCCATAAACTCACTCCGCTTGACCTTGACTTGGTTGACTCCGCTGGATCATCGCCCGGAAATCGTCATTGCTCTTCTTCGTCGTCGTTGTTCCTCCCTCGGTCGGGGGAGCAGTTTCTGTCGTTGCCGTCGTGCCATTGCCATTGCCATTGCCTTCTGTGGTTTCATTGCGCGCCTGTGTTGACGCTCCTCCGCGCTTTACTCCTAATCCACCGCGTCTTCCACTGCCGCGTCCGGGTTGTTGCGGACGTCTAACCGCACTAGGCGGAGCAAGTGATCCTGTGTTTTTCTTCTCCTTGGACAGATCCGAGTGCGTTGCACGCGTGTTTTTCCTCTCCGCAGACTGCTTGAGCATCTCCGGGACCGTTCCAACATGCAACTGACGCCCAGGCGCAATCCCCTGGCCCTCCAGTTCCAATGAAGCCTTGCCTGCAGCGTGCACATCCGCATATTCCACAATCGCACCTTGATGGTCGGGTCGTAAAATAACCTTGACCAGTTTTCCATACGGCTCCACCAGTGCGCGAATTCGTGCATCGTTAACGGTGTCGGGGACATTCATCAACCCGACAGTTCGAGCCGCACGTTCGCCAGTCGGAACTTCTGGGTCTGCTTTGCCGTTCGCTTCAACGGACGGAGATCGCGAGCCTCCAACACGGTTGACAATAGTCGTGGAACTGCGCTTCATACCTTGAGGACTGGATAGCTGCACTTGTAGTTGTCGAGAGCGGAATTCCTGTTCGTGCATCGCAAGCGCGGCATTTGCTTCGTCCTGTTTGGCTGTCAGCACTGTTACCCTTTGATACTGGTGCGGAAAGACTTACCTTCGAAGAAAACACAACATAACCAAATCCTTTGCTCCCACCATCAACCTTCCTCGGAATGCGCACCGATTCCACAGTACCATACTTCGAAAACACCTCCTTAACATCATCTTCACTAGCCTTCCAATCGATATTCGATACATGAACCTCCCGCCCCTCGTACATAGGACCATGACGCTCTTGTTTACGGCCGGGATCCGAAATCTTAGCAACGAGCTGCAGGTCCGTACCAACTTTCGATCCGTCGAGTTCCGTTGCTTTACGAGCTTGGATAGGGTCCCTAAATTGCACGTAGCAGAAGCGTCGGTGAGTATTGTACTTGAGTGATGGCCAACGAATGTCGACAATTTCGCCATGCTGTTACCCAGTCAGCAACAGCAGCTTATAGATTCAAGGGGATTCGGCTTACACCATGGAACAGATTTTGAATGTATTCCTCATTAGCGGAGGGTGGGAAGTTAGTAACATATAGCGTCGAGCCCGACCCGAGCTGTACTTGAATGGTGTTTTCATCAATCATTTTTTGGTCACGAGTCTGTGCCATGAGAGCTTCATCTTTCGTATCAAACTCGATAATGGCGACTTCCGAATTTCCGTCCTCGCCGGGCAGCACCTTGACTCCCGTGATGTTTCCGTACTGAGAAGAAGTCAGTTGAATACTGTAGAAAAGGAAGAAGGATGACTTACATGTCTGAAAAACTGCCGCACCCGGTGTTCTGTAATATGATGAGGCAGATTCTTGACAATAACGGTCGCATTCTCGCGATCGCGCCGCAAAGGAACAGACTCGGGCTCGGGCTGCGGTTCAGTCTTGATGACCGGAACTGGCTCCTCTGCACGCGCCTTTTTCTGCTCAGGCAATCCATTCGATTCAGCTTCATCTTCCCGTTTCCGTTTGTCGTGTTGGACAGGTTCGGTTGACGCTGCTGCTTGCTGAGCCAGAGCCTGTTGCTGCGCGGCGGCTTCTCTGGTCTCGCGTTCGCGACGAGCATTGACACCTCTCATGGCTTTGCGTGTCGCCAACATCGCCAACTGCAGCTCATCCGAATCCTCGTAGTCTTCGCAATGAGCAATGTAAGCCTGCACGATTTTCTCGGGCCAGTCCAAATCGGTCCGCTTGGTCGCCTGTTTCAGAACGGCCGTTGCAAACGACGGATTGGGTGTTCTTCGAGCCGCATCGGCAGAGGCTTCCCCTTGCACAAACTTGCTCCACGAAATCAACTCCCACGAATAGTAGGTGAGCCAGAACTCATAACTGTTGCCACGGCGTCCCACCAAGCCCTTGAAGGTCTCCCGTGCACTGTCCCAGCTACCACTTTCGCTCAGGTAGCGGATATAGATGCGTTCAAGACGGAACAACGGATCTCCTTCATACGACCGGCCGTACTTCTTCTCGCCAAGGTCTTGAACATCTTCAATAGCAGACCGAATACCGACTTCAGCGACATCAATGTCTTCGTCAGTGGAATCAGTCGCAAAGGCCCGCCGGCGGAGATAACTGCACCATGTCGTATGCACTTTGAGCACCTCCTCCATTCCGCCCACATCGAGCAAGCCAGTGCTTGTAGCCTTGTGCTTGATGTCGGCAATCTTGGAGAAAGACTGCAACTCGCGTTCCGAACTAAGCAGATACTGCGACCAGAGAGTGCCGGAGCTCGGACAGTGGCGTGTCGCGCGGTCGAGGGTGGATACTGTAGTCATGTTGGTATTCTTATGCGTGGACTCGTCGCTAAGAAACAACACATAGTCCTCCCACATATTGGCGTCGACGGGGAACCGCAAGACGGCGCGTTGATAGACAGCGTTGACCAAATCGAAACTGAACTGGCGTCGTCGCCGATTTCGGCTGAGTTCCCAATCCACATACTCCGAGTAAACAGCCCATTCTTGAGCCATGTCGCCCGTTTCCACCACATTGCGGAGACGGATTTCGATATCCTCGCGAGCTCTATACTTGTTCTTCGCTTCCGATGTATGCGCCGCTGTATTCGACATGATCTCCTCGTAATTGGCGTTGTAGTATGTTGAAACAAAGCTCGAAAATGCTTGGAATGTCTGCTCCCAGGTAGCGTGGGGCGTATGAAGTCGGACTTCAAAGAGCCCACGCACATGGTTGAGCTTCTCCTGCGACGGAGCGTGCGAGAGTTCACGTATCTGCAGTTCGAGGAACCGATCCCAGACCAAGTGGCTGTCATTGATCCTCCATCGAGTTGCTTCCGCACCTCTGTGCCAAACATCCAGAACGAGTTGGAAGTTGAAAACCTCGCGACCAATCATCCTGTCCTCCTCTGTCCATTGACTATGACCAGCTTCCCCGTGGGCGGCGTTGTAGAGATATAGAAGCCATTCACCGTAGATGCTCCACAATTTCGTACTCCCGTATTCCTCTTCAACGGACCGTTGGCAGAGATCCATAACCGCGATACGTTCGTTCACGTTGCTTGCCAGCATACTTTCGTCCTGAATCCACTCAGCCCATAGATCCTCGCCCATAGCAAACAGCTTATCCATCTCCTCGCGCGCGGTCCTCATATCTTTGAGCAAATCGTACCGATGCGGGTCGCCATGGATTTCGGGGTTGTTGGGAGGATAGACGTGGTTCATAAACCCAGCATGCAGAAGACGAATAAAGCTGACGTGCGCAGTGTACGAGTGGGGGGTTTCTTGGATCTGCTGAAAAAGCTCAGTCGCAAGTTGCGCGTCGGGTTTGATGGACGTCTTCGCGTAATCCCTCTTCGGGCCATCAGACATTGCGATATCAAACGACGAACGCGGGGTGGGAGTGTTATGCACGATGGGATTGACATTCGGAAACATCGTCGAAGGAGAAAGCTGACTCTCGTAGGATTCGCCTCGCATGATCGGAGCGCTCGAGCGGGCCGGCTGGTGGTGCTGCATCGACGCCAAATCTGCCAGTGTATCCATTCCCGGAGTCGAAGGCTGTCGAGACGGGGGCAGTTCAGTCGCCGGGGGAGTTCCACTTCCTCCTCCCATGTTTGGACCAACCGACGGACTCACGGCGGGAGGGGAAGGTTCGGGGATGTTCGGCGGTGCAAGAACATGCTGCGCAAGCGGAGACGAGGTCATTCCTCCCCGTCCACCAGTCGCGCGACCGCCTCGTCGGAAACCCTTCTGCGATGGACCGGACGGCGGCGCGGAAGTTGGCGCAGAGCCGGGCGTTGAGCGTCCCGATTGGGAGTTCGATTCCTGTGGTGAAAGTAACGAATTGATGTCCATGTTTCTAGTTTTGTTAAGAGCGTGAAGGTTCTGAAAGGGCTAAGGAATGCGGATGACAGAGCTGAAAGCAGCAAAAGAGAAACAAAAAAAAAAAAAAAAAAATGAAGGAAATGGACTCCGACTATTGAGATTTCTTGATCAGCTCCTCCATTCCTACTCTGCGCAGCAGCCGCTGTTATGTCACAGTATTCGTAGCTGCTTTTTTTTTTTTTTTTTTTTCTTCTTTCGGAATCGATCCGAGTGAAAAAAGAGCGAGAAAGAAATTCAGTAGTAGAACCCTGTCAACACTCGATCCACGCTTGCGACTAGACAGTATCAAGGGTCGCGGAGCCTTTAGACGACACACGATAAACGAAAGAGGGTGGAGGGACGAAGGGACAGAGGACCGAGGACGAGCTATCAGGAGGACTCGAGGGCGGGAGGGATCTAAAAAGCGGGTTAGCGAGTCCACACGAGCGGGGGAGATGGAGTGTGATATCAACATACGCGAAACACACAATGACAACCTGCTAAGTCAAATAGCAGAAGAGGGAGAAAAGAGGTGCAAAAAAAGGACTCGGAAGAAGAAGAAGAAGAAGAGAAATAAAGCCTTGAAAGATGAGGGTCGGTGGATCGGCACTGTGGAGATGACGGTTGTCCACTGCGTTTGGCACCGGAGGGAGGGAACACGAGTCAAGCATAGAAGATGACAGGAGGGACGTTGTATCTTGTGCTTGAGATGTAAATATTCAACAAACTGTAGAGAGTTGACGCTGAGGTCGTCCTCTATGTAGGAAAAGAAAAAAAAAGAGAAATGACGCTGATGGATCTCGACTCACGTTCGACAAACGCCCTGACCGCCTATGGCGTAATGCCACCACGAAAGCTCAGCCCAGTTGATTCAGACATGGTCAGCTACATATATCCAAGACTTTTATAATATAATTAATTACTTGCAATTACTACTACATACTACTATTCCGGCTTCTCATAACCGACACCAACCACAGCCCCTAGGGCTGTTCGGTTAGCCACACCCCATGCGGCATGGTCCCATGGTTCACTAGTTTCCGCCAATGACGATATGTCACAGCCACACATATCGTATTGTACTGTTACGTACAGGTACAGCCTGTGGCGGTGCGCTTCCGGATATCCGCAGCGACCACCCGCGCTGCCAAGACCAGCCGCTTTTTTCGCTCTCTCCAGAAGATCGTGATTGTTGAGTGTTGACCACGGCCATCACCATCAATCCCGTCCCCATGGCGTCAATGGGTGCTCTTTATCCTTACGGGCACCTGCTCCGGTCTGGTACGTTCTCCATTATCAATATTTGAATCGCATGTCAAGTCTAACCATGAACAGCCCGAGCAGGTGTGACCTTCGTCCCCCGCCGAACACTGACCTACACCACCCCTCGTCGTGCCCAAGAAGACAACAATGGCAATAACGAAAACCCCTCCAAACCCTCCGCCCTCTCCTCCATCAGAAACTTCTTCGGTCTCGGCGGCAAGCCCTCCGATGCCCCCAAGCCCACCATCACCCGCCGAGCCAACGCTCCCCCAAAGCGAGAAGGTTCCCTGAGCGCAGACTCGATCTTCGCAGAAGACGAGGCCACCCCGAAACTCGTCGCCTCGGGCCGCACACCCGGACGCAGACCTACCGCTGAACAGCCCGTGGAAGCAGAAGAAGAGGAACAGGATGTTAGCCTGGAGACTCGGAATCGGGAGAATATGCAGGCGGTGCTGGACCCTCGTCCTCAGGCGCGGACGCGCTGGGAGCGGAAGATGGTTGTGAGGGAGATTCGGCGTCGGGGTCGTCTTTCGAAAACGGAGCAGGTTATGCGGACGGAGCGGGAGAGTTTGTCCAAGTCGCATTGGTTTAAGACGTCGATTAAGAAGTTGGGGCCGTTGGCCCGGCAGATTGCGGGGAAGAATATCGATGAGGCGATTTTGCAGATGCGGTTTAGCAAGAAGAAGGCTGCCAAGGATATCCTTGAGCACTTGGAGCATGCGAAGAACGTCGCTGTTGTCCGCTCCGGTATGGGTCTTGGTGCTGCTGCCGGTCAAGAGGCCAAGAAGCCCATCAGCATTGTCTCCAAGACCGGTGAGCGTAAGACGATTACCGACCCCAGCTCCATCTACATCTCCCAGGCGTGGGTGAACCGGGGACCGTACGGTGTCGACTACGACCACCGGGCGAGAGGACAGATCAACCTCCTCCGTCCGCCATACACCTCTCTCTCGGTGCTGCTGAAGGAAGAACACACTCGGATCCGCGAGTGGCAAGATCGCGAGACCACCGCGCAGCGCAAGCGCAAGACTCACCTCTGGACCCAGCTTCCTGACCGGAAGGTCAGCGCCCAGAACCAGTACTACAGCTGGTAAACTGGCGGCATAAAATGAGTTCATCTGTTTCTTTCTCTTATGTATTAGGCCTTGATTGGGACAAGCGGGTCTCCTGGCGTTGTGTTATTATCTATTTAGATCTACCTAACGGATCAGCATGTTACGAACATCAATGTACAATACCGAAAATTGTTCTGTTCTATATACCCTTCCTCCGACAAGTATCTACAAAGTACACTACTCAAATCACTCATCACAACTAGGCACCCCACTCGGCGGCTCAATCTCTATCCCCGGCTTCGGTCCAGGAACCTTCTCAACCCTCACAACAACCGGAATCATGGCCCCAGTCGCCAACGCAAACTCCCGATGCCCAACAACATTCAGAATACTCGTAATCGCCCCGGAATGCGCCGTCAGCGAGAGCACGGTGTTCGCATCGTGCTCAAAGATATCGTACAGCAAATCGCGTAACCGCGCGTCGCGCATGGAATTGGATTCCCGTGCATCGGGTCTCCAGAGCGGATCTGTGCCATTGGCAAACCCCTTCTCGATAATGTAATCGGGATACGAGGTGGTTATGTGTGAGGCCGACGAGCGCTTGTCGCAGGTGTGGATGCCGATTGTTTCGCGGAGCAACTACCCCCATCAGCCATTATCCTTAGCAAAGCAAAGCAAAAAAGAAAAAAAAAAAAAAAATTTAAACATACCTCCTTAACAACCGGCCTAAACGGGACGGGCGTAGCATTCAACCCTTTGAATGAAGTCTCCGCCGTTGCAAGACACCTATGCAACGGAGAAACATAAAACGACTCCGGAAACGGCACCTTATGCTCGATTTGCTTTTTCCAAGCCCCGTTTGCGATCTGCGCTTGCTTGATTCCGGCGGTTGTGAGGTGTGCGTCGAACCAGGTTATGTTGGCGTCGCCGGTTTGGAGGGAGTAGTAACACTTTCATCATTCAACATTTAGTAATTGGGTTATGGTTAACTATAGTTTGGGGTTGACTCACGTCCCACAGCTTCGTACCATATTCCTCCTCCGCGACATTATGGAACCCCTCACCGTGTCTACCAAGGAACAGCAGGCGGTATGTGGCATTTGGTGATTTGTGGTGAGATTCTTGGTTCAGGCTGTTGAGGTGGTGTTCGAAGCGTTGCCATTGGGTTGTGTTGCGTATGTCGAGGTCGGTGTCTGTGTTGTAGGTGCGGTTTATGAGGCCGAAGTTTGATGAGACCTTTTCTTCTTTATTAGATGTGTGGATTTAGATAGAGGGTAGAAGATGCGGAGGAGGAGAAATACGTAGTTGAAAGCATCGGGATCGGTATCTGGTTCGTCTTGGAGAAAGTACCCCGGGACGGTGGTGAGGTTGAAATGGAAGGCCATGACTGGGAGTGTCCAGCTGAGGACGAGCAGAGTGGCGAGTCTGTACATGGTCAGTGCCATGGTGAGCATTGGTGATTCTGCAGATAGACGTACCGGGGAATTGGCTTTTATAGAGTGCACAGGAGTGTGTATTCTCCTGGGGATGACATTCGGAGAATTCAGTGAATGTGGGGATTGAGATAAGATTATGCAAAAACGTGAATGCGTCTGGGACATCCATTGGTCCGTTCTTGGCTATACAAAGCACTGCTGCCATCATAGACTACGTGAGATATATACCGGGAACATCGGATGAGAAATTAATCAAGTTGGCATTCGGTCATTAATAAATTAGGCCGAGATGAAAGACAATCAAGAAACAAAAACAACAAAATTGGACCTCATATAGGTCATCGCTAAGCTTCAAGTACATCAATCAAACGATTCCAGATGAACCACATATCCCAAGGCTCTTCCGAGCTGACCAATACTGTTTGAGACAACCAAACATAGCCTTGCAAAAGGACGACCCAAGAAGGGACGTAAGTGCAGAAGGTGCTTGCCAGAGTGAATACACCGAAGCCAGTGTTCTCTGTATAACGCGCCCAGCATATTCGGGAAGTATGCGCTGTGCATTGCTTCCAGGTGGACTTCTTGCAGGTGCTTGCTGCTGCACTGATGCCAGCGTTCTTTGTCCAACATATTCGCGAGTTGTGCGAATTCTTCCATTGCTTCCAGGTAAAACTCTCCCAGTCGTGATTGCAGGTGAGAATGAGCGCGCTGACGCCAGCGTTCTCTGTACCTTTCTTTCACCACATTCGGGTGTGCGATTCTTTCCATTGCTTCCAGATGGAAGCGTACCAGATGTAATTGCAGATGGTGTTCGCCAGAGTGAGTAGTACTTTGTTGCGAGCGTTCTCTGTACCTGCCCAGCATACTCGGGAAGCGTGCGATTCCGTGCATTGCTTCCAAATATCTTCGTAACCGATGCGTTGGCAGTGACTGGAGGGCGAGCTGGTAGCATACCAGGTCTGGTTCCAGTCGATTGTATTCTTTCGTGGTTCTGTCTTTGGTGGATGTGTTCAGTCCGACTGCCTTTAGTGTATGTATGGCACGTGGACTGAGCAGTATCTTGATTCTGCAGAATCGAGCGAGACTGTGGACGTCTCGAAATTGCATTGTTGCCAAGTTGCTGCGTATCCGTATTGACAATACGCGAGTTGCTTGCAAGCTGGATCTGCAGTCCAGTTGGAAGATTGGCTCGCCTATCGTTAACAGACACAGAATGCTGAGCTGTATGGCCCAACGACGGTCGACCGTGTAGTGACCAGAGAATCTCCGATCTGGGACACCTTGGCGTAGAGCTGTGTGATTGTATGTCCGTATCGTTCCTGGACATGGGTTGAATCGACGGTCGTGGTCGTGGGACGTGTGTTGGGCTGTGCGCCGGATCTAGAAGCGTATCGTGTGCCGTATCCCTGAGCGTACTTCTCGATGGTAGCGATGACTGCCTCGACAGAGGAGCGAATGGTTGCAATGGTGCGTGCTTGGGTGGCTGAATTATCGTGCCTTCGTGTACGTTGACAAGGCTGGCCTTCTTCTCAAGGCAGTTGCACTAGGGGAGTTAGCATTTCTCAACTAAAATCATAGTAGTGCAAGACTTACCCTTTTGTGCTGCTTTCGGTGCTTCTCACAAGCACCATGCTTTCGAACCTTCATGTAGTTGTCTTTCTGGGATTGTGACCGAGGCTTGTGCTTCTTTGGGAGATTCGTCGTTGTATTCATGTTCAAGTCAAGCACCAACTCAACACCACCTGGCTGGTCGGGTGTTGACACGCCATCTGTTGTAGCAGAGGCGGGCGTTTGGCTTGCTCCCGTTGAAGTTGGAGATGCACTGCCTTGGGCCATGTACGACGACGGGGGCGAGAACTCGGGGCTCGTATAAGGATCGGTGAGCGGGGACTCCTGAAGGCGCTGCATGTGAAAAGCAATAGATGCGTCCATGCGCTTCTCCTTTTGGGACGAGCAGCTGGTGTCAACCGCTGCTTGAGCTTCCACCGCTTGTCGAATGGTAGTCGTCAAGTCGTAAGGTTGGTCGTACAACACCATGTCTTGGAACTGGCCATTGTTGATGCTGCAGTCGAAAGAGGGATCGAAGAACCCGCCGTTCGGAACCATGCCCATGTCGTCCATGGGACCCGCATCGGGGAATGCCCCCAGGTTGTCCAACGCACCCGGCAGGGGGTCGTCAGGGGCATCGTAGTTGACAAAATCGGAGAACCAAGGCTCCGAAGAGAATCCAGAAGCCGGGTCCGTGTCGAACCCGTTCATCCTGGCAATCAAGTCGCAGTCCTCCGGACTAAGGTCCAGGTCGCCCAGAGGGTAGTTAAAGACATCATCGTTGGTGCCGAATTCTCTCGCAGGGTATTCTTGGAAGAGAGTATTGGCCGCCATAACGGTCGATTGCCTAGCTCGTGGTACGACGAAGAAAGGAATGTTGTCCTGTCTGAGGCTTAGTCGCTCGTAAGAAACCACTTCGATATACCTCGATAAGATACCAAGACAATGTCCGTGCGACGAGAGCGGGATCCTGAACGGGACGCCGGAGTTCTTGGTACCCAGGAGAACCTGAGGTTTTAAGAAGGTATTATAAAGCAGGACAAGGGTGGAAAAGGAAATGAAAAAAAGGACAACACGAGCGATGAGAGAAGTCGGCGCTTTTTGATTCTCGATGCCTGGCACTGCCTTCACACTATAACCTCAGGTGTCTACACTAATCCCTTTTGGACTCCCCGACCCCGGCTTAGGCTAAACCCGATTGGGAGCCCGACGCCCTGTGAGTCACGGGTTTTTAAGCCTCATCGCAGGGTTTTCTATATGACATCAGGATGCCTTATACTACTACGAATGATGAGAACATACAATGAGCCGATTACGGACATGAATGTCATGGATACCATTGAGCACTGGGACAATTGTGAACTCGTTGGACATCGGGATGCCGACCGACTACTACCGACTACTCATAGAGTGCAGCATCTCTCCTCGGAATCATGGAGGCTGAGTTAAATCGCCATAATGGACTAGAACCGCAAATGAGAACAACACACAGATTTTTTGAATTGGATCATGACGAAATGAGTGTGTTGGACCAGTGCTGGTTATGTATTCGGTGCACCGCCCAGGGCTGATCTACATCGGTACTGTCCGGGCAAGACTGGCTATGGGCCATACTCTGTAGGTTTGTGTCGGATGTTCACCGTCTAGCCATAACTGCAGTCTCCTCTCATCTAGCCGAGTCTCCGTACTAAGTACCATACTCGAACACAATCCGAACTAACCGTGGAACAAGCGATAAGCGAGGGCTAGTTAACTTAGTTATCGATAAGTTAACGTACAAGCCGCATGAAACACCGGCCTTGTACTCTCCTTAACAAACTCCCTCATCTGCGCATCGCTCATCACGTTAGCAGGGAAACAGATGATCAGTATGGCGCTCCCCTCTGGGTTGAACCTTCTTCGTGTGGACAAGGACAACTCTGCTCGCGGAGAATTTTTCTCCATGGCACTTATGCCTGGGAATTCAGGTGTCCAGCCAGCACTCGGTCATAACTATGTAGTTAACTATTGATACCAATTGTTGCAATCGGTAATGTATGCCTCGGAGTAGCCGACTATCTATAGATTCTGGATTATCTCTATAACTAGATCTACAACTATGTTGCCCTGTATCTGTAGTGACCATAGTAGACCCTTTTAACTGTATCCGTGACGTGGCGCTCTTTTTCTCTCCGCTCTCTCCGCCCCCGCCAACTCCAGCAATTGATCCTCTGCCGTCTTCTGTCTCCCTCTGTCACTACTCTATTGATCCTACGCCGAATAGGGCAAACAATAAACAAGAATCAGCACAAGTAACAACCGGAAGAGTCAAGGTGATTGAGCTGTACTGCGGACAGACAGAATCTTCTGTCACCGCCATCCGGAACCCTGGGAAAGAAAAGAAATCCATCACGTCACATTGAACCTGCCAGCCCCTCTATTCTCCGTCCTCTATTACTGAACCATGGCCGCTGCTTTCGACGACGAAGACCTCTCCGTCTCCCTCCCTCCCATTGAACGGGAACACCGTCGGGACCGCGATCGGGCTGCCGGTGCGGTGCCTCCCTCCGGTGACATCCCAGCCGCCATGGCAATGCCTCCCCACGCTCGTCCGATCGCAAAGGGCCAGGAGGTGAAGCAGTCCCCAGCAACAACAAGGGATATGCAACGACTCGATCAGTACCAGACGATGAAGATTCTGGGGGAGGGTTCATTCGGGAAGGTCAAGCTGGCTATCCATCAGCCCAGTGGGCGACAGGTCGCTCTGAAGATTATCAACCGCCGCAAGCTGCTTTCGAGAGATATGGTCGGTCGCGTGGAACGGGAAATTCAGTATCTACAATTGCTGCGACATCCTCATATTATCAAATTGTCGGTACCCCTCCATTCCCGAGGATGATGAGATCATAAGATCGTGCTGGAATCCCGAAGCTGACTGTTTTGTTCCCGGCAGGTATACTGTGATCGCTACCAAAACCGATATTATAATGGTCCTAGAATACGCAGAACGGGAGCTGTTCGACTACCTGGTGAAGCGAGGACGATGCAATGACGCCGAAGCCCGCAAGTTCTTTCAACAGATCATCTGCGCCGTCGAGTACTGCCATAGACACAAAATTGTGCATCGTGACCTGAAGCCGGAAAACCTACTCATCGACGCCAATAAAAATGTAAAGATTGCTGATTTTGGTCTGAGCAACATCATGACGGATGGGAATTTCCTCAAAACAAGTTGTGGCAGTCCCAACTATGCCGCGCCAGAGGTCATTTCAGGAAAGCTTTACGCCGGGCCAGAGGTGGATGTGTGGAGCTGTGGTGTCATCCTCTATGTGCTGCTCGTGGGACGACTGCCATTCGACGACGACTACATTCCAGCATTGTTCAAGAAGATCGCTGCAGGCAACTTCCATATGCCACCTTACATCAACTCCGGAGCGGCGCGGTTAATCAAGTCTATGCTGCAAGTCCATCCCGTCCATCGATTGACGATTCCTGAAATCCGTCAGGATCCCTGGTTCCTCCAAGACCTCCCGCCCTACCTACAGCCACCGCCAGAAGAAGTCATCGCAACCGGGTCTGATCCGAATAAGGCAATTGACATTCGGAAGATCGCACCCGAGAAACCCCTTTCTGCTCAGCACAAAATTCACCAGATTGCTATCTCAAAACTGGAGCGGAGTATGGGATATGCTCGCGATGACATTGAAGACGCATTGAAGCACCCTGAACCGAGCGCTATCAAAGACGCCTTTTTCATCATTGTCGAGAATGAAATGATGCAAACCAACTGTAAGTTCTATCTATTGGATGACAATATCAGTCCTGCTGACTTGAAAAGCCCCTACGGATGATAATCTTATGGCCTCTGTTGCACCTTCCCCTCCTCCCTCTAAGAACCCGCTGCCTTCACCAGCCGTGGCCAAACAACCTGGAGCCCCTCGTCCTCATGGAGCTCCCGCTATCCCATCACCGCAGCGATTCGTCCAGTTACCACCCGAAGACGAAGAGCCAGTGCGCGTGAGCCATGTCCGCATCCTGCCGACGAGTATTCCATACGTGCACGACCAGCTTATGGAACAGCGCGAACGCGAGCGCGAACAACGAGCTCGTGCTGCGCACCGTGACGCACAAGCCAGGGCTGAGAATCCGGACGATCCGGCATGGAGTGAGCGGTCGATGAATGATCAGGAAGCAACAGCGAGAGCTTTGAAGCCTCACTCTCGGAGCATCGTTGATTTGGACAAGCTCCGGTTTGAGCCACCCGAGGGCCACCACTACACAGCGCACATGCCCAAGAGATCTCGCAAGTGGCAGTTTGGCATTCGGTCGCGCAATCAGCCGTATGAAGCCATGTTGTATCTGTACCGGGCTATTGATGCACAGGGCGGAGTTTGGGATATTTTGCCAGGCGATGCAGGTTGGTTCAATCCGTTATCTATAGTCACTTTGGGGCTCAGCTAATATAATTACAGGCGGCGATATCGGGGCCGACGAGGACAAGCCACTGCAAACGAAATATGCCCACCTCCCGTCCGATTACTACATTCCTAAGGATCCTTGGTTCATCCGTGCCCGCCTCTTGAAAGAAGGCATGAGAATACCTGGTCCTTCACCACGCGTCCACGGCCGCACCAGTAGCACTGTCAGCAAGAGCGAGGTCGAAGAGCTGCGTCGTCGTTTTAACATCACAAAGATCCCGAGGGAGGACAGGAATTCACTCGCCGTAGAAACAGCATCTGGTCCTCCGTCGCGACGGACTTCTTCTAGCCGTGTCAACCATGGAGTGTGGGTGTTTGTTGATATTCAGCTGTACCAGCTGGAGCAGAACAGCTACATGGTTGACTTCAAATGTGATGGCTACCAGAACGTGGTCCGGGAGGAAGGAGAGGCGGAATGGCGTCCGATCAGCAGACGCTTCCGCAACAAGGAGAAGGAAGTTACGAGTCCTTATCCGTTCCTCGATGTGGCGTCTGATCTGGTAGCTCAGCTTGCTGTTGCTAGCTAAGGCGCTGTATTCTCTGTGTTTCCGCATTTGTTCAACCTGGGTGGCGTATCATGGAGTCTGGAGTTCTGTCGCAAGGCAGCTTGTGGTGTTTATATCATCGTGCATGCATTGTATTTGCGCATACTGTCTTGTTTTTTGCAAAAGTTGCAAAACAGTGACTGGATTCATCAGGGCGGATAATCTGTTTCCTCTCATAGAACGCTCATAATCATACCATACTAGCATAAATTAAATGATCTCATGTCTTCTCTAAAACAAGCATCATACCCCGTACATTAACTAGCACGTGTGCGCCCCTCAGCATCTGTGGGGATCCCCCCCCTCCCCACACCCAATACCCGGTGGGGACAAAGCCCTCGGTCTCGGAAATGCCGGCGCCTCTTAGCGGAAAACATCTTTCCCGGGTACCCTCCCCACAGCCCCATCGCGGGGGAAGCATCAACTCCAAGTGGGATACGTATATCTACTGATAGCGACACTGTGTTTCAATTCAATTCCTCCATCTACTCTGCCATTGGAAACTATCCGTATCATTGCAGCTAGCAGCCATTATGACAGTTACATCGGAAAAGCCAACGGGCGAATATCGCCAGTATTTGCCTGATTTGAACATTCCGCGCTTTCAGACTATGCGCGAACAGGATGCGCATGAGTATGCGCGTGATTTTAAGACGTTGGCGAGACCGCCGTGGCTGCATGCGTTGTATTTGCATTGGTTGGAGTTGTTGCAGGAGCCGTTTAAGGGTGTTACCAATGATGGTATGCTTCCTCCATCTTGTACAAGTGAGGGTACACTGATCTGATATAATTGTGTAGGAACGGTCCGCCCAGGCCTCTTCACACTACAAGACGAAGACGTCCCAATCGACTCCATCGTAAACGCCACCCAAACTGTCCTAAACCTCTGCGACCAAACCCAACAAAAAGCCCTCAGCTACCACGTCGACTCCCCCGAATGGCGCACATGGTCCAACCCCGAATTCCTCCTTAGCCCCAAAGGCCTGCGCCTCGACGAAGTCAAGCCCCAACTCCGCGATGCAATTCTAACCGTCCTACAAGCAACCCTCTCCCCAGAAGGCTACAGCAAAGCCCTTAAAGCCATGCGCATCAACCACTTCCTGGGTGAACTCGTCGAGTCCCCGCGCGTGGTGAACGAGTTCTCGTATAACTTTGTACTTTTTGGGACGCCCTCGAGTACTCGACCGTGGGGGTGGTCGTTTTACGGACATCATTTGTGTTTGAATGTTTTCTTGTATAGGGGGCAGATTATCGCGTCGCCGTGGTTTACGGGCGCGGAGCCGAATGAGATTGATGAGGGGCCGCATGCGGGGACTAGGATTATGCAGGTTGAGGAGGAGCTGGGGTTGAGGCTTATGCAGTCGCTGAGTTCGGAGTTGCAGCAGAAGGCGCAGGTGTATGAGCAGATGCATGATCCTGCTATGCCGCCGGGGCGCTGGAATAAAGATGACCAGCGCCATGTGTGCGGGGCATACCGCGACAACCGCGTCGTGCCGTATGAGGGTATTAACGTCGGGAGTACTTTCACAGATACTCAACGCGACCTCCTCTACGGGATCTTCGAGCAATACCTCCTCTACCTCCCCAAGCGCTCACGAGAGCTCAAAATCCAACAAATCGAGCACTTCGAATCCGAAACATGGTTCTCCTGGATTGGCGGGTTCGGGAACGAAGACCCCTTTTATTACCGCGTGCAAAGTCCGGTTGTGTTGATTGAGTTCGATCACCATTCTGGTGTATTCCTGACAAATGAGGAACCGAAGAAATTCCATATCCACACGCTGCTGAGGACGCCGAATGGTGGGGATTATGGACATGCGTTGAGGGGGGCTATCCCTTCTGTAGAGGGGATTATGGGGAAGGAAATCGTGTGGTGACTAGATGGTTTTGTACCTAGTATGTTGTGAGTTGCATTGAGAATGGAATGATACATGTCAAAAATATATCATTGTATGCAGGAGTATTCGTATGCGTATGTACAAGGATCCCCCGGAATATCCTGCCAAGCTCTGCAAATCCGGGGGTGGAAATCCCGAGTAGTCGGCAATCCCGAGAAATCCAGAATTGGCATCGGACATACCACAGGGGTCTAACAGCTCGGGAATAGATGTCATAGCTCCTCATAACTCCTCAATTGCGCGTTATAACTATCGAGGATTGACTTGATTCTCTATTTATTCTAACTTGTGCTCAGCTGTGTATGGTTCTAGTGTTCAATACCACAGTTCATCCCTATCAAGTTACACTCACGCGACTCGAAATGGTGGTGCGTGACAGCTTACCCTCTGCATAGAACAGCTAATAAACGATTGCACAGTTAAAAGAACGCCTCGACATAACCATCGTCGGCGCCGGCCTCAGCGGCATCGCAGCAGCAATCTCCTGCGCCGCAACAGGTCACTCAGTCCGAGTAATCGAGCAAGCCAAAGAACTCGCCGAGGTACCTCACCTCCATCCAACCACTTAGTTTACAGTGCTAATCGCAGACAGGTCGGAGCCGGCCTTCAAATAACCCCCAACGCCTCGCGCCTCTTCAACCACTGGCAACTCCCCTCTTCAATCTGGGAAGCAGCCGCAGTGCCGACATCTGTAACAGTGCATCGGTATTCAGGGCAGGTTCTTGCGCATGAGCGTGGCTTTGATAAAAATATTCGGGGGAAATATCCAGCGCCGTTTGTGGATTTGCATAGGGTTGATTTGCAGCAGGCGCTTTTCGCGCGCGCGAAACAGCTAGGCGTGACATTTCACATGAATCAGCGCGTTGAGCGGATTGATTTCGATACCACAACCATCCACACCGTTTCCGGAACCACCTACTCCAGCGATCTAATAATCGCAGCAGATGGTCTCTGGTCCCGTTGTCGAGAGTGTTTTCTGGGCCGGAAAGATGAGCCCCTTCCGACTGGCGACCTGGCATATCGAATCGTGCTATCCGCGGACCAAATCGAGGACCCCGAGTTGAGGAGGTTAGTTGAGAACCCAGAGGTACATTTCTGGGTTGGACCGGGCGCGCATGCGGTTGCTTATTCGTTGCGCGGGGGGAAGATGTTTAATGTTGTGTTGCTTGTGCCGGATAATTTGCCGCCGGGGGTGGCGAGAGAGGCTGGGTCTGTGGAGGAGATGAGGGGGTTGTTTGGAGGGTGGGATCCTATGTGAGTTTTCCTTCTGGGGGAGGGGAGGGGGGTGTGGTGTGGTTCGGATTGGCTAATGCGGTTTAGTTTGACTCGGTTTTTGAGTTATGTGGATCATGTTGATAAGTGGAAGTTGATGCATCGTGAGTCTTCTGTAACCAGGGCATGGGCAAGAAAGCTAACGAAACAGACGCCGAGATGGAAACTTGGGTAAACGAGAAATCCAACCTCGTCTTCATCGGCGACGCATGTCACCCCATGCTGCCCTACCTCGCCCAAGGCGCCAATTCGTCCCTTGAAGACGGTGCCGTCCTCGGCCGCTTGCTAGGACATATGAAGAACAAGTCACAATTACCGGAGATTCTCCGGTTGTACGAGAGTGTGAGAAAGTCGAGGGGCGAGGCTATTGTCAGGGAGACGTTCAAGCAGGTGCGTACCGTACAACCATACAATTTTATCTTGAATGATGCTAATGGTAATGAAGCGACACGACTTCCACATGCCTGACGGCAAAGAACAACAAAAGCGAGATGAGATTTTCCTCTCGCAACTAGGGAAGGAGATTACGGGTGTTTTTCCTAGTCGGTGGTATGTTTTATCCCCCTGAGTATCTATTACTGGTTAATTTGTTGTGCTATTGCTAGGACATGTCCTGAAGTACAGCCGTGGTTGTATGGATACGATGCTATCAAGGAAGCTGAGGATGCGATTGCGAGGAACGGGGAGATGTTTAAATCGGTTTTGTAATTCTTGATGGTGGTTGTTTGTGTTCAGTCAATAGCACGGCATGAGTGTTCTATAAGCGCTCTGGATCATTTAACCAACTAGTTAGTTAATATATGATGACTGCTGTAACATGTAGTTGGTTTTGCTATCCCACTTTGTGTGCATTATATAAAGTCTTTCGAGTGGTCTATGAGCACCAGGCCTCTTATTCCACTTTCAATTTCCCAGCTTGTTACTACTGTCCCAACCCTCTGTAGTCTGTAGATAGACTCCATACCAGACAAGAAGTTCACTGGCCCAGAAATTTACTTTCCTGAAACACCGAAATCTTTATAAATCTCAAGAGAGGCATGATGCGTGACGCAAAATCAACATGAACAGGGTCCACAGATTTATAATACTCTCGCTGTTGCATAGAATTGAACTCGACTATGAAGACGTGGGTGAAATTCTGCTCGATGGCTTAGTATCCGAGTAAATAAGATGCGAGAAGTAAAAAAAAACAATGTACAGATGATGCTCCTGGAGTGCACTCCACTCCGCCTCGTATACCTCTGATGTACAGATTCTGTAATGCATCCTCGCATTTCTGTGGAAGGGTCAAGAATTCCTGCAAAATCTGGAGATCATCAGAAGACAAGTTCAGAGAATGGTCGGCAACATGCTCACTTCCTGCTGAGTGGCCGGGGCGACCTCCGATTTGAATTGGAAAAGGACCAAATGTAAGATAGTCATTGTGGCAAGAGGTACTCCGATTGACAGTGCAAGGTCCATGGCTGCTTCTGGTAAGGCCACTTATTTATAGGCTCAAATCTTGCTTACTCTGCTGTTCCTTGATGCTCTCACCGGGTAATGCCCTTCCATCAATAGGAATCCACCTTGCTGTCCCTTGACGCCCTCCCCGGGTAATGCCCTTCCGCTCTCTCGGTCAATAGTAATTTACCTTGCTGAGCGAGGTTCAATACGTAAATTGTGGATATAAGCATTATAAAGCAGAAAGTAATAGAAGAATATATATACCACCAATTACAAAGCCCAGTGGACGCCATGGCGAGGTACTAAGAGCTTGATGATTAAAGGAGGGCCCACTACAAGGTATATATATGTGCCTGTGTATAACCCTGCCAACTTCATTCATTGTTTTCAGCTATTCATTTACATCATCGTTATTCCCCTAAATCAATCCTCCCAGCTTGTCTTACAAAAGAAACCACGGTCTTTTTCCTGAAGCCTCCTCATCCGCCTCTCAGTCACACCATGAGCGTCAGCGAAAACCGAAACATCGTTATCGTAGGAGTCGGTTCCCTCATGTCCAAATCCCTTGCCATCTGGCTCGCAAGTCTGGGATGGAACATCGCCTTGGTGTCCCGCTCCGAGAAGAGCCTGTCCGCCATCACCGACGAGGTGCACCGGGCCCAGAAAGGCAAAGATGCCAAAGTCATCTACCGGGCTGCCAATGCTGGTGAGCCCGCAATCTTGAAGGCTACGCTTGACTGGTGTGTCCGGGAACTAGGAGGCAAGTTAGATGTTCTGAGCTACAATGCGGCCCGAGTCGCCATGACGGATATCACCGAAACTGCGCCTGAGGAGCTGGAGAAAGACTTTAGGGTTTCAGCCGTGGGTACTCTGGTGGCCGGTCAGTGGTTTTCCGAGGGCAACGCCAGGGTCGATCGTATTGCAGAGAGCGAATGGCCGCTTTTTCTCGTCACCGGGGGCATCCTGGACAAGGAACCGGAACCGGTTTTCGGCTCGCTTTCCTGTGCCAAAGCGGCTTCACAGACACTTAGCCGCTTGTTCGCCAAGGTCTTGCCTGACAAGGCCAACATTCTGGTGGGTATGCCACTGATTGCTGGACGGGTTGTCAGTCCGACGAGCGAGGAATATCACCCAGATTTCGACGCGGATAAAGTGATTACTACAGTTTTCAAGCCATTCTTCGAGGACCGTGAGAATCGACGGGATGGAAAGCAGGGCTGGATAGTGGAGAGGGCATATTAGATTTGGTCCCCGGGGCAGCAAGAACGCGGAAGGGCATTATCCGGCGAATTTTCCGCCACCCCGCCGACAGAATGAAACCATGACATCGTACCTACTATCATCTTACCTATCTATTAAATTCCCTCATGTATCATGAATCCTCGTCAACGCGTGTCCGTAGCATGTCAAGCCTGTCGAAAGAGACGCGTTAAAGTCAGTAATCCACAATCCGGTGATGCAGGTTGAAGGGCATCGGCCTAACGGGTTCTAGTGCGACGGGGTCAAACCATGTTGTTCGAGATGCGCCACATTGAAAGAGCCCTGCGAATATCAACATTCCGAAGAGAAGCGCAAGTACGTTATGATCTTACTTTCGACATGTACAGACAGTGATAAACCTGGCAGACCACCGAGCAAGCGCTATATCCAATCGTTACTTTCGCGTATAGAAAGCCTCGAGCGACAAGTAGCAGACTATGAAGGGCGGAAAGTGCCATCCCAAAGCTCTATACCGATTGATCAACAGAGCCGTCACTTGATCAGCGACTCAACTCCCCAAGACTCTGTCCAGGAACTAGTCGATCTTTGTGGCGGACTAAGCCTGGGAGAGGGGCAAGAACTGCGCTTCTTCGACTCCCGCAGTAACCTGGCTCTAGTCGCCGAGCAACTGGATGAGAGGTGCCATGATCATCTGCTGAAATTCTCGGCGAACCGGAGTCAGCGACCAGGAATTGGCGAGGTCGAAGTGGATCGCTCAACCCAAGAGGAGTTGTTGAGTGTATTTTGGAGATGGCAGAATTCATGGCAATATCTAGTCCACGAGAGTGCCTGGCGTCGAAGCTATGAAGCGCGGGATAATAATTACTGCACTCCTGTTCTGCTATATGCGATGCTGGCAGTGGCGGCTCGCTACTCCGATGAGCCAACTCTTTCACATGATTACGGCCCGAGCACTGCGGGTATCAGTTTCTCTTCAAAGGCAAAGCAACTGATTTTCGAGGAGATTGAAGCGCCTCGCCTTTCAACGGTGGTAGCAGCTGCATTGGTATCAGTAGCTGAGTTGTCCTTGGATATTGAGCCCGCAGGATGGACATATATCGGTATGTCAATTACTCTGACTTCTGCTTTCTGCTGACAAAATGGAGGAATCGCTCTGAGGATGGCCTATACCTTGGGCCTTCACATTGACCCTCGTCAATGGATCGAATCTGGTCGCCTGAGCGCTGAAGATGCGGAAATTCGCTCAATCGCTTGGTGGGGCTGTTATATGATCGAGAAGTGAGTCGGTTGCTGTCGAAAATACTACAACTTCCACTAGTTTCTCCATGGAACTAACTCTGAGGGGCAGATTTTACAGCATTGCGCTGGGTCGGCCGAGCGCATGCAACGAACGGGACATATACACTCCTTTGCCCGCCGTATTGCCTGAGATCGAGTTCAGAGGCCTCGAAGGATCGTTGAGATTACCATCCGAACTTCATTTGCCCATGGGGTACTCCATAACTAATTTTCGCTACACGTGCAAGATGCTTAGACTGGTCACTAGTCCTTTGGATGATATGTAAGTCATCGTCCGCGCAGTATTGAAGGAAGGACGAATGCAACGGGTGAAGATAGCTTATGCCGCCATAGCTACTCACCAGGCCCCGAGACTAAGCCTGATGACAAGATAGAAATCGTTCTAAAGACTTCTGTTGCATTATCTGCATTCTACGACAAAATCCCAAGTGTGATTCGGCTGCCCTCCTCTGCCTCAGGTAGCCCAGTGGCTGTACATATTTACTATTTTCAGCATGTCCCCACCCGATATGTGTATCTTATGATTTCAACTAACCCGTCTAGTATTCATTATCATGGCCTTAATATTCTCCTTCATCGACCATTCATCTCGAGACAGGCCATTTCTCCAACGGTCAGAAATGAAGCGGGCACGGCTTGCAGGCACCTTGCAGAATGCACCAGGTCCGCTGAAACACTGACGATGATACTGAGAGATGTCGAAAAACATTATTCTCTGGTAAGCTGAGATTCCCAGTTCACACTCGAGGATAATTGAATAATGACCGGTTTGCAAAGAGAACCGCGACTATGTCAGTTATACACCCCTGCCTTACAGCAGGCCTAATTCACCTATGCAACTGGACTCTGCCCAATCCCGACGCAAAGTCAAAAGCAAAGAAACACTTTCTTCATATTATATACAGCCTCAATCAGCTGAGCACTGCGTGGGTATGGGCACTTCGAGCGATCCGATTACTCAAATTGGTCGCGCATCGTTGGGTACCGGAGGATTATGCGGGCTTGATGGCAAATGAGCTGGCATACCTCCCGAAAGGGACCATAGAACAGTCCACAGCACCGCCGTGTATGCCGGATACTGTTAGCAATCAGCACTGGGATGATCTATTATTACACAATCCTGACCCATCATGGCCTGAGGGTGACTTGTTTCAATCAGGACTGTCGTTATTCGGTCTTGACCCGTGGCCAGAGGATTTTCTGCTTCCAGGGCAGGCGTTGCTGTGACAGTCGACAAATGACCATCAACGGTCATTGACCATGGCCGATATCATACAAATGACCAAGCCCTAGTGTCCTCGGGCAGTAAGACAGGCTTGGCATGAAACCCTAGAATTCTTGAACAAGTTTGGTAGGGGACATGCCATTCTCTAGGCCTAATAAAATAGCAGAACACATAGAAGGAAAAATGTCTTGCATAGGCCTTCTACTATCACCAATTTCCTTTCCAAAAGACCTCGTGGTTGTTGATTAATAGGAGTTGAAAAAAGTGGATGTTTTTTGAGCGTCGGAGCGATGTTGTACACCTACTGTACGAGTGTTATGTTTCAAATTGCTCTCGGTAGGATTCGAAATATACTTTCTTATTTGAGTTGCTTAGATTCGATTCCAGATGAATGGACCACCACATTGCATCTTTCCGAAGATGGACCACTCCGGTTAGATAGAAGAATGCTTTCATCCCTCGGAGTGGATCACAAGTAGGAAAATGAATAGTTAAGAAAGTTCAAGATCAAGGCCCCATTCACTCACATTGAATCAAGGCAATGAGTGACTACCACAGCTGTCTAACCATAGGGATATCTACATTCGAGTCCAAATGGCACTGACTTCGAAGCGAACGAATGAACTATGTGATGACCTTGATACAGCTATACCTTCATGGCAAATGACATCGAATACATTCTCATGCAATTCTACCACGACATGCAGCCTCTTATAGGGCTTGGAAATATAAAGAAGATGGCTGATATATGAGATCTTGGGTCGGGAGACGGATCTCGAAACAGACCCATGGATGGAAACCGAATCGAAAATCACCCCGCATGAGTACAGATTACGCCCCCCCAAGAAAAGAATGCAATCTACAAATCAGTACGTAGTGAGACCAGGATTAACTCACCACGGGGTTGGCCACTGCCCTACACCATAATGGTGGCAGGATTCGAACATGTGAACTCAAAGAGATTAACGAATTTGGCTCTCACACCTTAACCACTTGGCCACACTGACTTTTCGGTGTGAAAGTACCATGGGATCTGGGATATAACCATTGCGGGACAGAGTGTTTTTCTCGACTTATGCTGCGATACTATCATTTTTTGCTGATAATATGCGTGGGAGTGTTATATTATAATGAGAATTATTCATGTTTTGAGTCATAATCTCGGCGAACTCTGAGAGAAGTTTATGGAGCCAACATTAGGCACTCCCATATACGATCCGGGAACTTACTCTGGAGTGAGGAAGTGAAGCGGGTCATGTTTGTCTGAGTCTCGCTTGGGCGTGAAAGGATCTTACATGTACCATGATTCGAATGGAAATGGTCAATTTAGCTTCCAAATTCACATACAAGCGACAACACTTCAACAACCCAATTTGCTCGACTTCCGAACAATCTAATCACAACACGTCCCATACGTCCCCTTATTATTCTTCCCATGGTTAATCATCAAATGCATTGTAGCATGCCAACTACCCTTATTATCAACCGGACGGCAGGAGAAACGACCTCTCTCGGAACTCGCATCAAGGTGATACTTAAGCATCTTCGCGAGACACGATGGTTCGGCTTTGGTATTTGCTTTGCTGTGCTTGGAGATGATCATGTTGATCGTGTAGTCGCTGGTTCTTGCACGGGGTTGGAGAGTGCGTGTGCCGGTGGTAGTGTCGTTGGTCAGGGTTGTTGATGGTTCCTCCGCTGCCGTATTAGGAGAGAACGCAAGTGATGTGGCCTTGTAGTCTTTGTGGTGTAAGTCAGTTGTTCAATCCTGGTTACAGGGGCTGGGTACTTACAGAGCGTTCGATCAAGCTGGCTATACACATAGTCGTGTTTAAGATCAACGTCCGTTTCTGTATCACTTCGCGCCTCGAGACCATTTGGCATACTGCTGTCATCTGGCTTGCCCTCATGGTCCAGCAAATATGGCAGGGAAAAGTGATAGTCAATAGCGTTAGTCTCATTAACATCAAGACTCTTCAGCTCATCATGGCCGCCGTTGTTGTAATAGATCTGCTTAAGATTCCGTCCAGCTTGGATCATAGCCCCGACATTCTGTCCACGATATCAGCAGTGTACCAGATACATCAACAAAAAAGGTATAATAATGAATCTTACATTAAACCAAGTCGTAATAGCCTTCGGCGCATACCAAATCGCCAACGCACCACCCGCACCCCAGAACCAATTCCGACTAGGCACGTTATCGCACACCATCTTCGTGATTCCTGTGTTTTCGCTGCAGTAGTTTGTGCGGCGGACGAGGCCTGTAGCCACGGGTGCGAAGGGGTTGAGGCTTTGTTCCTGTTGGTTTCCATTTTCCTCGTCGAAGGTCTCGTACTCAGTCACATCTTCCCAAGTGCCATTGTGGTCAATTGTGGTGTGGAAATCGGTGATGGAGAGTAAGTGGCCTAGGTCGATGTTGTTGCCGACATCGCGGGATTTGGCTGTGAAGAAGTCCGCGGATACGGAGCTGGTGCATAGGAGGAGAGTTGTGAATGTGTTTAGCTTCATGATGCTCTTCCTATAGTATTGTGATGAGAAAGGAGTGATCTGATTGTTTGGTTTCTTGCATTTTCAAGTGTGCTGGGGCGATTTATATCTGTTTGCGCGCACCTATCTATCTTCTCTGAAGAGTAAAATTCGCCTTCTGTATGATAGGTACGTAAATGTCTCAGTTTAAGGAGCAGAATTGAATATTATTTACGGCCAATCCGACGCTACACGAACTATACGATATAAGACTTAGCCAATGGAGTGTCCAACTCCCCGATAGAACTTGGTTGGTTAAGTTTTCTCATGTTCCTCAGTTCAGCATTTCAGCCTCCGATCCTGTAACATGGAATAGCATCGGCGGGGAAAATACCCGACGCGTGGAGTGAATGGACGGAACCAATGGTTATGATTCTGTGGAACTGTAGTTTTAGGGTTTTGTGTTTCTTCCGGTGGCTTCTTATTTCTTACGAGAGATCCGTGTTCTTGTGTTCCCACGGTTCTTACTTCAAATAGAATTCTTCTGTCTAGATCCATTCCAATGTTGCTCATTGGGTCTGAATATCGATGAAAATGCCAGGTAATTTTCCAAACAATATATATATTTTTTGTTCCTGACAGACAAAACAGATCTGACTACATCATCCGGCATTCTAAGCGTGTTTCTAATCCTATCAACCCTTCAAACGGATAATTTCCAACTCCAAGTCTGTCGGTTATCCCTGAATTAGAAAATAGTAAGCAGAAGATATGCAACGCTGACAGACAGACAGGGGAATGGACCGCAGCGGCGTTGGTGACATTTAGCACACACGCATTCCTGCTCTGGACGTCACCACCGGAGGGGCAGTATCTGTCGTCGTTAATTCTATGCTTGATATCGGGGCCGCTACTGTTCTATTTACTCTTAATGTGTCTTTGGTGACGTTACCTGTTGTATGTAGTTGACCGCCAAGAATCCCGCTATCTCCGTCTGTCCTCCGCATAAACTCCGTAGAGTACACATCCCCAAACAACCACGATTGACAACCACAACACATGCAATGGATCCCGACGCCAGTATCCTCGAAACACCTCCCTCCGTCTTCAACTACGTCCTCTCCTTTCTTCTCGTCGGTGTAGCATGGGGCTTCACGACACCGTTTATCCGGCGCGCGGCGGCGGACTTTAATGCGCGACAGGAGGCGCAACGGGATACACAACCGGAACCACAACAGGAGAAGGAGGTGCCATTGAAGAGTCGCAAGGAAGACAATAAAGAAAAGGATGATAGCGAAGTTAAGCACGAGGAGAATATTGAGGATGAGAATGAGGACGAGGACGAGGACGAGACAGAGAGCAAGGAAGAGGACAACCCCCCACCATTAATGAAACAACCAGCATGGATGAATACTACCGCATCCAAACCATCCTGGATCAAACAGAAACTCACCACCCTCCTCTGGACCCTCTTCAATCTCCTCCGCACACCGGCCTATTCCATTCCCCTCGTTGTTAACTTAACCGGGAGTGTTTGGTTCTTTCTCCTTGTTGGGAAGCATGGTACGTTCCCCGTCTATCTGTACGACAGTGAAGGTGCTCACCGGGTTATAGAACTCTCCCTAACCGTCCCATTGGCGAATTCGAGCGCATTCTTGTTTACGGTGCTCGGTGAATGGTACGTGGAGCGGAAGATGATAGCGAAGGAGACGTGGTTGGGGATGGGGTTGGTTCTCGGGGGGTTTGCATTGTGTGTACAGTCGAAGCAGTAATATTCAGTAGAAAGGCAGTAATTATAATGGGAAAGACATCTCAATTGAGAGATGAGGGAAAAAAAATAAAAACAAAAAATAATGCATCATCCGTGAATCGAACACGGGCCTCGTCGATGGCAACGACGAATTCTACCACTAGACCAATGATGCTAGAGCAGATAACCATTGAACTATCTGATTCGCTGCTGATATTATCTCTCGTCGTTAAGCTATACAAGCATAAGGAGGTGTTCTTTCCGTACAACCCCCAGGTTGTTTATAAAAGCTGCTGACGAGCGGATCAAGCTGTGCGCGAAACCAGGTAAGCTCTCTTCAGTTGGTTGGTGTTGAACTGGTCCGCATTAGCCTCAAACTTTGACTTCATCTCCACGAGCCAATCCTCGAAATTGGGCTTCCGTCCAAATCAGAATGGTATTTCTTGGATTTCAAACAATGACCGAGCCCTGTCCCAAATTAAAGCTGAGCTGCCAGTACCTCATCTGTCTGATTCAGATGTGGATGGGAGTGGTCAACTACAATGACACGGAAAAATGTCGCAGGCACTATTCGAATGAAATAGAGGAAGAATTATAATTGAGAAGACTATCAAACGTAAGAGCCTATTTATAGACAATCTGACGGCCATCAACTAGCTACTGAAGGAAATATTTGCGAAAGAAGTTCAAGAGTTAAACGGACAAAGCGGATGTCAAGTGCAGCTGTTGTAATACTCGTCCGAAGATTGACTGTCTGAGATGTTCTTCAGGGTTTTCTTTCTCAAACACCTCCTATTTATATTGTCTTCATTGCTATACATGTCTTGCTGCTTAGCATATGCTCTCAACAGTACCACATTAATCATCCCAATACGGGTGCCGCAGCTCTGTTGATCCAATCAATACACCCGGACCCCGCCCTCATACACTCTGCCTCTTCCCCGCGTTCCGCAGGTCAATCATTGTTGCTCCAGTCGCTGATTTGATCTCTTTAGTTACGGTTGCGGAGCCGGATGCAACGATCCTGATTCCTGGCGCCTGGAATCCGCAATCCGCAATCCGCAGCGGTTCCGCATCTCCGCTTCGGAACCAGGAGAACTCCTCATCAATCACAGGGAGACTGGGGTTTTGTAGAAGTTAATGTCAACGGGCTGTTGAACCTTTCGTTATATAAGCCACGCTTGCAGGCCCCCGGGTACCCTCGCTGTCACCTTGAAGGTAGATTCACCCCCATATACTCAATACCCACGATTTCCCACACAACCCCCCTCCTTCTTCATACAGCCACCAACATGCCTCTTGATGCGCAAGTGACTTCGCATCTCCGTGGCATCATAGACAAGGCCTGTGAGGACCAAAAGTCCGGTATCCCCGGGGCCACGGTCGTGGTCGTTGGCAAAGATGGCGACGAATTATTCGCTCACTCCGGCGGTAAACGAGGCACGGGATCCGAAGACCCCATGAACTTGGACAACATCTTCTGGATCGCATCTTGTACGAAGATGTTGGTGGGTGTCGCCTGCATGCAACTGGTTGAGCAAGGCATTCTCAGCCTGGATGATGAGGTGCAGACCGAGCGTATTTGCCCTGAATTGAAAAGTCTCAAGGTTTTGCGGCCAGATGGCAATTTCGAGGAGAAAAAGCGCGCAATTACCCTACGAATGCTGTTGAGCCATACTGCCGGATTCGGGTATACGTTTTTTAACGAGAGACTGAGACAGTGGTCGTATCCGGTTGGCGTGGATGAGTTCTCTGGGCGGATTGAAGATGTGAAGCTGCCTCTTCTTTTCCAGCCCGGCCAAGGTTGGGAATACGGCGTAAGGGTCATTGATTCGGGGCCATGAAACGCATTGCTAATGAAAACAAAAATAGGTTGGTATCGACTGGGCGGGAATCGCACTGGAGCGCGCAACTGGCTTGACGCTCAACGCCTATCTCCAGAAAAATGTCTTCCTGCCCCTTGGGATCAAGGAGATGTCCATGATTCCGAGCCGCGACATGCGCCGGAGGCTGGCGTATATGAACAGTAGAAACCCAGACGGCACTCTGAGGGCCCGAGACCATCTTTTTCGAGCGCCTCTGGTTGTTGATCCGGACAATGAGGCCGAAGTCGCCAGGGTGTTCAACAGCGGCGGCGCAGGCATGTTTGCCAAGCCGCAGGACTACTGCAGTGAGTAGACCCGAATCCTGGTGAGATTCCATACACTGACTTGTCTCCGTAGAGGTCCTAGCTGTCCTGTTAAACGACGGAACGTGTCCGAGGACGGGCAGCAAGTTGCTTCGCAAGGAAACCGTCGACGAAATTCTTTCCAACCAAATCCCCCAATTCCCAAACTACGGCCGCCAGGGCATCCCAGCTGCAAAACCGGACCTGACCAACCCCATTCCTGAACTGTATCCAGTTCCTGGGGGGGCGCCACAGGGCTGGGGCCTCACTTTCATGCTGAGCAACGGCGGCGCGACAGGGCGGTCAAATGGCACTGTGCACTGGGCTGGGCTGCCGAATTTGTGGTGGTGGGCGGACCGGGAGAAGGGCGTTGCGGGGATTGTTTGCACGCAGATTCTACCATTTGTGGACGCCCAGGTGCTTGGTCTATGGGTAGCAATCGAGGCCGAGATATACAAAGCACTTGGTCAATGAAATTGGATGAGGGAGAATTTGCCTAGGTACTCTAGCTAGTCGTCACGTATCAGTGTTTTCTTTGAGCGATATTGAGCTTGATTCATCTTTGTCATCAACTTCGAGATCGCCGTGTTTGCTCGTCCGTAGCTCTTTTAGCCGAACTAGAATGTATATCCGCAATGAGATTCATCACGGATAATAATACTTGCTCCATGTTACTCAGAATATACTAGTATAGTCCACTTTGCAAGTAATAATTACTACCTATCACTGTTCTGTGAAGTTAAGACCAGTGCAACTTGTGCTAACTATTCAGCCTCGCTATCATGAAACATTGTAATCTTGTGCCATGTATGTACATATTTCTTAATGGCCACTCTATAATAAAGACTGATGACAGTGTATTCAAACACCCCAGTTCTCCACAAGAGGCATTTTGGACTTCTGAGAGTTACAAAATAAGCCATACATATACGCAGGCATGATCTGTTTTTGGGATAAGAGGAGCATTAGTGACACGACATATTGGCGATATCAGATATGTTTGAGCCTTTTGTCTTTGGCACAGGGCTACAACCCTGGACACACACAGCATACAGCCCGTGCCAGGCTGGCTCTGCCTATTTTCTTTCTCCATTCTAGCATTCAGTAGATAGTCTACCAATACGCCGCCATTGAGAGTGGCTCCTCGCCATTTTCATCGGATGGTTTCTCATCGGTACTTTTCTGTTACTGGTAGAGGTGTTAACGGAACATACAAATTTCAGCAAGGAGTCGCAGAAGAAAGACGGCTTGGAAGTTGATTAGAAGACGCGATTGTAGATTGAAATAGAGATGTTGGAGGGTATGGCTAAGGAGCGCAGGTGCAGGCTTGAACGTGCTGATTATCCCCCCGCATATCCGAGGATATACTCCGAAACGAACAGAGATCGTATATCAAACCATGATTGGCCACCAATAATTCACACATACCTCGTATGTCGCGGCACGGCGGCTAATGGGGCACTGCACCGGGTGCCGGGCGTAAGGGCGTAATCAAACGCCTTTATCCTGGACCTCACCTCACCTCACCTCTCTTCTTTTTCCATCTCCTCATATTAAAATCCCACATATCACCAAAATGGCCTGCCGACCCCCTATACCGAAAGTCAAGCTTCCCTACCATAAACGATTTGTCTCAACTGTCGGTGGCATCCTCTCGGGTTCCTTGCATGGGGTCTTGGCCGTTTTCGGGGTTTTCTTTGATATCATTCTTCCATTTGTTACGGCGCTTGTTATTATTTTTGGGGTTATGCTTGTTTGCTTCGTGCTTTGTATGATGGTTGCGGAGAAGTTGGGGTATGATGCTGGGTTTGATGAGCAGGAGAAGAAATTAAAGGAGAAGAGTGAGGGTCAGAGTGAAGGTGAGAGCAAGGTGCAAAGTCAGGGGGAGAGTGGGAAAGAGGGCTCCAGTGATGGTGACGGTGATGGTTCTGGGACTGGGGGAAAGGAAGGGGGTTCCGGGGAGGGAACAGAGGTGGACGAGAAGACAAAGCTGAGGGTCAATATTGATATGTTGGAGGGGATCCTGAAAGCGCAAAAGGAGAGGCTTGAGGAGTTTAACAAGAGCTAAGCTGGGAGATGCTGAATGGAAAGACGTCTTTCGTGTCCCTGAAGATGAATGGATTCCAACGCACAACATCAACCTCGCTATCTCCTTTCAAACCCCTACGCTGGCAATCGGTCCAAAAGCAAAATGGCACCCCAGAACCCCCACCCACTCCATCCTCAACGCGACCAACGACTTTTACATCCCAATTATGCACGCGCTCCTGATAACCATCACTGTGTGTATGTATCCGAGTACATTGTATCATATCATATGGCATAGCATGTTTCACGAGGATCAACAGAAAATCAGCCCAGCTAGACGTCAACTATTCAGCCTACTAGACACCAGCCGGGCATCTTAATAGACAGTAATCACCCCAGCTATCCAGCAAACAAAATTACCAATTCCAAAACAAAGCAAACCTAGTCCATTGGTTCACTTTCATCATGTCATCCCCCAAAACCCAAAGCCTGTCGCTCTTCTCCTTCAAATAGTTCCTCCAAAATTTGCATCTCGAATCTCAGCCTTGCCTCACCATCCATCCCGTCCACAGCACTAGTACTCCGACTCCGACTCCGATTCCAATCTCTCTTAACCTTAGATCCAGAATACCCAGTCCTCTGCCCCTGCATTTTCTTCCTCTTCTCCTCCTTCTCCTTCTCCTCTGCTCCTCCCGAGCCCCTCCGCAACTACAGCGCAGACAGCCACACACCCGAACAGAATTGCAACGATGATAATAATCGCCGTGAGCCATGGGAGGATTATGTTGAAAAATACGCCGAGGATGGCGAAGATTGTGCTGAAGAAGGTTGTTAGGATGGAAGAGACGGTTGTTATGAAGTGGGTTGGGTAGGAGAGGATTGCTTGGCAGGTCATGGTTATTTTGGGGTTGGGTTGTGTAAGTATAGTGGTCTGAGAGAGAGAGAGAGAGAGAAAGAGAGAGAGAGAGTAGAGAGTGTGCTTGGGTTTGAAGTAGAAGGGTGTTTGTTTGGTTGCTTGTTCCTGGCAACCCGATAGTATAGGGAATAGGTCTCGATTGTATCATCATATTCATCTGTCATAAGTGATCTATCTACATAGCGTATAACCTCTATTGCATGCACTCAATCCACCCAAAGTCGAAAAAAAAAAAAAAAAAAAAAAAAGCACAAAACCAAACCAATCATCATTCATCATGCCGTAGCGTATCACCATCACTGAACCCGCAGTGGTATAGGGTCGTAAGTGGTATAAGTAGGGTAAGAAAAGTCGTAGACAAAAGGAAAGGGTATCCATTAAACGCCGCGGAACTGTGCAGTCATGTTAGCAAACTTCTTACAAAGAACGAATCCTGGGCACAGGGGGGAGGGACTCACCATCCTCACAACCAAATACCACATAGCTCCCATAAACTTAAAAATCGAAATCGCCGCCACACTCCACAAAATCACAGCCATATAAATCGTCGCCCTCTTATTCTCCGTAGCCTCAGTATCCTCACTAAACTCCTCCATACCCGCGGAATTAAGCACAGCCGCAGCAAGCGCGAAATTGCAAAACACCCACACCAGCACGACGGCACTCCGGAAACCCTTGTAGTAGTCTGCCTGGCGCTCTTCTTCGGGGATGGATTTTTCCTCCTTTGGTGGTTTGACGGCGAATTTGGCGAGTTCGGCTTCGTATTGGGCGTTGAGGTCGCCATCGTCTTGGGGGATGTTGACGTCGACTTTGCCGCCGGGTTTGAGGTTTGCGGAGGGCAGCTTTTCGGCTTTGTCGTCGCCTTTTGTGCCCCAGGTTATGTCGTGGGTGTTGCAGAAGGCGTAGATGTTGAGGACGTTGATGTAGGTGGGGGTGAGGAGGATGTATTGGATGAACTGGTTCGTTAGCTTGTTTGCCCGTTGAGATGAGGAGGTGAAGACTTACGGAAGTAAACATGTGCCATGGGTCAAGGAAGATAAACGACGCGATGAACCACATGACATAGGTCGAACCAAGTGACACAATGATACTGAAGAACTGATAGTTTGTGAACAATTTAGAGAACGTGAAACTTTCCTCCTGGACCTCCTGCTGGATAGATCGGACCGTCACGAAAACCGCGGCAAACGCCAGGTAGATCATGATTCCAATCCAGAAGTACACCATAGTCATGTAAAACTTGTTCGAACCGCCAGGTCGATTACCCAGGGCAAGGACGAAACAGGTTACCAAAGTTGCGAGATAGAGCCATTCGAACACAACACCTAAGACTTTACCAGCCGTACCCAGGAGTTGTTTGTCACCGAGGTATGTCGTGAGGATATGGAAGACCAGGAAGAAATTGCCAATACCAAACCAAGCAAAGAGCATAGCAATGGTTTGGTAAATGAATTCGATCAGCAACATAGTTTTCCGAATAAGGCTGTGGTCACTCCGCCAGATCTGGTAGAAATGCGCAATGGCATACACAGCAGCGAAGAAACTACCGTTCAGCCAACGACGACGCTGCATGATGAACTCCGCCATACGATCCGGCACATCAGTCTCACCGGTCGACGACTTGACATACTGCAGCAACCAACGGCAGTTCCGCTTGGACACGATCTCGAAGCACAGAATACGGTCTTCGGCCAGGTACATGTTGGCCGTGAAAATACCCGCATTCGAACCGTGCATCTTTTCACCCATGAAGTACCGCTCCAATGGACCTTGGCCGTTCTTGTCATTTTGCAGAGCGACGAATCGGTAGGCGGAGAAGGCACCAGGCAAGACAGTGATGAAACCAAACGACGACTCGAGCGGTTTGTCGAGAATGTTGCTCAGCTTGTATTCGAAGTTCTGACCGGCGATAAGCGGATTAAGGAGCTTCTTGCCGTGCGACAACATGACTTTGATTTCGCCGCAGGCACCGCCGCACATGGGCTCCACGTCAAAGGCCTTCCACAGGTGGTAGATAGAATCCTTGCCGGGTTTTGTTCCTGCATCCAGAAGAACACAGATGTTGGGGTCCAACACACGACCGAAAGCCTGGAAGAACCAACGGTGAGAGTTGATCTTCTTCTGGTTATTTTCCTTCAAGCAGAAGATCATCTGCACCGGGACTGCGCCGCGCTTCATCGAGACGTGGTGGCCTTTCAGTTCCACAGCCATTTGAGTGGTGTACTCGTAAATATGAGCTGTCACGTCCTTGCCGTTGACCTGCTGCTTGGCTATTCCGTCTTGGTAGACACCCAGACCAGCCAGCACGGCGCGAGTCCGTGGGTTAATCTTAGCACGACCATCGCTGATCACACAGACGACAATCTTCTTCCACGCATCCTTGCCCCAGGTTTTGCTGCTCGTGCGCGAGCACATGTGCTCGATATTTTTGAAAACGCCGCCCAACGTACGCGCAAACAGAAAGTCGTCTTCGTTATACATAGTGACGGCAATGAACAATTCCGTGTGTCGCGGTTTGGCAAACAGCTTCTGACGCAGCGTGAAGCGCTCCTCGAAGAAATCGTTCGGATCGCAAGTCGCAGCCGAATAACGCATATGCGTGAACTCGTCACGCCCCGGAGCTTCAGCGTGAGGCACTTGCGAGAGCAGTCGCGGTGCGATAGGACAGTCGAGCACGAGGTTTCCGTTGAACAACTGGACTTCCTTGACGGTCTTCCATCGCCGGAGCGGAGCCGGACTGGGTGTGTGCGCGAGCCCCGGGTCGTCTTGGTACTCGTCACTGTATTTATCCGGACCAAAGGGGTTTTCTGGGTCCTGCAAAATGGGAGTATGATCGTCCTGGTAGTTTGGCTGATGTCCCAGATCATAGTCCTCCTCTGGCGTAGCCGTAGGTCGGTACGGTTCGGTGTAGTAGGCATCATGGTGGGCCTCGGGGTCGAGGGTGTAGTCGTAACCAGGATAACCGACATTGGGACCGTGCTCTTCGTAGGATTCATTGCGTCCGTAGGAATCGGGCAATCTGGTCACCGAGTACTGCGGTTGTTAGTATTGTTGTGGTGATCGTCGCGGAGCAAACTCACCGTTGGTTGCTCGGCCAGACGGTCGCTGGAGGGCATTTCCAGGTGTCCATGAGGTGCATAGGGATTATCTGACAGCTGGTAGCCGTTCAATGGGTGTCCTGGCGAGGGTGTGCGCTGGGCGTAAGGATGCATCATATGATTGTCTTCATCCCCGTAGGGGTCTGCGGGGGTTAGTTTTTGCATTTCCCAAGTACAAAATTGAACAATATTAATTGAAGAGGAGCTCTTGTTGAGTCAAAAAAACAACAAAACAAATAAATAAGAAAAAACCCCGAAGAATGCACCGAACAGGCGCAAGAATGCGACAGGGTATCACGACAAAACAAAAAAACCACAGAAACAACTGACCTGGATCTAAGCGGTTGTAGGACATGGTCGCACTTAATACGCTATTCCAATCACAGTCTCATCCGAAGTTTCAACCAGGGGAGCCGAGAGATTGGCAGGAGGGCGACGAAATAACGAGCAGCGGTGCCGTTGTTCGGTGTTCGGTGTTTCAGACGCTCCTGAGACAAGATATTATGGGGAATGGGATACAAGTAGTGTATCAGGTACTCGTAAGGTAGTAGCAGGATAGAGAGAATGAAGAGTAAAGAGTCCAAATAGTTGAAAAAGCTGAAAGAAGTGTCTGTTCGGAATGCCGATGACGATGCAGATGGCGGTGCGTCCACGAGGACGGGAGAACACAGTCCACTATTGGGTCAATGTCCAATCAGAGAAGAATCCCCGGACCTTTTAGGTGAAAAAATGGATCTGAAAAGGAACCGAGATGGAATAATCAAAAGCGTCCATGGCTGGCTGCCAAGCGGTATCCAATTGCAGCGTCACTGGGACAACAATGCACCGCCACAGGTGCCACTCACCAGCCACACTCTTTTTATAGACAGGCTGCAGAGTTTGACTACAGAGTACACTCCAAGTACTTTATGAATAGAATAAAGTACGTAGAATAAAGAATTACACTGCCTAATGAATCATGTGAATGGCGCAGTAGCTCTATTTGCATTGGTATTAGTATCGAAGCTAGACTATTAGTCTGGTGTTCATGGACCACGGATATACTTCGGCTTGCATATACATACATACAGGTACCGGAGAATGCAACATCGATCATCTAGTATTTAGTAGTACTAGTTTCTTTTAATTATGCTATTCACCCTGGCCTATAGAAATTGGTCTCGCATAGTCATGGACTCTTATGAATCTATCCTATCCCCCGTATTCGTATCTTACTCCGCATCTCACGTGAGGCACGTGCCACTATCGATAAAGCTCTTCACTCTTTACCCCACCTCACTATCAACGGACCAGCTTCAACGCTTGGACTGCTCATACATACCTACAGTATCATACCACTCCAGAGACGTCACAATGTCCAACAACCCCGTCAATGTCCTCTTCGTCTGCCTCGGCAACATCTGTACGCCCCATCCCCAATCCTCCTACTACCCCGCCATACTACACCCCACTAACACTAACAAACAGGCCGCTCCCCCATGGCCGAAGGCGTCTTCCGCAACGTTGCCTCCTCCCACTCCCAAATCAACGAAATCGACTCCGCCGGCACAGGCGCCTATCATGTCATGGAGCCCCCAGACCCGCGTACAATGACCACCCTGCGCTCCCACGGCATCAAAAACTACAACCACGCCGCCCGCAAAGTCACCCGCGAGGACTTTCTGACCTTCGACTACTTACTCGCCATGGACAAGTACAATTTGCGGGATCTGTTGGATGAGAGGGCTGCTGTGCTTGCGACGTTGGGTAAGGGTGGCGGGAAGAAGGGGAGTAAGGCTGCTGCTGCGGCGGCGGCGGCGACGGCGAATGGGGAGGATGTCAAGGTTGCGGAGGTGCGGTTGTTTGGGGATTTTGGGAAGGGAGGTGCTGTGCATGAGCGTGTCGGTGGGGGTGAGGTTGTGCAGGATCCGTATTATGGGGGGACGAATGGGTTTGAGGAGGTTTATCAGCAGGTGGTGAGGTTTTCGCAGGGGTTTTTGGAGCATGTGGAGAAGAGGGAGTAGGTTTTTTGTGATTGGGATGATTTATGATTGTACAGATACCCTCGATAGAATAGACAGCGTCAACCGTGTACACCAATTCGGAGATTCAAGTCTCGATATCTCGTTGCAAGGACATACAATTGGGCATGGAAAAGAATGTCAGGGTATGAAGAGGCGATTGCTGGATCACCGCTGAACTTCAATGAAGCGAATTGGCAATATAGCACCGTCTTAATAGACTCTCTGGCATCATGCTCCCAATTGCCGGGGATAGCCAAGGCCCCAGTTGGCAGCGTGTCCTATATTCACAAATCAGACGAGTATTCGAGAGGAGAGACTGTTCTTACCTCGTCGTCCCTTTGTCGCTCGCCATTTTCATTCCAGCCCTTCCCACTGCTCAAGACATCAGGCGTCGTGTATCTGCCAACGTACAAGTATTCACAGAACCTTGCAAAGATCCCGAGATCGATATCATCAAGTACTGCAACTCGATCAATCGATTTTTTCATGTGGCCATTAGTCATCAGGGCATCGAGAGGAGCTGATTTGCCTTGAATGACATCCGTGTGGATGGTCATGGGGATTTGGTCTTTGCCGACGAGCAAGGTGAATTGCAGTGACTGGCTGGATGTTGTTAGTCGGGGTGGATGATGGGTAGTGGTGAAAGCTGGGATATGAACTGTTTATAGTCAGCTATTCTGACTCTTGTTGCTTCTTTCGGCTCTCGATTATAACTGCGAGCAAGGTTTATGGGAAGAATGGAGTGGGTTGAGGGGCAGTTGTCTGAAGACCAGGGAAATAGACTGTGGTATACATCATACTCTCGACAGAACATAGACCCAGCTCCGTCGGGAATTTGCTTGCGTCCTACTTATACTCGAGCTATGCAATGAGTATAATAGAAAGAGACCACGGGAATAATCCGAGTATCCTATTCCTTCATCCAACAATCGTACACCACACGATCCATTCCAGGAACGGACGCACCCCGAACATCGTTGGTCAGGACATAAACAACTCCGCAAACACCCTCAAGTCATAGTCCTCCTTAATCTCCCCATCCGAAGCCAACAGCTCACGAAATGCTCCCAAACGACCCATCTTCTCCACCACACCAGACGCATAACGAATCATGAGTTCTCGAAGCTGGGACCCCCCTCCAGATTCAGCCCGTGCAGTGTGCCTATACGTGTATTCAAGAAGACCGATGACCATCCGGCCATTCTTCCTCAGGAACGGGTTGCTGAGATCTCTATAGAGAGACTTGAGGCACTGTTGGCGCAGCGAGTTAACCAGGAATCTGGTCGCAAGGACGTACAGCCGGATGTGGAAGAGAAGGTCTGGTTCAACAGCATCTGATGGATGCAAGGTTTCCGTCGAAGCGCAGGCTGAAGAAGCTCTTGGTGAGCTCGTCAGTGACAGCTTTCTGGCCGTTTCGCTTTATATCTTGCTGGTCTTTGGTGAACGAGTATAGGGAACTGGCTCGGGCGTTTGGTGTCTGGTCGACCGGAGAGGGCAGAGGCAAACGATGAGGGTTGGGAATTTTTGGAGATCACATCGCTGGTCGTCTGGGGTTGGTTCTTTTCCTCCGTCTTGTCACTGGCATCACTGGTTGCTCGGCCCGGGGTCGTGTAGGATCCGGTATAGAGATGCTCGCAGAGAGCAGTAAAGGTGTCGACGTCCGCATCGCCCAGAGCGCCAACCCGGCTGGTAGACTCTTGTATTCCGTTGCTTATTAGAGTATGAAGGGGCCCCGGGACGTCTTGAACAACGTCCGCGTGTATGGTCATAGGAAAGCTCTCTTCGCCTACCAGGAAGGTAAAGTGCTGTGACTGGATAATCCTATGAAGTGGTTAGTAGTAGCTAGCCGCGAGCCTCTCATATGGAACACGAATTTTCTGTAATCTGCCATCTTTAACATTTCATGGGATTCATTTTAAGTCTGGGTAGACTTGAAAGAACGCATTCTGATTGATTCCTTTACTGGGTAGGTATGGGGACAGAGGGGATAGCTATCCATGACTCTCAAACTCCCTCCTTCCACATAGCATGAGTGTGCTCGTAATACTCCACACTTTGGTCCAGCTAAGTGCAATGCACCTCCCCTCCCTCATGAGTGTGACAGTTCTATAGCACGTCAGTCAAAAGCAAACATCTTTCACGGGGAGTTCGCTCACCTCAGGCAAATCACCACCATCGGCCTTATCCTCAGCATCATCGTGTTCATGCTCATGCTCATGTTGCTCTTCAGGACACCCAACACCCGGAATTACAAGATCAAAAGCATAAGCCTCCAGCGCAAAGTACTGCAAAGTCTCCGAATCTCTCGTCGAAACGCTCTTATTACCAGCGGCCAGTTCAATAACCTCATCATACCCCTCCGCGAAATGGTCAACCCAGTTCTGGCCAATCGGAGGCATATGGAACAGCCGGTGCAGAAGGTCTGCGGCCCAGAAGGTGTTTGTCTCGGAGTTGGAGACTGTGTAGCCGAGAGAACACATAGTAGCTAGAGACCGTCGGGTTGAGTAGCTTAGATCGCAGATGACGGTTTCGTTGGGGGCGGTTGTGTCGCGCCAGTGGCCCGCCCAGCCTGTCAACCATTATTAATTTGGATGTGCTGAACATTTAAAAGGAACGAAGACATACCTTCATTATCACACTTCCCATCCGGATTATCGCACCGGAAAAGCACATGGCCCTTATCTGCGCTGTTCAAGAGTTCATAAATACCAATCGGTTCAAACGAAGGTCTGTTTCCGAAGTACTGCTGGTAAATTGAGCTTTCATTTCCCCAGCGGAGAATATGCTCTTTTGCGTGCGCGGCTAGGGCAATGGAATCGTTGAGACCGGTTTCAATTTGCAGGCGCTGAGTGGCATTGCAGCTTGAGTGGATTGGGTATTGGGTTATCGCGCCTGCGTCCCAGGGGGATGGGGATGAGGTGGTTTGATTCTGCACGGGAGTGGAAATTGCTGAGACGGCGGAGAGGAGGAGGAAGGGGAAGAGGGATGCCATTTTGATAAAGATGTTTTGGGGATCTGTGATGAGTAACTTCTGTTGTGCATCAGGACTACGTAGGGTTTTTATATTGCTGCTTTGCGGGATGGTTTGCCTTGGCGTGACAGCTGCCAAGTAAGTGACATTCGTAGGCAGATCCATCTTAGGGCATGTCTCCATTTTCGTATCTAGGGCCAAGAGGTACCTTGCGGATGAGGTCAGTGTTGCTTCGGATAACCCTAAAGATCTCAAATCACGGGCACGCAATTCATTATGAGACTATCGTTGAGTATCTAATACAAAAGAACATAAAAGATTCCTCTCGCCATCTATGACTTGCATGCGCTCACTCAAAGACGCATGTACGGCATCTAGTGTTCCGCGATTATCAGCGTGAACCCGCGCGATATACGAGGGGGAACGGAGAACGCCAAGGGCTGAGCAAGGACCTTGGAGGAAACAAGCCGTGCCAATTCCCAAAGGCTAGCTTATAACGCTCCTATTCAATTGGATACTCCAGACTAAAGTGGGTGGGAATGCCGGGAACCTCTTCTTGGCGGGGGAAGATATCCTACTTAGCATGGACTTGGAAGGAGGTTAGCTCCTGAAGGGTTCGGGCCCAGGGAGTACGTGATAGCCAGTCGGGGTTGGTAATCGCATTTAGTATTAGGCTATCTTATTTGACATTCATATGGACGATCCTTTGTGGGCAAAGCATTCCAGACGGTAACCATGAAAAGCAGCTAAGATTAAATGGCGAAAAGATCAACAGAGAAATTTCCGTACCCCCCACCCCCAGTACCCTTTCACGTCGTTAGGCTCATGAGAATATCCGCTCCGATCTCACTAAACGATTCCAATAACTCACGAAACATAGCGTGCTTGGCCAGCTCCGGAGCTTTGCTGGCGGCATAATGGCTGACCAATTCTCGAAGCGGAGACCCCCCTCCAGGCTCGCTCTTCCCAGTAATACTGTAAGTGACGTTGAGAAGGTCAATGATGAGATTAATATCCGATGTCTTATCGATGAGCTGTCTGAGATCTTGGTGGAGAGACGCGAGGCACTGTTCACGCAGCGACTCAACCAGGAATCTGGTTGCCAGCGCATACAGTCTAGCATGGTAAATAATGTCAGGGCTCGGAGTGTATGACGCGCATCTGCAATCATCGAATTGCAGCTTGCGGAAACGGACGCTTAGATAGTAGGAGATACAGAGCTGGGCGTGTCTCATGTCATCCTTCTGAAAGCTGGGGGGCCACGGTTCGTTACTCCTTATCACTGGGCGGTTTATATGCAGAATCCACGGGAACCTTGATTTTCTAACTGTGCCGTCTTCCGGATGGGTTTCCCCAAAGTCATTCGCGGTGCAAATAGGTGTCGTATATCGGCCAGTGTATAGGTGTTCGCAAAGCCCCCCAAATACATCGACATCGACGTCGTCAAGTATCGCGAGGCCCGTTGTCGACTCCTTCATCAAGCCATTACCGATCATAGCGCTTAGGGGATCTGATTTTTCCTGAACGATGCTCGCATGGATGGTCATGGGGGTTTGATCTTTGCCAACGAGGAAGGTGAACTGAGGCGACTGGATGATTCTGTGGATCGTTAGCGAATGTGTAATGATATGGTACTCAATGGTACTAACGATGTATAGTAGGTCGTCTCTTCCATTTTGTCGCAGACCTCGGCAGTCGATGGTGGCCTGGTTATTGTATCGGCATCGATGTCAGAAGTGTATGTACACAGAAAGCGAGAGTTCGCTCGAATTTCTGTATCAGGAAAAACTGGCCCAGTAAGTGTGAGTGAACGTCGGATACTGTAGAGCTGTTGAGTTCAGGTGGAGAGAATTGGATGTGGCGTTTGAACGAAATGTTTGCTTTCCCAAAGGAATTATCCTCTTTTATATTATAGATCCGTAGCTTCAACTTCCATTCTTTGTCCTCTCTATGGCCAGGTAATCTATTGCAATTTCATTTGTTTCTTCATCCTTTGTGGTTTTGCCCCGTAGGACTGCAGTTGGACCTACTCGGCCTACTATGCAGATTCTACAAGAAGCGTAGTAGCTCACCAGAGAAAGAGCCCATCTGACAAACAAAAAGTGTGCTTCACTGAGTGTTTTCTTGTAAGAAGGATGTAAAATTATGGACGCAGAACATACCCAACATTTCCAAAAACGTTGATATGAAGGACAACACCAAATCAACAGGTTTATGCAGACGTTGTTGAGATTGCCCAATAGAGGAGCCTGGAAACTACTTCAGGTTAGCTTTTCAGTCATTCAAGATGAGCATCAAAACCAAGACCACATACCTGGCCCAAATGCAGCTCCCTGAGCTGGCTTGTCTTAAGGCCTTTTCGGACTGAACATGAAAACGTCGACACCGAGCGGACGCATCGCGATTTTCGTATCACGAACATACACATCCAAAGCAGCCTTACCAGCGCAGTATTCCGGGTGGGTCGAGTCGGGCCAGGAAGCCAACAGACTGCCAATAAACTGTATGCACCCTTTCGCTACAATCACCATACCCGCAAAGACACGGTTCAGCTCAATGGTACCAGCAACATTGGCGTAATGTGAGACGATTCGATCGCCATGCCCATGTTTCGAAAGGTTGCTGGGTGGAAGATGATGTCGAGTTTTCCACCGGATCCCTGGATGATGGATCTGTATGCGTTCTCGATTGAGTAGCGGTCTGTGACATCGAGAGGGAGGAAGGTGATGCGGCTCGAGACCCGTGTCAGATCGGTCATGTCAGAGAGCCTGGCAGATGCCGCGTAGACATGGAACCCCAGAGGTATTCTTTGGCTAGGTAATTGCCATAACTGCCGTTGGCGTAGCCGGTGATGAGAATCGTCTTGAGTGGCATTTTGAATGTTCGAAGCTGGTTTCAAGTGTGATGAGAAGTGTATACGGAGAGGAAGGGAAAGAAAAAGAGCGAGGGAGTGGAGAAGATATCCATCCACACCAGGCAGATACCTGTAACCTATAGGTCTAGAGCAGCATCAATATCTCAAATTTACGTCTGTTTTCCGTCGTGCCTAGAAGTGAATGTTGGGGCTGGTTGCCTCTCTGCAGTCACATGACACCCTTTTGTTATTGTCAGCTCCTTCCTCCGTAAGCAACCATACCTATGCAAACATCACGCCACAGCAAGGTGGTCGTTGACGAGCACGACTGACCATGTCCCTCTTACATCTACCGATCGAGGTTCTCCTCAATATTGCCGACGAACTGAAATATCCCGAAATCAGCGCCCTGAGCCGCACATGCAGCAACCTCTATGGGCGACTGAATATCTTCCTGTATCGACACAATATCCACAATCATAACGGTTGGGGTATGTGGAGGGCCATAGAACTAGGAAATGAGTCCGCGCTGTCAAAATTCATCGAGCAAGGTGCCAACCCGTGCGCTATGGAACGGGTGGGCAGATCACTTTACTATAACCCTTATGTCCCGCATGAGGAGTGTGCAGATGAGGAAGACGAGCCGGGCACAGAAGAGATCACCGATGTGGCTCGACAGTATGAATGCTTGCGTGATAACACGTTCCGAGTGGGTAACGGCAAGGAACCTGGAAACAGCGATTCTGGTGACCGCGAGTCCGATTCAGACGTGACGTCTCCAGAAAGGAACAAGCGCCCCCCTCCTCCATACCGGCAACCACCTCGAAGCCCACCTATCTGCGTGGCTGCGCAGGCGGGCCATATAGGTGTTTTGAAAATACTCCTCGCGCATGGTGCTAACCTAAATGCCCGAGGCCACTACAATAGAACGCCGTTAATTTATGCTGTGATATTTGAGCATACAGATGCGGTCTCACTGTTACTAGACATGGGCGCGTGGCCGAACGCATATGACTTATCCCGTCTTTCTGCCTTATCAGAGGCCGCTGAGGAAGGCCTCGTTGATGTGGCAAAGATCTTACTCGCGCACCCGCGAATTGATCCGGATCCGTGCTCAAGACAGCACCATATTGGCCGTCGACGGGCTTCTTCTCCCTTATACCTTGCGGTCAAGCACCAGCATGCCGAGATAGTGCGGATGCTTTTGCATAGAGGCGTTGATCCAAGAGTGGAAAACCTAATTTACCAATCATGCCTATGCGCTGCAGCGGAAAACGGGGACCTAGCAATAGTTCGAATGCTGTTGGACAAGGGCGCTGAAGTGATGCCACCGCGAGACATATGTGAAGAGGGCACCTTTTTGAATGCGGCGAAGGGCGGTAATGCAGACGTGATGAGGCTTCTGATAGAAACAGGGACCTTTGATCCCACGTTAACGTTCAAAGCGGACACAATGCTGGTTCTGGCGGCCATTAAAGGAAGCGAGGATCTACTTCGTCTTTTGGTGGAAAATGGCTTGGATCCGGAACAACGGGGTCAACATAGCCAGACGGCCTTGTATGTTGCTCAATTGTATAAGAATACCGAGGCTGTGAATTACCTGAAGAGTCTACGCAGGAACGGCAATCAGAGTCCAGGAACTATTGACTATGACTTAATGTAGTTAGCTTTTCTCAAAAGTTTATCCGATAGTGTTGAAAATATCTCGGCTTCGAGTTCCGATAGCAAGAAACCCTGACGCAAGACCAGTGATGCCATAACACGGTCATTTCCTACTATCTCCATACCTCACCAATCCCAGCCTTCTATTCACCTTTTGCTTCACAATGGGACAAAAACAATGGCTTCGTACCTCGTCACTGGAAGCTCCAAAGGCCTCAATCTGGGAATCTGTAATATCCTTGCTTCCAAGCCTGCTTCCGAGGTTTCAAAGGTATTTATATCCGCGCGAAGGTACACCGATGCCGTGAAAAGCCTGGTCGAACAGTATCCCGGGCGTGTCGAGTTTGTCTCGATGGACGTGACGTCCGAGGAGAGTGTCCAAAAAGCCGCGGAGCAGATTGAGAAATCTCTCGGGGGCAAGGGTTTGGATGTTTTGATCAATGGAGTGGGAGTCATGCCTTTCACACCGGAGGGTATTCACACAATGTGTGTATACAACTTTATTGTGTCTCGATTGAGATAGCCATCTGATTCGAATAGGAATAATCTCGGCTCGACCTTGAACACCAATGTGTTGAGCGCCCACCTGGTGACCAGGAACATTTTGCCGTTTTTGCAAAGGGGCAATCTGAAGAAGGTTGTTACCATGTAAGTCTCCATGCTCACACCAATGGGTCAAGCATTGATCATCTTTAGCTCCACGACACTTGGATCGATTGCACGCGCGAAGATATACCACACGCACATGCTTACACCAGCGTACAAGATATCCAAGGCAGCCCTTAACATGCTCATGGTGCAGTATTCCTTGGATTATGCGGATCAAGGCTTCACATTCTTCGTCGTTTGCCCTGGTGTAGGTTTGTCACCATGATGCGGGATTTCGTCGATGCTGACACTTAATTTCTAGTGGGTGAAGACGGATCTTGGGGGCGAGGATGCCGACTTGACAGTGGAGCAAAGTGCAAGTGCAATACTGCATAATATATTCAAGTCGACTCAGGCAGACAACGGAAAATTCTTGAACATCCATGTGCCCGGATGGGAAAACGCCCCGGGCATCAACCAATACAATGGTAATGAAATTCCGTGGTAAGCTACAGAGGACATGTGAAATTGGTAGACAATGCCAATTGAAACCCGACCATTTATGTTTGTATTATATAAGTATCGAACAGATAGTTAATATGACTTCAATGGCGTACGAACTACCATGTTAGCCCCCCCGGCTGTAGAGCCTAGATCCGGGCTGTAGAGGATCAATACGGATTGATTTGCGTATACGGCAGGTCGCAGCCTATTCTTTACTTTGATCAGAAGCCAATGGGAAATACCGTATCTGCGCCCTGGGTACATGTGCGTGTCGAGTCATTAGCCTGAACCTCACAACCAACCGGGGATGGCAGCGATCCAACTAAGCATGTCAAGGATCCCACGCAAAAGCCCCGTCTGACCAGCCTTATGAGTCCAGAGTCCAGTTGAATTCTGTGGAGATCGGTGCTGAACAGCTGGTATCCGATTGCCAAGGGTCTGCAAGGTAAGGTATTCGAGCAGAGCCTCATCGGCGAATGAGCGAATAATCGTGTTTTTCTCCAATTTTTCTCATACTGCAGGATTCTGGCGAGTTCTTGTTTACCAATTAAGCATCGAGTTTGTGTGATGAGGCTCAGCTAATCATATATATATATGCTTGCTTTTTCTCCTGCATGAGGCCCGAAACTAGGGGCGGTGCAATACGAAGGGGGGGTCGAGGAACAAATTTGCAGATCGAGTAATGTGAAGACTCGGAATTTTTCTCTTAACGGCTGACAGTTAATATATAATATAGATGGGATGAATTCTGTTCCCGTTGATAGCTTCAAAATTATCACTTGAACAATCACTATGGCAAGACCCCAAACATCGCCCACCCCCTACCCGGACCAATACACTCTACAGCCCAATGTGGAATTCATATTTACCTCCGACGAGAGCTGGTCTCACGTCGAGGACATGGCTCTGCGGAGACGAATTCAGAACAAGGCCGCTCAACGAAGATATCGTACGTCCTCTCCCCAGTTCCCAGTTTTCCATTGCATGTCTGACAAAAGTACCAATCAGGCCGCAAAATGAGAGACCAACAAGCAGCATCCACAGCGGGGCACCGAAGCCCCGTACCTTTAGCGATGGAGCTTCCCTCCGATCTGCCTTGGTATCCCGATTCTGCACAGGGGCCGAATCCGACAGCAACGGGAGAGCACACTCCGGCGCTATCGTGGAACTCGGAAACATGTGCGTTTTTAAACGGGACGCCGAATGAGCCATGGCAATGCCATCCGTCAGAAGAATTACTTTTTCCGCCATCTGGTGACCATTCTCGTCCGTCGTCGGTATCTTCTTGTCTTAGTGGAAACGCGTTTCCTCAAGATGCAGGATTTTTGGAGCAGAGCGGGCGGGGCTTCCACGGGGCACTGCCTATTGATGATCCATTCCTTGCCGTCGGGATACCCAAACGTAATTGCCAGGTATGAAGAGTCGTCATTAAATTATCTAGCTTCTACTTACATTTTTGAACAGTCATCGCCTCTTCCGCTGTGTTCAAAAGATACAAATGCAGACCGTTTAGCGAAGCGCATTAAAAAGACACTAGACGAATTATCGTTGCTCTACGATATTGGTATCGAACTGGAGCTGGTACCCCAGGACAACGATATGTTTACTCAGTTGGAGAATCTGAAGAAGGGCTTTGGTAAGACCATGGAGGCGGCATGAGAATAGATCATGATGGTCATTATAAAAATTTGTTTATTAGCGTGTGGCAATCTCTAATCTCAACTCATGTGAAGCGACCCTTTCATTGAAGCTTTCTAAATGATTACAAGATAGGGCCTGTCAATAGAATTACTACTAATATCCGGAAGAAGACTACAAAATGGAGAAAGGCATGGAGATAATATAGAGTCCTTGCTAGACCTAGTACATTTTCATTATAGACGGTAAGAGCCGCCTTGCTAAATCTACAGGCTTACGATCCAATTGCCATATTCATTTAACTCACGCTCCTTAGCCTAATTAGATGCCTAGCACCCTTCGTACAGCCTTTGATGATATCTCCGCAGGAATATTCTCCATCGTGACTCGATATCTCATGATTTGCGGCTTTTACAGCGTTAGCAGGAGGCTCCACGCGAACTAATCTTAGTTCTGATTCTGTATTGCATGCTAAAGTACATCAAAAATTGAGTTTGGAATCCCATCGGTGTCACCGTTTACGATGACACTCGCCGTCGTAGCGTCAAAATGACATGATGCCCTTAAAATACCCGAAACAGTGACTCACGTCTCAAATCCTGCAATATATTTAGAATATTGCTCACTATTGGGGCCATAAAGAGTAAAGCATAAGGGTACAAGCTCTGCATTTCGCCCAATAAGCGTACGGCTGTGGTGTCAGCATTCCTCACCGTTAGGGCTCAGCCCGTAAGCTGATCTGGCAGGAACCGACTCAGCCCTAGGGCTGTGGTTACTATACGACTGTTTAATCTATGGAATTAGAATAGCTTTGTTTCAGAATGCTAACGGGATAAAGTGTTTAGCGGGTTATGGGAATGTCAGAGGGGATGAGGGTTGATTCCACGTAGTATATATATCTAGAGGGCGACGATCGGCCAAGGCTTTTGTTGTGAAACGAGATATAGACAAACTTGCATAACTTTACTTTGTTCAACATGAAGCAATTATTTTCAAGCCTGCTTTTTGCGACTGCTGCATGTGCAACCGAGTAAGTACTAACGGCAATGCCTTGCATCATCGTGGACTAACATGTAGACAGACTCTCTCAGGGCTTGACCCAGGCACAAACAAATGGGTAAAGTTCCTTCAGCTATGTTGCGAGCTGGTCAGAGTACTGATGATCGCTAGACTCTCAACATGGGGCACACTTGACAACCCACAGTTCCCCGATTTCCTTCCATCGCATGATGGATCCACGGAAGACCCATGGGAGAATCTCAGCAACCAGCGTCGGGATAATGACCCATATCCTGAGGTCCCTTACACGGGAGTAACAAGATACTATGATTTTGAAGTTGCTCGAGATGTCCTCTCACCCGATGGCTATGGTAAGTCCTAAAGACGAGCCGGTCATTGAGATCAAACTAACTGACATCCCACAGAGAAGAATGGCATCTTTGTCAACGGTCAATTTCCCGGTCCCGCAATTGAAGCAAATTGGGGTGATTGGGTGGAAGTAATGGTGCATAATAACATCACCGGCCCTGAAGAGGGTACATCAATGCATTGGCACGGTATCTCCCAAAAGGGAACACAATGGGCCGAGTAAGCAGTTTCTTCTGGTAACAATACCTTTATATTACCCAGTTTACTAACAACTGCTAGCGGCGTTCCCGGTGTATCCCAATGTCCTATAGCCCCAGGTTCATCATTTACCTACCGATTCCGCGCAAGCGAATACGGAACCTCTTGGTGGCACTCGCACTATTCCGCCCAATGGACAGCCGGGGCATTCGGTCCACTCATTGTCTACGGCCCAAAGCATATTCCGTATGATATCGACGTCGGACCCGTCATGCTTGGCGACTATCATCACCGTGATTACTTTGAAGTCGTGGAAGATGCCGCTAGCAACAGTACCGATCTCAACGTCTACGCACCCTGGTCCGACAATAACTTGATTAACGGCAAGAACAATTACAACTGTTCCATGTCCAAGACGAATGCTACGTGCGTTGACGATGCGGGGTTGGCGCAGTTCAAGTTCCAACCAGGAAAGGTCCATCGTCTGCGGTTAATGAATATTGGTGCTGCGGCGCTGCTTCATTTTAGCATTGACGGGCATAAGATGCAGGTTATTGCGCAAGACTTTGTACCGGTTGTGCCGTATGAAGCAGACGTTATTACCTTGGGTGCTGCGCAGCGGACTGATGTTCTGGTGATGGGAGATGCCGATCCGGACCAAACGTATTGGATCCGGTCGAACATTTCGACCAATTGCTCCAATACGTACACTTCTATGGCTTGGGCAGTTCTATCCTACGATGGGAACGATAATATTCAGGAACCGACAAGCGATAGCACCGATGCCGTGAAAGAGGCAGACCGCAAAGACTTCCTGTGTAAGAATGTAGGTCCAGAACGCCCCTCACTGAAATCCCAATTACTAACGGTCTACAGGACGACTTGAACAAAACAGTCCCGTTCTACCCACAGGCCCTGAAGGAACCTGACATTACAACCACGATCCAAGTCGATCTGTACACCAACGAAACAGGCCACCATTTGTGGACCATGAACAACCGAACACAGCGAACGGATTATAACAATCCGCTTCTCCTCCTCGCCAACGAAGGCAACTTCTCCATTCCAGACCCAGACTGGAACGTCTATGATTTCGGAACTAGCAAAACGGTTCGCATCGTGCTGAATACTGTCTACCAATCCGCGCATCCTATGCATCTTCACGGTCACTCTTTTCAAGTACTTGCCGAAGGGGATGGCCCCTGGGATGGCACAATTGTCAACCCACATAATCCAACTCGTCGTGATACGCACATGCAACGCCGCTACGGACACCTGGTAATTCAGTTCGAGGCCGATAACCCAGGTGTATGGTCATACCATTGCCACATCGCGTGGCACGCCAGTATGGGTTACAATATTATGATTCTAGAGCAGTCGAGAGATATTGAAGATGTGGAGATTCCGGTTTATATCGGACAGACGTGTAGGGATTGGGATCGGTGGTCGAAGCATAATGTGGTTGAGCAGATCGATTCCGGTATTTAAGTCGGCATGGGAAGTGCATATGGGTTGATATTGGAGTTGGGCGGTTGCATGGGACTTGTAATTAGCGTATAGATTTTGTGTCTTTGTTTGCGATATAGATTATGAGTTATGAGCGACAATGCATAGTGATTTTACTTTGCAAGATTCAAGTCATTATTTTGGTTTTTAATAGGCGTACCCTTCGGCATTATCCGCCAGTATGCTAAATGCTGTCGCACTGACTGGCCTTACGCCATGGGAGAAATATAATATCCGAGGAGTCATCATGATAACGGATTCTGCTTTCTTCAGTTGAGTTTTGTCGTTATTTTTCACGGGCTCACGGTCCGAGGCAATGGAATGAGTCTCGCCACGGATATATATAATTGTTACAAAGTAGGCCTATCTCGCTCGCACTAACGGAAAACTATATATCACCTCTCCCCCCCCCCCCCAAGTAGACCCTCTCACCCTTTTCATTACTGAAAAGTTATTCACGCTGTTTTATCGTTCTCCAACCTTACATCGTCATTCCAAGAGTCCTCACACATTGAGGGAGACCGAGGAGAAAGTTCACCTGTATAAAACAGCTCTTCGAATAACCAAATAAAAATTCCTCTATTGACATGATATCCCATAAAAACAAACACTAGACGCAAACAAGCAAAAATGCAATCAGAAAACCAAATACAAATAAAACCCGAGACAAATCCTTCATGCTGCTGCTGCATTTTCAAATCCGATCACCTTCACAGGACCCCTGTGCACTTCCCTCAATTGCTGCACCTTCTCCAACTGAGCCTCAGTAAGCGACTTCTCAATATCTGCCCTAGGGTAAATGAGCATGATATTCGGATACTGCGCCTCGAAGGCAACATCCTCATCCTCCCAATCCCACAGTTCGGACTTCTCCCGGTAAAAGTACGGCCGTCCGTCCTTGTACATCAGCCTGTGCGTGTCACGAACAGCCTTTGAATGGACAGTAGTGTAAGTCCCGTCAAGAGCAATAGCAATGGAGCTGTGCCAGGGCGACTTGGGGAAGCCACCCGAGCCTTGAACAATTAGGGGAATAGAAAGCTTGACAGTACCGCTGGACGGGTGAATGGACAACCGAACATGCTTGGGCTTCATAGCCTGCAAGAACTTTGTGAACGACTCTGCCCGGATCATCATGTTGATAGCGACCTTCTTGACAATCTTGCGGTACTTCTGGCCACTGGTGGCATTCGCTGCTACCGGGCTGTGGCGAAGATCTGTTTCGAGGAAGCGGATGAAGCCGCAGTATGTGAGGAGGGTGTCTGGGTCGTCGCGCATCATTTCACGGACTTCTTCTTCAGTGCGGCCGTATTTCTCAAGAATCTCGTTGCGGCATTTCTGGGCAAGGGAGAGGTAGGATTCTTTGTTGAGGGGTGTGTCGGCTGTGTAGCCGAGGATATCCATGACTCGGAAGAGTTTGATGGACTTATCGTAGCCCTTGGACTTGGCCATTTGGACGAGACCGTCGCCGTAGGCCCAGGTGTTTTCGTCGGAGATTCCGACCACGTCTGTTGAGGTTAGTCAGGACTCTTTCCCGAGAGAGGAGGGGAAACATACCATCGAACAACAACCCATCTGTTGCAATATGAACCTGGCCTCCTGGTGGGTAAACTGCCTTTATATCCTCGCACAGCTGATGAAGACGAGACAGTGCCAGCTCTTCGCCCAAGTCAGGAAGGACACCGGTAACCTTGTCCACTTGGTTGATCTGCACAACCCTGCGTTAGTCTTGTTTTGTCTATGAGTACCTAGGTCTGCCTTACACTCTTCCAGGGGAAAGCAGGGAGGATCATCTCAATAGCATGTCCCTTTGCCACCTGTGTCTTTACTCGGTCCATGAAGAACGACTTGCCAGTCCAACCGGTGACCGGTCCGTCCGCATCTTTGGGTTGGGTGTGAAGACCATAGCCTCCAATAACATCAAGGATATCGCTGGCAAGTTTGTCCGAGTCGGTCTCTGGCTCGCTAATGATAGTGACTGCTCTGTCTTCTTCAACATCGAGGTCGTCTTCAGATTCAAGTTCTGAATGGGTGTTAGCAGACGCATCGAAAAGGCATAGCAGGAGGATATATACCAGTAACGGTGATGGTGACCCCATCATTAGGGACCTTCATGTAGTCATCTGCCGAGGAAGCCTTCGTTGGTGCTTTGGCCTGGTGAACTTCAACCACTTTGGAGACCGGAATGCCGGCATCGACGTCGGACACGGAGGAAGTCTTGAGAGACTGACTCTGCCACCTGAAGAGGATCTCTCTCCACCACAGCGGATTGAACAGCTTTCGCTCAACGGGAAGAGAAAGAGATGCCATTGTGCCGAAATTTCGCAGATTTTTGGCGATTGCTAATTCTTGGATCTTTGTAGAAGAGAACAGAACGATTGTGCTTGATGCTTTAACGAAATGGTCCACTTTGACACGGTTTAAATATCTATTCTTCCACCAACTCCCGCCACTTTTATCACTTCTGTCACCTCTGTCACGTCTGTCATTTCTCTGACACTGCTCTTCATTCAGCCTCTCTGCGTTCCATCCTGATTCTGGTCTATTCTTGGATCCGTATTCCAATCCTACCATACAAGATACACTATACAACATGTGGTAGCCCTAATCGATGCTTCGGGATCTGTCATCGGTCATCTTTGCCGGGCAGAGTCACCCTGCAGGCGTCATCAAACCCTGCAGTATAATGGCGTGCGACAGTCATCATGACCGGTGAGCGTTAAGCTTACAATGCTGACCGGAAAAGACGAGATCAAGACTCGGTTAAAGCAGATCCTATGTTTTAGGACTCTCTCTCCCACTTCTGATTTCTCTTCAATCTTTGAGGCACCCCTCTTTCTTTTATTCTATCTATAATTTCCCTCTCGAATCTTCAAAGATGGCATCTACTTCTACTTCCAGCAGCAGCTTAGCAGCAAAGGAACCCTTCGTGAGCTCTGAGCCCGAAGAGACCCCCGCCGAGAACACCCAAACCACAGTTTCAGAAGGATCCTTCCTCGCCTGCTCCCAAGTCCTAGTCAGTCACCTTATCGTGGTCAATGGCTTCGGCTACTTCTCCTCCTTCGGCATCTTTCAATCACACTGGATTGATACTCTCGACCGTTCGAATTCTGACATCTCATGGGTTGGATCACTCTCGCTCTTTTTACTGTTCTTCCTGGGTACCCTTTCGGGTCCGATTATGGATCGGGGGTATTTGCGTCACCTACTTGTAGCTGGCTGCGGATTTCAGATATTGGGCGTGTTTACCACCTCGGCTGTCTCGCAGTATTGGCAGCTTGTGCTTTCGCAGGGCATTGTGCAGGGCATTGGAAATGGCTTGCTATTCACGCCGTGTATCGCACTTGTGTCGACATATTTCACAAAGCGACGAGCTTTTGCGCTCAGTCTGGCTGCTTGCGGGGCACCGGTTGGAGGTGTCGTTTTCCCTATTGTGAGTTTATGCACCTGTCATCATGGCGGGGTGATTAACTGACAGATGCAGATCGCGCAACAGCTGTCGCCGAAGATCGGATATCCCTGGGCGATTCGGGTGATGGGCTTCATTATTATATTAGACTCGGTGCTCATCGTTCTCCTGGCCCGGCCACGGCAGTTTAAGCGTACCAAGGGGCCTTTGGTCGATCCGAAAGCATTCAAGGAGCCGACGTACCTTTTCTTTGCCATTGGGATCTTCTTCACCCTCTGGGGTGTTTATATCGCTTATTTCTACGTATGACTGTCTCATCCTTCCTGATGCTTTTCTTGACTAACGTGAATAGACGACCACCTTCGGCAAGGAAATAATTGGCATCTCCGAGAATGGCTCCCTCACCCTCCTCATGATCCTCAACGCCGTCGGCGTTCCAGGCCGGATTATCCCTTCTCTCTTAGCAGACAACTACTTCGGAACCTTCAATACCCTTCTTCCATTTGTCTGCGCCGTTTCCGTCCTTCTATACGGCTGGATTGGCGTAGATTCCACGGGCGGTTTCTATGGCTTCGTTGTAATATACGGTATCTGCGCGAATGCCGTGCAGACACTCTTCCCATCTGCATTGTCTCAGCTTACCACAGATCTGAGTAAGGTCGCTTCCCGCGTTGGAATGGTGTTTACGGTGGGAAGCTTTGCTTGTCTTACGGGACCGCCGATTGCAGGGGTGTTGATCAGTAAGAAGGGTGGTGATTATTTGTGGGCACAGTTATTTGGGGGTACTTCTGTTATTCTTGGGTTTGTGCTTTTGTCTGTGGCGAGGTGGGCGAAGGGGTGGTCTTGATGTGTATTCTGCATAGACTGGTGTGCTTGGTATGGACTGTGGATTTGTTTTTGTGATGTTTGGTATTATCTTATTGGAAAAGCGTTGCATTGCATAGAATAGAATGTTCTCAACATGATCTTCGTCCTGCATAAGTAAGCGTATGCGTTGTACTCCGTAAGCCTTGACGGGACCGACGAGTCATGTCTCTTTGTCGGGAGATGCTCAACCTTGTCCGGATTCTTTTTCCTTTGGAGAATTGGACTTTGGTTTGGACCCTGTCAGGCTAGCCTTGGTCTGTAGATTGATCTAATCTTGTCGGCCCCATGGCTCACTGTCGCTGTAGCGAAGTAGCGATGACACGAGAGCACGAGCACATATCACCATGCCTCCAAACAGGCTATGCATTAAAACCCCTCAGCGCCCTCAGCCTCAACCTGACAGGTACATTAAGTCCGTAGACTAATCACCGAGTAAGAATAGAACAAAGAAAGAAATCACATAGCTTACCAATCCATATTCCCCCAGATTCTCCCGTATTCAAGAAATTTCAAGACAAGGCTTAGAAATCAAGTGTAAGAATATCGTCATTAAGCCTCCAGAATTCGGAATACGCAGTGTATTTTGCTTACTGTGGTACTTATTTCCGAGTGGTATATCGCAATCGGAGGCCCGTATAGCGGGATTAAAATAAGCGCTAGATGACCCCTGCAGCTCACCTCGTATAGGGCTCTTTTTGCCTTTTCTATGTCTGTTTTGAATTGATTGTTAAGCACGGATTTAGAGATCGGATTTAGATTCGTTCTTTGGGATATAAAAAGACATACCAAGTCGCACCGGAAAACTCATCTATTTCATTTCGCAATTCGTCTATTCACACACACTCGCATACACCGCATCACCCACCATGTCTCAACGCGCCATCCAGATCCAGAGCCCCAAAGTGGCCAAGCTGGTCACCGACGCACCGATTCCTAAGATCCGCGACGACTATGTTAAAGTTAAGACTGTCGCTGTCGCCCTTAACCCCACGGACTGGAAGCACATCGACTTTTTGGCCACCGAGGGCGCCATTGTCGGATGTGATTACAGTGGTATCGTTGAGGAGGTCGGCTCCGTAGTGACCAACCTGAAGGTTGGTGATAAGGTTGCTGGTTTTGTTCACGGCAGTGAGTGTTTCCCGGGGACGTTTTATGTAGGATAGTCGGCTAATTCATGCAGGCAACGGCGACAACATCGAAGACGGCGCTTTTGCCGAACACATCGTGGCCAAGGCCGCCATTCAAATTAAGATCCCCGATAATATCTCCTTTGAGGAGGCCTCCACCCTCGGTGTCGGCGTTACCACCGTCGGCCAGGGCTTATACCAGTCCCTCGAGCTACCATGGCCCTCCACGACTTCCACCACAACAGAGAATTCCCCCGCCATCCTCATTTATGGCGGTAGTACCGCAACCGGCACGCTCGCTGTTCAATTCGCTAAGCTCTCCGGCTTCAAGGTCCTAGCAACTGCCTCCCCACATAACTTCGACCTCCTCCGCTCCCTCGGCGCCGATGAGGTCTTCGACTACCACTCTCCCACCGTTGGCGCTGAGATCCGCGCTGCCACTAACGACCATCTCGCCCACGTCTTCGACTGTATCGCGTCCGAAAGCTCCGCCGCCATCTCTGCCGAGGCGATCAGCAGCAAGGGCGGTACTTACAGTAGCTTGTTGCTTGTTAAGGAGTTCCCGCGCGCGGACGTTGATAACAAACGTACTCTTGCTTACACTGGTATTGGCGAGACCTACCACAAGGGCGGTTCGGAGTTTGCGGCGGACCAGTCGCAGTTGGACTTCCAGGTTAAGTTCTGGGAGTTGTCGAGGGAGCTGTTGGCTCAGGGGAAGGTTAAGGTGCATCCTCCTGAGGTGCGGGAGGGTGGTTTGGAGAAGATTCTGGAGGGTGCGGAGGATCTGAAGCAGAATAGGGTTAGCGGTGTTAAGCTTGTGTATCGTGTCTAAGGGTTGAAGTAGAGAACTTGTATTGTTAAGATGAAGATTTAACCATGGACTTTCTAAATTTCTGTCTGCGAAGCATAAGGGACAGTTTCATTAATGAGTAAGCTGAATACTACCCATAGACTACCATGTTTGTCTTCACGTAGTTGCCATATGCTATATCGATGCTATATAGGATGAGCAAGCCAAGCCCACGGTGCTTCCAACAGCGGTCCACCCAGCATGTTCCAACATGCCGGCATGTAGCAGATTGTGCAGTTTTTAAATGTGAGAATGAGTCAACGTTGAATGGTCTTCATTCAACTGGTGATCCAGGTTTATCCACCCCATTCCCATCACTGGTTCTTGATGGTATCATACTTCTTCGACACAGCCTACCCACCACGATGAAAAAGAGGTCATATGACCCATCCTGGAGGGTATGGGTGCTTAATACCCTTATGCCCCGCTGGTTGAGAAAAAGGCCTGGGGGATGTGTTTTTGGACAGGCAACTGACACTATAGTGCAGATTAACAAAAAAATGCTTGTCAGTCCCGCATTGATGCCCTCTTTGGAAGCACGACAAGCCTTGCCGGGGTTACTCCCTTCCTGAAAATAGGGCTGTCTTCAACCTAACTTTGTTCTTTAGAGAAAGCCCATGACGGGAATAAGCTTCCGCCTCGTAATAAGCTTTGTCCCGTTGAATATTCATTAGGGTCATCCAGTCTCTCTAATACTCGGTGCATATCTTCTGCATCATTGAAGTCCTTGGTATGTATGAACAACCTCCTTTCGCCTTCCTGGTCACTGGATGTGACGCCAGTGCCAAATCCTCCGTGCATGGTTTTTTCAATGGCCACCTTCTAAGCAGCCTCGGTATGTCCAGAAGGCAAAATAAATCCCGCTGGCCTAACAAAGTGTAATTTCTTTCCTTCGTTTGCGAGGCAAAAGGTTTAACATTCCGGTATCTGTCTTTGGCTTTGCATAGCTTCCTCTTCCCTGGCCCTCTTGATCATCCCAAATTAATCGAACAGCTTATACTTCGGGTCATGGGTGTCGGAGAAGCGATCCGACGGGTTACTCCATCGTGTTCGTCAGCGCATGTTTCGCGAGGGAACGCTTAACCCGATATCATATCAATCAAGCCTCTGTGTGCTGACTGAACTTAGTTACACTCGATGGTTAAGACTACTTTGGATCGCTGTGATATACTATGGCTTCTACCGTCACCGGACACGGCCAACTAAACAAGCCGGGGATTTCTCTCCCGCAGATGCGACGATAATCTGCCCTACCGTCCAGCCTAAAGGAGCTCTAGTCGATAAATTGAAATCATGGTTGACGAACCATCCCCGTGAAATCATGGTCGTAACCACCATACCCTGGCTCCCATCGGTGAGGGAACTCGTCCAACGAGTCAACGATGCCCGCATCGCGATACACACCATCGACGGGGGAGCGAAACGACCAGCCCTTGTGAGGGGAATTCAGCAAGTAAAATCACCCGTTGTGGCTCTTGTCGACGACCATATCATCTGGTCTCCGGATACCCTACACGGCCTTCTCAATGTTCTTTCGGAAAGCTGCGATGTTGGAGGCGTAACGCCCATCAAGAACAACAAGAACCCAGAAACGACTGCCCTCGGAGCTATTGCTGCTACTCGTCTCGACCGCAGGAGTATGGCTAATGCGGCCATGGCGTACTTCACCAACGGGCAGGTCATTGTCTGTAATGGGAAGACATTTGTTTATCGCACGGAGATTCTTCAAGACCCTGACTTCTTTGAATATTTCACTCGGGATATGTGGATGAACAAATACCCACTTGTTTCGGGAGATGATGTGGCCATCACTTACTAGTTGTACCAGAATGGATGGAGGATGGGTTTTGTATGCCAAGATGAATATGTTGTTATTGCCCAGCAGGTACTGGGAACTTTCAGGATTCACCTAGGGCTGGTTCTGCTGTGGGCGAGAGGCCGCATTCGACTGATCCTTCGTGATATAGGAACTATTGTCTCTGGTAGTAGTCCATCGAGGTATCGTCTTCTCAGCCTCAGATCGATTGTTTTTCCAGTCATGACGGAGGACTATCTTCTCATTCCAGATTTCTTGACTGTCCTGCTCGTTCTCGTGGCTCGGGGAGCTGGTTTCGTATCACCGACAGCCGTTATACTCAGTACTTGGATAGTTTTGTTGCAGTATTTGGGGTTTAATGCCTTGTTGGAACTTACCGGTAACCTTTTGACACTTTTCTCGGTGTCCACAGTCTTTGTGGCAGCTTCCAGTTTTGGCATGCTGGGCTCATATTCGAATGGTCGTGACGATTTATGCTTTTCTGACCCCTAACCAGGTGAGTTACATTATTCCCTTCTGTCATATAGGTCACATAACTGACATTCCTAGTTCTGGATGGATGACGCGGATTGGGGTTGCTTAGTATCAGCCATCACATAATGCTACGTGTCCATTATAATATATGCATTCATATTTTACAATAGAAGAAGAAAATAGTTGTACACGCACCGCTCAATAACATATCCAGATTTTATCAGTCAATTGACGGCCGAGTTGATGATCCCGAATCATACCCTCTCACTGACATTGATTGCAGCCCGACATCCCGCGCGAATCACGTTAACCAAAGGATCGTAGGGCTTCGCCTCCTTCGAGTCGTTCTCGACTGCATGGTCCAAGTGCTCCAGCTCTTCGTCACGGATCCTCCGGAATGTAGCCACCATCTCCTTCAGCTCATCATCAAGTTCCTCCCCTCGTCGCTCAGCTTCAGCCGCCCATGACAAGATCTCCCGCACTTGCTCATTGTAATGTGACCCAATCTCCGTCTCCACAGCCTCCGTGCATGCCATAGCAGCTTCACGACCCATAACCGCGGTTGACCAACCCAACATCGTCGCAGCCACCTCCCAAACCGGATACATAGCCGTCGGACGAACTCGGTGTTTCGCATTGTATTTATTGAATGTCGAGAAATGCCCGGCTTCTTGGTCGTACATGTGCTTCATTAACGGCCGGAGGTGAGGATGTGAGCGCACGATGGGTGGTTTTTGTGCATCGTAAATTAGGGTCGCGGCCAGCTCGCCCGCTTGGTTGACACGAAGGGCGCTATCGAGAAATTCGCGCTGTCGTTGGCTTAATTGATAAATTGGTTTCTTTTGTGAACTGCTGGTCGTGGTTGAATTGCATCGCGCATGGTTGAGGCGCAATGTCGAGGGAGCTAGAAAGTCCAGACATAATGGCGATGCGGTGCGAGCCAGCGCACAACTCCGAAGTGCTCGATTTGTATACATTGTGATCCGTGAAGTTTTAAATGTCCAAGAATGTCCAAAAACAAGTCCAAGAATCGACTGATTTCGGAGCATCCTCGGAGCCCGCCGATGCCGGCCCCGCCACAAACGCGCGGCAACTGGACTCGGCGCCTAACTCGGCTGGAAGGTCATGGTACGCCGAATCAGCGTCGAATTCACTCACTTCCAACTTCCAACTCCCTCGCCCGCCACCCAGCCTCTCTCTCTATCACGACTATTCTCATCGCAAAAGCTGGGTTTCGCGCCCTATTTTATCCGGAAATCTTGTCGACGCGCTTTGATTCGAGTATACGCGCCGTCTAGTGTCTTTTTGTCCGAGTTCCGACTGAGGAGGACAGATTCTCCTTTTCTTTGCCCTGGCTGGTCAGCTGTTCAGGGGTTCGACAATTCCTTGAAACCGGGAGATCTCTTTACTGAGCATCTTGCGGTTACTTGCTCGAACCTGGTGCTCCCTGCAACGCATACAACAGTCCTGTTGAGATTACAGACGACTTCGATTTGAATTATCCACCATGGCCGATGATTTTGATGCCGAGTTGCTCGCGTTGGCGGGTGACGACTCGGACGAGGAGACTTCGCCCCAAGCGAAGCAGAGCGCGGCGTCGCCTGCACCATCACAATCTCGCTCTCCGGAACCAGCGAGTCGCAAAGGGACCGCTAAATCCTCGCGAAAAGGTAGAAAGTCACGGAGGGATGAGGAGGATGGAGAGGTGTATGTTTTTACTCCTGGACTCTTCGATGTGTCGTTGCTGCTAGCATCGCCATTTTTGCATTTTAGAGACAGAGAACTGATGAGTTGCGTTTCGCAGGTCTGATGCAGAATCCGCCAGCATGTCAGAATCAGATTCTGAAGCTGAGTCGTCGCCGGATGTCGATGGTGAGGGTCCGATATTCCCGTACGACAAGTTATACTATTCTGCGAAGGATAAGCAGGAGATTATGGCCATGCCGGAAATTCAGCGAGAAGAGATCCTTTCCGAACGTGCCCAGCAGGTCGATCGTCACAACCAGGATATCGCGCTGCGTCGTCTTTTAGCATCCCGGGAGCGTGAAGAGGCTCGACAGGCGAAGAAGAACAAGCGGAAGGCTAGCTCGGCGGGAATAGATGATGTCCAACGCAAGAGCTCTAGGCAAAAGACTACACTCGGTGGTCGAAAGGTTGGAGAAGCTTCTGGTGCTATTGAGGCCTACAAGCGACAGCGAGAGCAAAAGGGCAAGCGAGACGAACTGCGGCGCCGTGACCCTAGTAAAGAAGTCGGTCGGGCCAAGGATGAGAGTTCTAGTGAAGACGATGCTGGGGGAGAGAGCGAAGCCGAGTGGGACGACCGGGATCGTTCGCCTTCACTACCCAAAGATGATCCTCCTGCCGAGTTACGCGATATCCAACGTGCTCGTGTAGGACGAAGCAACTTTGCGCAAGTCTGCTTCTACCCTGGATTCGATGATGCCATTTCTGGTTGCTACGTTCGAGTCAATGTTGGGCCCAACAGGGATACTGGCATCAATGAGTATCGTCTCAGCTTGATAAAGAGTGAGTGAAATCAAGACGATTTAGCACATAGATATACTAATTTTGAGTTAGGATTTTCCGAAGGAAAGCCCTATGCTATGGAAGGTTCTAATGGGCGGCCTTTTATCACAAACCAATATGCAATTCTCGTTCATGGAACGTCAGAACGCGAGTTCCCATTTGTTGCCTGTTCCGACTCTCCTATTACCGATCATGAATTCAACCGTTACCGCCAAACGATGGCAGTCGAAGACTGCAAAATGGCCACAAAGTCTATGCTAGCAGATAAAGTGGGAGACATTAACCGGTTGCTAAACCACAAATTTACAAACGAAGAGTTGAACGAGAAACTCCGGAAACAAGGATCGTTGGACTCGAAGACATCTGTCTTCAAGCGCATAGAGACTGAAAAGCAACTCGCCCTTGCTAGGGCTTCTGGTGACGATGCTGAAGTCGACAAGCTGCAAGCCCAATTGTCCGAATTATCAGGACCGAAATTGGCAATCGGCTCGTCGCTCAACAAACCGCAACCCAAGAAACAGTCTGAGCATGAGCGTCTTGCCGAGCTCAACCTACGGAACCAACGGCTTAATTACCAGAACGTTAGGCGCGCTCAGTTGGATGAGAGGAAAGCAACGAAGAAGGCTGCTGCTGCCATTGCCCGTGGAGAGGCTGCGCAGGATCCGTTCATGCGTGTGAGAACATTGGCCAAGACGCATCACGATTCCAATGGTACTAGCAGTGCACCGCCGCCCAAGCCAGAGGTACCCGTTGACAGCCGCGATGCTACACCAACAACCGGGCCGGACACTCCTGGCAAAGCTACACCGAAGCGGAGCGAAACACCTACCCAGAAGAAGTCCGTCAAGGGTGGCATTGCAGGTATTCGTCACCGTAACATGGATGACGAGAACATTGCTGCTTTGGATCTCGATCTGGACATCGAAATATAGTTTTCTTCACGAGATGAGGAAAACACGGTGTCGAAATCTTCACCAACCAACGCGGGAAACCTGCTATGAACCATCGCCACCCGAGTGTTGGTATGACATTTGATACCCATAGGGTTCTTCTCTATACGCCGGTCGAAATGGCAGCGAATTACTCGATTTGTATAATCCTGATGGAGTTTCACGGGTGTAAATGACACTTTTTTTTTTTTTTGCATGGTAATTTTGTATACGGAGCACTACGTCAAGGATAGTCCATTTTTTGCATAGAAAATGAATCGCATAATGAACGAGAACCTTCAATCCACTCGTAGGGCTCAATGTAACTACATTTTCGCTCAAAGTCACGTGTATCCCTGGCCAAATGGGTAATACGCTAGGCTCCGCGGTGACGCGCTGGACGCGGCGCGTCGTAGTTGGAATCTCCGCCCTGCACTAGCAACCATGCCTTTCCAACCTGTTCACAGCAGGCAATTGAAGACACCTTCTAAAGGGTATTCTTTTGCTAAAACCTATATGAATTTATGTTCCTTTTGAATTATCATATAATCCACCATGTCTGCACCATCTACACCCCGCTCGACGCGCACCGCGTCACCGCCAGGCGACTCGCCGGCGGTGCTTACACCAGGACAAAAGATCAAGGCCATGATGGCTCAATTCGATAGTGATTCGGAATCAGAGAATGAGAATAAGTCGAAAACACAACGGCCGATCGCGAGACCGAACTTTACGGATAACACATCGAGTAGCGAACCGACTCAACCACAAGAGGCAGAGAACGCGGATTCGGACGAGGACGAGGGAGATGATGATATTGTCATGCCTAGGGGGCGAATGGCTGCGAGATTACAGGCCCAGGGAGAAGATGGGGACAACAATGAGTCGGAGACGGCTTACGATCGGGTAAAGAGGACTCTAGGGGAACAAAAAAAGGGGACTCAAGATGATGATGACGAGGATGACCTTCCTATGACTGGGCCAAGGAGGCGACAAGCGAATAAACAGAACAACTTTGACGATGAGGAATCGGATCGATCGCCATCTCCCGCACGCTCGTTTTCTCCGTTATTCATGTCCTCCCCTGAAACGCAACGACATGCACCGCGCGAAGAAAATGGATCAGACGGATTAGACGAGGAACCACAACCGAAGAACAACGGCCGACTGCAGGCACTCATCGCCCAAAAACGCAAGGAACGAGAGGACCGTGAACGAGTCGAAGCCGAGAAGAAAGCCGCCCGCGCAAAACAAAACGAACAATTTAGCTCCGATGTCCTTTCCGGAGAAGACAGTGGCGACGATAACGAGCGTCATTCCGCGAAGAAATTGTCGCAGCAGGCTCGTCCGTCACGCAAAGCCAGCAAGAAGGCTCTCGAAGAGATGAATCGCGAGACCCAGCGGATGAGCAGGAATATGCAATTGGCGCATCAGGCGCAGACGAAGAAGAAGATTACAAAGGAGAGTTTCTTTGCTAGGTTTAACTTTGGACAGCCTAAGACAGACAATGCAGGACCATCGGCGGGAAATTCGTCGACGACAGCTTCGCAAAACTCGTCGGATGGGGAAGTACAAAAGGAGCGGGAGACACCGCGTACCTCGCCTGTTATGGGCCCTGCTGATAAGCCAGTCGGTCCTCAGACTGCAGGTGACAAGGGAAAAGAAGCGGAGACTGAGGATATGGAGTTCACCATGCCTCCTCTCGAGGAAGTCCTTGCCGGAACGCATCTACAGCACGAAGAACCAACCGTTGCACGAGCTGAAGTCCAGACGGAAGAGCCACGCCAAAAGACATCAGGACCAAAACATGAGCACAAAACACTCAAGAAACCACCTGTTCGAGTCCAGCTCTCTCGACAATCGGTAGCCGAACACCAGCAGGAGGACTCCGACGACGACCTTGAGGTTGTCACGTCTCCCGCTAAATGCCGCCGAATTGCAGCCTTTGAAAACATCAAGACCAAGAGATCAGAGGAATCCGCTTCCATGTTGAAATTGAAGGCTTTGGCTCATCTCACTTGTCCTGACCGTCAAGCGACATCAACGAATTTCGCGCAGTTGTCGGCTGATTTGCTAGCTCAGGCTAGAAGACAGACTGCCGACGAAAGAAAGCAGAGAATTGACGAGCTTCGGGCTAAGGGTGTTTTTATTGAGACCGCCGAGGAACGACAAGCGATGGAGGATGAAGTTGAGAACCTCGTGGAGAAGGCCCGGCAAGAAGCTGATGACATCAAGAAGCAAGAGCGCAAGGAAAAGAAGCAAGGCCAGGGCAACGATGACGATGAGAGTGATGAGGCAGATTATGAACCTTCTGGTTCTGAGGATGAGGAAGGCGAAGGTAATGGTGATGAGGAAGAGGAAGAGGACGAAGAAGAAACAGAAGCCCAGAATGACGAGAACATGATTGATGCTGAAGCCGGGGAGGATGATGAATCGGCAGACGAGCAAAGCGAAGCCATGTCTGCCGACGAAGCTGATGTACCGGCTACGCGAAGAAAGCGGCCTACTCGAGTGATCGAAGATGAGGATGATGAAGACGAACAGCAGCCTGAACCTCAAGCACCAGCAACCCCGGTCAACCCAATCACCCCGAACAAGGGCTCTGTAGCGCGGCCCAAATTCCCTGGCTTGGAGGACTCTGCTGGCTTAACCATGGGTCTGACCCAGGCTTTTGCGGGCACATTGGCTGGAAGTGGACAAGACACTCAGCCGAACACCCCCAGTGTCATTCCATCACTCCCAGACCCTGTCGCCGGTGCCGAACCGTCCGATTCTCAGATCCTCGTGAAAGACAGCCAGGGACAACGAGAAGAGACCGGCGACATCTTCGCCGGATATGCTCCGTCTGAGGGTGGTGTATCTGAATCGCCAGCCCCCAGAGCAATGTCCGAATTCTCGGTGCCTGAACCAACGCAAGATGCCGGCTTCGTGTATTCGCCTTATGACCCTTCGAAACGGTTCCGGCCTCCCCCGTCAACGATCGAAACGGTAATCATCGATCGAAACGAAACACCAGATTCTCCTGTTGCTAGCAGGAAGAACAAGCACCTGCGTCGCGGCCGAGCTGATGATAACCAAGGAACGGAAAAGCAAAGTAAAGGCGACTTCGAAATCGACTCCAATGCATTTGACGTTATGAGGAAGGCGACTAAGAAGAAGAACATCATCCCATTCAACAAGCAAAAGAGCAAAGCCAAGGATGTTGTCGAGGACGCAGCCGAGGAATCCGAGGATGAATATGCCGGTCTCGGTGGTGGTAGTGATGACAGCGACGGTGAACAAGACGCGTATGATCAATCAATGATCAACGATAACAGCGGGGAGGTTGTGGATGAGAAGCTGTTGGCTAGGCTCAATGCGTAAGTATTCCTCGAACTTGGGATGAAAAGATGCCAATGCTAATGCTCTCTGCAGTGCTCGTCACAGGGACGACGACGCAAAGCAAGTGGAAAAGCTCATGAGGGATATTACCACTGGTGCTCTTCGACGGCGCAGAGGAGCCGATGATGATCTTGATCTCGATGACCCCGAAGACGAGCTCCTCGCCCGTCGTCGTGAGAAACAACGAGAATTCGCCCGGATGCGAAGAGCCCTTCTTGCCGACGAGAAGGTGAATGAAATCGCCGAGAACCCCAAGAAGGCAGCCTTCTTCAAAGCCATTGAGGACCGCGACGAGGAAGAGGATGTCGATCTGGAGTTCCTGGAATACGAGAACGCGGGTGGTTCTCAGGAACAGTCTTCGCAGGACGTGGCACCAGAAGCGCAGAAAGACCCTGCAGCACCGGAAACCGAAAACAACGACAACAAGAGAAAGCGACCCCTTGAGCCCTCCGCAGAAGACATCGCCAACCGTCCCCCACCTCATCTCCGTCGCAAGCCCGCCAGCCATATGTCCAAGAAACCCGCCACCCTCGCAGAGATCCGCGAAACGGTCTCCTTCCTCACAGAAACCCACGAATACGATTCCTTCCACGAAGACGCTGCCATCGACGAGGAGGGCGACCACGACGAACAAATGGCAGAAGCCGAGACACCAGCAGCAGAAGAACCCAAAGAAGACTTAGTCCCTCGCAACCACAACCACAACCACCCCCGCCGCACACGAGGCCCCGTCGTCGACCGCCTCGCCCTCCTCCGACAAGCCTCCTCCAACTCCGCCCAATCCTCCTCCGCAAACACCCGCTTCGCCTTCCACGCAGGCGCCGGCAACGACACAGCTGCGAACATCGGCTTCAGACCTCCGCTTCGCAAGAACTCAGCAAACTCTTCGTCATCGGGCAGCGTGTCTTCTGGATCTTCTGACTCGCGGAAGACCATGAAGGCGCCTGCTGGAGTGTCGACGGCGAAGAAGGGCGCTGTTAATTATTATACGGCTGCTAGGGAGAAGGAGCGTGAGCGGGCGATTCGGGCTAAGGAACGGTCTAGTGGGTCAAATGTTGCGGCGTTGCTCAATAAACATGCTTCGAATCAGCGTGGTTTGGGGGCTTTGGGGAAGGGGCAGTGGGAGTGATTGTATTTGTTTGATATTTACGGGATTAGTTAGTTAGCGGGCGTTGATTTGTAATTGGATTGGTTGGTTAGGATAATCTGTGGAATGTCTATGCGAAGCTTCTATTTCCTCGCAATGTGTGTTCTACTATGACTGCTCGTAGCCCTGAGACGTTGTCTTAGGTCTTGCTTCTGGTGTAAATCACTTATAGTGGCATATAGACTATTCTGTCCACTGGGCCACTCAATGCTGTCCTGTATGTGTATAGTAGGGGTTTATATATGCATACTGCCGCCCCTCCATGATGCCTTCATTCGGACCTCTCCAGCAGGTCGAACAACTCAGTCAAGGAACGGATCCTCTTCGTATCTTGCTGATCCTGTCCCTTACCCTCCCGTGGAAGATAATACCCATCCCAGCCAGCATTAACGGCAGCCTGGTAATCCTTGGAATAATCATCCCCAACATGAACACAAGTCCATTGAGAAGCATTCTCAGAACTAGCACCAACATGCCTCATGGCCTGTTGTCTTGCCACATCAAAGATAGCCGGACTAGGTTTCTCTTCTCCGGCTTCGTAGCTCGTGATGACAAGGTCAAGGTCGTTGATCGCATTATCCCCTTCCTTTGAGGAAGAACTTCTTTCTTCGAATCCCGCCAGTCGCATACTCGACACGCCCTGGTCTGCACGAGTATCGCCCACAGCCAACTCCAGAGACTTCAAAACGCCCGGCACGCGGTCATCCGAGTTCGAAATCACCCCGACAAGCACCTTCTCAAACGGCCCGAATCTCTGCTTCTGCGTAAGACCTCTCTTGACCTCTCTCATCCTCGCCATAAACTCCCCCGCATCCTCATATAAAACATACCCCTCTTTACTAGCAAACCGATCGAGTAACCTCTGCACCAACCCTTCCGGCAAATCACCACCATTATCACCATTCAACACCTTCCCAAAACTCCCCCGTATAACCTCCTCCCACCACTGTCTCGGCCCTCCATATTGCCCCCGCAACGCCAATTCCCTCCCGTAATTCGGATACTGTTTAGCATGCGCCTTGAAGACCTCTTTGAAGGCGGGCTGCAGCGACTCGGAGGTAACCAGCGACGGGGATAACCCGAAAGCGTGCGCGGTCGAGGCGTATTGCTCTGGGACTGGGAGACGAGGGTGGAAAATGGTACCGAAGGCGTCGATTGTGAGGAGGAGGGAGCGCGGTGGCATGTTTTATGTGTTGTTGAAGTGGCTGTCATGTCATGTCATGTAGGATCGGCGATATCGGCGGTCGAGGTCGGGGTCGGGGTCAAGGTCGGGATCGGGCATAATAGCCAAAACAACGACCACTAACTGACCAAACAAGAAGGCGCTATGCAGAAAACTGACCGGGATTGTTTTCTGTTGCGGCTACTACTGGCAGTGATGACGCGTCACCTGATTCTGTGCGAAGGTATGTGTATATATCCCCCGTTTCACCAGAATTTTTACTTTTTTTACAGCACCGGCTTCACGAATCGACGATGCGGCCTCAATTCCTCTCTCTAGTCCTGCTGGCTAGCCTCTCAACATCGACAATCGCCCACGAAGAATCAATCCAGAATGCAAACCACATCTTCAACGCCATCCACTCGTCCATGCGCCAATGGGGCTCGTCGCTGTACCACAATGGCATGTCCTTCTTTCTAGCCTCCGTCCCGACTGGAACGCAGTTGTATCACGGCGGTATGAGTCCTGACCATGTGATTGGGACGGAGTGGTTGGCATTTGAGCCGGAGCATGCGATGCTGTTTGCTCGGATGCCGCCGATGGGTTCGCAGCCTGGTGTTCCTGGGCGGGGTCCACATAAAGGACCGCCACCTGGCCATGGTGGTCCTAGAGGTCCTGGAGGGCAGAAGCCATTGTCGCTCGAGCCGCCGGAGGATGAGGAGCCGAAAAAATCTGGCTGGCTGCAGACCTACGTACCTGTCAGGGATCTACGATTGCTGTATATCGATGGCATGTCCGCTGGAAAGACGAGTAACGGAACCCTCGACTCGCAGAACCGGATTCTGGTGAATGATTCAGTACACGATGATAGAATTATGAATGAGTTTGCGCGTGCGAAGGAATTCTGCCGTTTGTCCCATGAAGTATGGGATGATCGATTGGACGGCGTGATTCGCATGGAAGCTGGGTTTGAGATCATCCTCTGCGAATTCGAGCGCGATTTACACCTGCTGCGTGAAGTCGAAATCCAGGCGAATAAGGGAGGCATTCCCCGTCATCTGCCACGACCGGGTAAGGACCACAACAAGACAATGCATGATATCATCCCTGATTCTGGGCCGTGGATGAAGGCCATTACGGCACGGTATCATGGTATTGGGGGGAATCGGGTGAGGGTTAACTACAATCATTTTGTTACTGCTTTCACTTATGAGTTGGATATCTTCGGTGGTGAGAGCAAGGAGTTGCGGCCTCGTTTGAGCCATCTCGATACCTCGCAATTAGAACCTATCCGGCAGGATCTTAAGGCGTTGATTATGGGCCATGATACCGATGAGCCCTCGTTTGATTGGCAATCTGTTACGGACATGGTGGTTGAGAAATATGCTCATACATTGAAGAGTCTGGTTTCTCCCAGCATTACGGCGAACACGAAGCAATTGCACGACGACCTCAAAAAGGTGGCTGATCCATTCTTCGACTTTGGTGGTCGCAACATCACGGCCGAGGCGGAGCGTTGCGCAACCCAGTTCATTCCCTTTAACGCCCCGACCCAAAGCGTCGCAGCTCGTGCCGTGCGTTCCATTGCTGACAGTGTCTGCTTCACGCTACTTGAGGCATTCGACGAACCCGACTACGACACAGCCGTGACCAAAATTCAGGATCTGGTTGACTACCTCGCCTGGACAACCTGGAAAGAGTGCCGTGGCTGTGGGGACAACGAAGTCTGCATGATACCTATTTGGCCGATGGGCATTCTAGAAGACTGGGAAAACCCGACATGTCGCGATATCAGGAACCCTCAGGATGATGGGGTGAAATATTGGGGATGGGATTTTATCCCGGGGCCGACGAAGCATGCTGATTCATGAACGCTATGGTATTCTGATAATCCTGTATGTTTACAAATTGGCGAGATAACTATGGAATAAATGCAATCACTAAGCTATGTATAATGCAAGGTTGGTTGATAAGTCCGCAGCACTTCTTCCCATCTTGGCGAGTCCATAAGAAGGACGTTCGGGACTTCTCTCTCGACATACTGCACCTGTTAGCATAACCCTGATTTTAAGAATTGAAAAGGGGACACTCACATCACGATACTTCCCCTCCATCCTCATCCTCAAAAAGCACTTAAACGGCATCGTATCCTGCATAAAATACTCTCCCACCTCCCTCCCCATGCCCTCCTTTTCTCCCTCCAAAACACCCCCAAGCACCTCCCTCACAATCCCCCACCCCCCATCCTTCTCCAACCCCAACGCACTAACAGTCAACCCCACATGATTCTGCACAAGCGCATGATGCACCTTACTCCATACATTATGCAAATCCTCCGTCAGCGTTGCGCCCCCTGGAGGCAGACCGTCAAAGTTCACGCCGAATTTCTTCAATGTGGGAACGTGCATCCGGACACCGCCGAAATCACGAACCGCGAAACCCTTCACTTCTCCTGTTTTCCGGCAAATGCGGGCAACGAGGTTCTGCCCGTGCGCTTCGAGGCCGATTCCGTAGCGTGCTAGGGGCGGAAGGACCAGTGAGAAAAGTCGGGTTACGTATGTGCGTAGCCAGGATTGTTTGTCGGTGGTTGTGCGCAGGTTGTACAGGATCTCTGCGTAGCTGCGGGTGTCGTTGTATGGCTGTTGGGCTAGTGCTGCTGCGATGACGAGACGCTCGTTGTTGGCATCTGCGCGGGCTTCGAGATCATCGCGCAGGATGCAAGAGAGATGTTTTGCGTCTGCGAAGTTATCCTGTCCGCCTGAGACGGCCGCGACTTCGCGGAAGACCCAGAGATCGCTTGGGAGGAACTTCTCAAGCAGGACTGTTTGAACTGGTCCGCCGCATGTTGTCCAGGGGGTTATTGTGCGCAGGGCAGATGTGATTTGGCATGCTAGGGAGAGTTTCAGGTGGTACCCGAAGTCGCATTCTGGGCGGAGAGTTAGTGTTCGCATTGAGGCTTGGGCGTCTGCGATGTTGTCCACTGTCTTTAAGACGACGGCGTTCGGGAAACGCTGGTTCACGGAGGGAAGTTGCCTCGAGAGACAGGGGACGACGACTCTGTCGGGCGTTGTGCTTGGGACTTCCAGTTTGTTTAGCAGGGGCTGAATGATTTCTTCGAAAGCGCCTGTTACGCGGAGATCTGTCCGCGGGACGGAGAGGAAGGCGAGAGTTGGGGTTAGCATTTCGGGGATGTCGGAGGGTTGGATTTGGTTGAGAGGCGGTTGGGCGTAGCAGAGACGGTGGTAGGGGTGGCTTGGGTGGCCGTATATCAGGGCTCTTTCCCAGTCGGGGGAGGGGTCGTCTAGAGATAGGATTTTTTGGGCTGCACCGATGTCGAGCCATGTTTCTGTTTTTGTTAGTATAGGTCGTTTGTGTATATGGGGTGAGGCTTACCCTGATTCCGCGCTGAATTGCCTAATTCGAGCGCGATCTCATTCAAGATTTCCTCGTCCGCATCTTCAACTAACCACGGGCTCAAAAATCCGAATAACGCGCCCGGATCCAATTCTTCCTCTTCTCCATCGCCGTTACCAATCACAACAGGCGGTTGCAAGCTATTCGGCCGCACAACACACGCAACCTTTCCATCTCTGGTCTCTAGAACCGTACCCGGCTGAAGACCGACTTTCACCCATTTGTGAACATTTTCTCCAGCCGCGTGAAGACGGCTGTTCAAGTACAAACATTGGTCCGTTTTCGATCCCCCGACAGTAGCATCTACCAGTCCTTCATTTATGACTTCAGCGAGAAGCCGCTTGGTAGTTTCGAAGAGAGCTTGGCTGTGCTTAGACATGCTGCCGCCGCCGCCATCTGAGCGAAGCAGAATCGATTGCAATAGCGATAAAAGAGAGTGTATAGTCGTTAAGATGGTCATTTTGTGCTGTGGTGGTTGTAAAATTGTATCCTGCTATGGACCAGGCCAGGCCGTCGAGCCTTTTTATATCCAATCTGAGCTCCATTCCTTTTTGCTCGGCTTTCAGAATACACTTTCTAGGCGTCGACCCACACGCCCCAAAACAGACTCCGGTTTGATGGTCGATCCACAGCTTAGCAGACATGCAGCCAGCCACTACCTGTAGCCCGAGCTAAACTCACTTGATCTCTCGATCGGCGCGTGCAGTGCAATGTCGATTTCCTAAAGTTACCAAAAAGGCACATCGGTGCTCGCGCTTGGTAACATGTCCCGACACAGGATGGACGGCCTTGTTTCTGACCCCGTCCTATGAGGGATGCACAGTTGTAGGTGAAAGCAATATAGCTGACCATTGCATCACACATCATTCGCCATCGATCGGGGTCGGCGTTAATCCCTTCCTTTGGGACGGAGTTTAACTGCGAGTATGTTTTCTCTACGGCCCGTGTCCGGAATCTAGATTGTGTGGAGGTGCTGAAGGCTTTTCGCAAAACCGCTACACCCGCCGAAGAAGAAATATACGTTTGTCGGAGTCCGATGTCGATGTTTCTTTGTATCCCACCTCGCGCTAGACGCGGCGCAACCAAGGCACCTGGCAATATGATCGACTATTATACGAGAAGGTACGGGGATATGGTAGCTTCACTTTTAACAGAGTGCAGTGCATGTGCATATACAGATATGATTGTACAGCAGGCTGTATGGCAATGCATCCCCGGGCCCTGCCAACATTCTAATTCGCCGCCGACAGGGTCTTCCACCCAACGTGGGGGAAATCCTTCCCCCATTGTGTCAGGAGGATGCACTGCATTGTGCTGCAGGTGCAGGCCAGCTGGCTGGTGGAGTGCATGTACGCGTCCATACAGAGCGTATTCTGGATTATTATTGCGATTATATTGAAATCACGACGTCCACGTGTACTCGGAGACAGGTCTAGTATCTTCTTATTTTCGGGCGCCACTATTCGAGAGACGAGAGAAATTTCAGCCACTAGAGCCCTCCACTTGCGGGATTCGGCCAGTCGGCCTCGGGAAGTTTATGTTCAGCCCAGCTTAATGCAGAAAAGGTATGGACCTATTAGGGACTGGCTGTTGCTAATCCACCCGGACAATTTCTGTCGACGGGTTGCGAACTTGCGAGGAGAGGATTCTGATGTGGGTTTATCGATAAGATGGTTTTGATCGAGATAATCTTATCGGGACGGAGCAATGCATAGATGATTGACTTATGACAAGTTGAGCACTTTTTCACCATGAATCCGACATTGAACGTAGTAGAGAAGGTCTAAGAGACTCGTAAAATGCATAAGAACGGCGACCTTCTAGCAGGTCTCCCCCGCAACACCCTCTGCCAAATCTTCACCAACTTCAGAAACCTCCAAGCAGCAGCACAACACACCCTCCACAACCTCGAAGAACAAAATGAAAACGCCAGCCAATACCTCGTCATCCTCTGCCTCCCACCCCATGCATCAGCGATCCTCCTCGACGACAGTCAAGCCCTGGGAGACATCCCATTCAGACTCACCCTCGAAGGAAACATGGACCTGATCAAAGTAATCCCTTCACCCATCCACGGCTGCAGCACCGACAACTTCCGGGAGGAAATCGGTCATTTTATTCGGACAACGGGCGTACCTCGCTCAGAGTACCAATGGGGCATGTCGACGACGATTTTCTGTCCGGATGCAGATGTTACCAAGGCAAAGCAGCCTGATCAGTGTTTCTGGCCGGGTGTGAAGCCGGTTTCTCCGGGGAGTGATTGGTTGGATAGCTGGCCTACACTTGTTATTGAGACGGGTGTTTGTGGATCTGTGGATCGGTTGAGGGAGGATGCGAAGTGGTGGTTTCATGATATCCGGAGTGATACTCGGGTTGTATTGCTTTTGGTTGTGGAGAAGGAGAGGAGGATGATTCGGGTTGAGAAGTGGCAGATTCTGCCCTGTGAGGGTTCTACTACGGTTATGGTATCGGATGTTGGTGAGGGTCGGATAGCGTATTTGGGTCAGGAGTTGCACATTACTCCGTATAGTGCCGTCGACGCGCCTTTGGTCCTTCCGTTTGAAGAAGTTATGCGTCGGCTTCCCGTCAAGAATGAGACGGATATCGTTCTGAGTGAAGTGGTTTTGATGGGCTGCGCGAAGAATCTTTAGTTCCACCGAGTCTAGGGTCGATACACGATTTTGCTGATGATCGAGGTCGAATTTACCGTAGTATCATAGCTGAGCATTTACAAGTGCATGTAATACATACAAACCAAAATTCCCTCTTGTCAAATTTCAGTGGCCTCTCCCTCAATCTTCCATCCTCAACCAGTCTCGCACTTTTACAGAGTCTTGAGACGCTTAATCTGCGACCATTAAGCAAGCTGCATTCAAAATTCGAATCAACACATAGCGGGACCTCCAACGAATTATTCAAAGGTGTTTGAATCCTTCACCAATTTCTACAATCTACAAAGGCAGAGAAAAATGAAAACACTCCATTCGGTTTCGGGAGGCATGTGTTGAATAAACTTCTGGACTGGGAGACATGGGTGGAATTGCCGTCCGGTTAGAATTTCTACCATCTATCCAGCAGAGAAAACACTGACAATCCTCGGAAGGGACAATTCGCTTTATGGTGATCTTCAAGCTATCCGTGGGGACAGGTGACCTCAACCCCCTTTTACAGCTCCATGGACATGTAGCCACAGGCGAGGCAGCACTTCTAGCCCGACCTGACTCGAGAATACAACGGATGGCCTACACTGGTCATCGAAACTGGCCCAACTGAGTCACTGCCTGAATACAGAATGATGCAAAGTAGTAGTTCAGGAACTCTAGAGGCAGACTGGACTGCAAGTGCTCTTTTGGTCCGGATGACAACATACTCAGACTTGACTTGTATGAAGCCACTGTCTGTTGTTGAGCGAGATCGCAGAGAATTTAACCAGGCTCGGTGCTACCAAGTGGCAAGCTGCACAGCACTCCCGATGCGGCCAGAAAGTCAGACATCTCGTCACCGAGATATGACAGCTTGCGCCTCCTAGTAGCAATATGTTATTTCTGTTAGGGCGGCTTGGTCACAGCTGAGTATATGGGTGTTTATGTGGCTTCCCAATCTCGACAATCTTGAATTGATGTTCGAGCCACTGGACGTCATCTTAATTGAAATGGTCATGGATCGTTTACAAGTGGCCAATGAGGCTACGCTAAGCATCCTGAGATAGCCCCATTCAGATACCAAGAAGAGATTTTACAATCTTCTCTTCGTGAATCTTTGCTGAGCTTTGGGATGCTGAACTCACGGCTATAAGCCCAAAGCTATAGCTCAAACTTATAGCTACAGCTCGATATACGAAGCAATCCCCACAGGACCTCATCAGGCTTGATAACGGTCCACTTCATGTCAGTAACAATCACCTTGTCCATGTTGCCAGCAGTGTTGTTCGTCTCGGTCATCACACACTGGGCAGCATTGCTGAGTATTGCATCCTCAGATGAAGACCCACACACATACAAAACCCTAGGGTCCATATTATCGTCCGTGCCGTCATATTGAGAATTGGGCGCCCTGTCAGGAGGGCAAAAAATGCACTCCTGGCGAAGGCCATGAATAACCGGTCTGGGCAATTAATGGGGGCTACTACATCCTATTTGCAGTTTCATCAACACATTCATACGGCTGACACTGCGCTGCTCACCCCATATGGGGCTGACTTCGTGCCCGGTTCACGTTGCTCATTGAAACTGGTGTTGGTGAGTCACCGCCTCGTTAAGAAAGTGATGCAAAATGGTGGATTGAAAATTCATAAGGCAACACACGACTCAGTCCTTTTCATTGAGACAATTGTCGAGCTACTTATCGTCAAGAGGAAGGGGTCTACGATTTTTATACAACTAAGCCGCATTAGTCATAAGCCGCCCAGACTCACGACGACTATGCCAGGTTGATCGAAGGCAGTCATAGATCTGTATCGCCATTGTGCGATCATTATGAACCAGTTGCACAATTACTCAGAACCCTGAGATGCTGGATTTGCATCTATTGCCATATAGCTGTATCCCGAATGCAAACACTGCAAGCCACAGGAGCAGAGCAGTAGTGGTATTTTTTTTTTGCAAACGTCCGTCGGACAGACGTCAAAATGAACGTCTGACAACCTTTCCATTCAATCCGGATTTCTACCACCTACCTCAAGCTCCAAATCTAAAAAGCTCTGGCATTTCCAATGCGATTGGCTTCTTCATGAGGACTATGACGCAGTCGTTCGATGCGTTTGTATGGCCTGAAGAGTTACCTACAATCCTTAAAAGCAAGAGCAACAGCTACAGACCGACCACATACACATCCTATATGTCGTGAGGAATCGACGAGGCTCGCCTACAAATGATGCATTTGCTAAAAGATTACGTCGACAACGCAGGCAAATCAATGATAAACATGTGAGCGGTCGGTACGGCGGCTCTGCAGTGTTGAGAGTTACAAACGATTGAGAGGCAGAGGGACACGGTGACCACTTGCATGGTCTAGGTTTACCAGTTTCAACTGGGACAAACGATGTCCTAACTGGCTTTGATCAACTGTGATGTACTTATCGATCCCCCCTCCCCCACTGTACCGACTCTTTTCTATCGATTTACCGGGTATACAACTACCATGGTCAATTGCCAATGCACTCGGGCGAGATATCCGAAACAAGAAAAGTCCCCCGAAGGGTCCTCCGAGCGTGGGGACGAACAAGCTGAAGGACAATTAGGGTAAGTGGATGAGATTATTCCCGTATTCTATGGGGGCTGTCTGACTTGTTAATAGCCGAGAGGTTGTCTTTTCTATATGGAGAATATCGAATCGTGGTCATCTTGATCAGAAACCGTTGCCCAGTGTACAAAATTGAAGACACTCGGTGGGGAACGAGGAATTCACATTGCATATATGGAACATGTGCCACTATGGGCGCTTTTTGCCTCAAATTTATTTCAAAAATTGTTGCCATGATGGAAGACAGTCACAAAGAGTGACACAGTATTGCCACCCACAAAGCTACCTGTTTCAGGCATACAAAGTCCGGGACTCAACGAGGCCCTGTGCCGGAGACGGGCGGCAATATCGATCAAATCACCACTGCTTATGGTTCTAACACAAACCCCAGTGTACTAGTCAATACAGACAGCGTGCTAAATCCATACAAAGCATGAATCTGGGTCGGCCACCGGGCCAATTTGCTGCTCTGGCCGGCTCCAGATTGTGATCATTCCGAAGCAACCCTGTGGATCCATTGGGTTCTATCAAAAGATGTCAGGATAACTTTCGCGATCTATGCGCGTGTTACGATTATCCATGAGATTGTGTTGGTTTTACTTGGGTCTTAGCTAAGAATCTAGGTGAAGAGAAGTTACCGATGAACCTGGAATTGACGCCAGGGTATCATTTTCCAGTCCAGCTGCACCAGGACCTCTTGCTGAACTGTAATCCCTATACAATTTCACAACCAGCGTGTCGAAGGTTGACAAGATACAATACATGGAGGCTCGAAAAGCGTGCTCCAACGAGAATCCAAATGCGGATTATTGGCCAAAGTAGCCATGAGTCAACACTGCTCCCGACGGACGATGGTAATGCTTCCGTGCCATATGAAACTAACATGTGCCCAAACAAAGAGACATACGCCCATATACTAACCCTATCATGGCCCCTATCGTGGTCTGGCACACATGGTGATTCCGCTCGAAGCATCTTTTGGCTAGCTGGATCTCGCTGGTCCAAGTATTAGTAATTGTACTGTCAACAGGTATCAACAGACCTCTAGATACAGATACTCTAGTTAATGCGGACGGTTTCATTCTTTAAATCAGAGCCGTGTTCTACCATACACAGGAGCTGCTCTCCCATGAAACGACTCGGCTTAGGTACCGCATTTGGATACATCAGTGGGCAAACATAGAGCCAATGACCAGAACGCCTGGAAGTTGACGGTGGTCTTTAAGACGAGACAGATGAGAAGGGTGGTGAGCCACGTGTACAAAGAACCGAGAAACTACAACAAAGTTCTGAGCCTGCCAAGCAAATGGGGTGCTGGGGTCTCTATTTATTTCAGGTGGGACTACCGGATGTTTTAAAGCTGAGCTATTTTTCACCCACGATGCACTACAAAAAGGGTCCGAGAAGCAAGCAGATTCCTCGTGCGGTTAATGGAGTCCAACAAATCGACTACCATTGGGAGCAGCTAAGTACAAGCGATGGCTAAATCGAAACAACCAGATCAACGCTTTTATCCTGGTATTTCACAGATGGACTAGTTCCCGACCCTAGTCGTAGAGAGTGGAGACGCTGGATTTGCCTGTGGTGATTTAATGTTTTCCAGAGAAGTACGCTAATTCTTTTCCGTCCGTTCAAAAGGCCACAGCTGGATCTCCTTGACACTCCATCGCATGAGCATTCTGCAGCAGTTTAACGCCCAGGGAGATCCCGTGTATACTACGGGAATTGACTGAATATGTTGTCAAAGATCAATTGTCCCACATCATTGTTATCAATTGGCTCGCATGTATTCGAGATAATCCTTGCTGTCTCAACGTGGCAAGGAAAGCCCCAATATGGGCGATACTTCTTTACCCAGTCAAAAGAAATGGTGTGATATGCGTCGAATTATCGGTCGCCTCAAATCATCGCTTCGTGCGAAAGTTCCAACGAGTCCACCATCTTGCCATGAGGATGAAGCATGAATCTAATCCCAACTCAGATGACCAAGCTGTGAGCCAGCAGGAGCACCCCGAGGCACCATTCATGACGGAGGAAGCTCGCAAATTTGGTCTAGCAAATATATGCTATTGTCACCTAAGGCGCTACATTGGCTTGCTCTGGGTGTTATTCGAGGGTCCGAGTAGAGAAGAATTTATTCTGGACAAGACTCGCCAAGGTAGTGCTACCAACATTAACAGCAATGGATTGTACAGTGTATGCTTCGTAGTAGAACTACAAAAGCACCAGGTTGTACGTTCGAGGCACTTCGGTAAGCGGAAAAACGACACTGGTACTGCTCCTCACGAAGAATGTTACTTCCGTTTACCCAAGCATGTTCGCAGCCAAGAAAATAACTGATAGTATATCGGATGAAGGATGCAATCAAGAACAACCTCGGATGCAGAAATGGTAAATGGAAACACTTTTGCAATGTGTTCCTCGAAAGATTACCACGTTTTCTAAGCTGCACAGGTATAATGAGTGCTACAGGTCTCAATAACAGTTCCAATATCGTATGAAGATTATCTGGAGGACAACATCTTGTGGTGGATTTCTCAGTTTCATGCTTTCTGATACTCTATTTTCGTCATCATCTCTAACCCTTGAGAGCTCGGTCCCTTCTCGTCAAACCACAGATTCAACCCTGGATTCAAAAGCCACCAAGGCATGATGAACAAGTGTGTCGCAAATTTCTCCCATGCAGTAACTCGCGTCCAGCCACCTGAATACCCAGGAGAGATGCCGGATGAGTTGAAGGAGATAACCAGTAGCTATGAGAACCCCCCTCCCCCAATTTCCTATATACGCCGATGTGCTGACCAAGTATAAAGGTAATCAAATGGCGGGCTCCAACCGGAGCATTTTCTGGCTCACCGGGTTTGACGATATCTCTATACCAGTGCGATAGAAAGATGCCAATGTCATTTATGGGCCGGTTTCACAGCAGTCATGGGCTGTCTCGGCCAGTGAGCTGACGCAACGGGCATTCGTAAGCTACCGTAGCTGCGAGCGACTTGCTTCTGCTCTTCGGGCGATCATCTCTGTCAAGAATGAGTGATCACGGAGTTGTTTAGGGGAGTCGGTTTTGATTACCCGGATAGTGTGGTGGAGATTGTGGGGGGTGGAAGGGAAACCCGGGGAAGTATTCGCTTCATGACACTTTGAATAGCTCCGAAATAGAGAGTCCGAAATGCCATAATGCAGTGGTTGGCTCTAAGTTTACTGGATAAACTACAGTAAACGGACAAATGCGAACTCGGGAAATGTATTGCCTATACTGTATAAAGCTGTGTAGTAGTGTAGTATAGATGCACCAGAGGCCTCGGCTATGTATTTTATAGCGCCGAGTGGTTTTCCCAGCCCCTCATTATCTCAGTCTCAAACGGTCTATTTTTCATTCTCTCTCCTTCCCCATGTTCTCCATATGCACTCCATGTCAATCGACCATGATATTACCGTGTGGGGTGTGGGAAGCCTCCTTTCCATGGCGGAAAAGATCATAACCGCTCAACCCCGAACTGCCGCAACGCTTGCGAACACCACATTTAAGATGTACGAGCCCGACTTTTTGTCCTCTATTCACGAATTCAGATTCAAACATAACCAATCATACACACAATGTCGCAATCACCAGAAGACCTCCGCATCGCCATCCTGGGTGCCGGAATGGGCGGTCTAACCTGTGCCCTGGCTCTGGCACAACGCGGCTTCAAGAATATCGATGTTTATGAATATGCATCGGACTTGGGATTTGTCGGGGCTGGTATTCAGCTTGCGCCGAATATGGCTCGTGTGCTTGATAATCTTGGGGTGTGGAAGGGGATTGAGGCTGAGGCTGTTAACATTCTTGATACTAGTGTTCGAGGTATGTATTTATCCCCGATATGTATGAGCTAGTGTACTAACGAGTACAGTCGGTGCAACGGACAGCCAACTTGCTTATGTCGACTTGGAATACATCGAAAAAACATATGGCTACCCACATATGGTTGGCCACCGGCACTCCCTCGCCACCGGCCTCTACGAAGGCTGCAAGCAGCACCCAGCCATCAACTTCCACTTCTCAACGGAGGCAGAGACCATCGATGACTTTGGCCCTAAGCCATCCTTCACAGCAATCCCCCGCGATGGCAGCGGGTCCTACCGCGTCGAGGCAGACGTGATCCTCGCCGCAGACGGCATCAAGAGCAAGGCGCGTGTGGAAATGCTCAAACGGCTGAACATCAACGTCGGCATCAAAGACACCCACCAAGCCGCGTACAGAATCATGATCCACAAAGACCAAATCAAAGACGACCCCCAACTACTCGAACTCATCAACAGCACCCGCGTGACCCGCTGGATCGGCGAAAAGCGCCATATCATCGCCTACCCAGTCTCCAACAACAACATATACAACCTCTCCACAACCCAACCGGATAGTAACTTCGCAGCGGCCACGAATGCAACGTACACAACCAAGGGCTCGAAATCAGCCATGCTGGACGTTTTCTCGGATTTCTGTCCCATGGTCCAGCGCATGCTCAACTACGTCCCCGAAGGCGAAGTCTGCGAGTGGAAACTCCGCGTGCACGATCCCCTCCCAACATGGATCCACGAATCCGTCGCCCTCGTCGGCGACGCATGTCATCCGACCCTCCCCCATCTAGCGCAAGGCGCGGCGCAAGCTATCGAAGACGGCGCTGTGCTCGCTGTAGTCCTCTCGCGACTACCGAACACACAACCAGACTCTATCAACAAAGCACTCCGCGTATACGAGAAAGTCCGCAAACAGCGTGCGTATGCACTCGTTGATCTCGCTTCCGCATCTGGTCGCGCGCTGCATCTTGGTGAGGGTGCGGCGAAGGAGCAAAGAGATAAGCAGTTTGCGGCGTTGAGGCAGGGTAAGGGGCCTGTGCCGGATAAGTGGGCGGATGCGGATGTGCAGAGGGAAATTTATGGGTTTGATTGTACGAGGGTGGCGGAGGAGGAGTTTGATGCGTTGTACAGTGAGATGTAGGTTTCTCTAGCTACAAGGAATGAGAGTTCCATGTGTTAATTATTACTTTTATAGGCCCAGTCCGAGGGATGTCAAGTTGTCGTGAATCATTACATTTTTTTTTAAGCTATAATATATGTACATACATCAGGTTGAATCGTTACGTACACTCCTCCATTGTAGGAGTTTAACGGCGAAAAAGCACATTAGTCCAGCTGCATAAGAGCATCCAGCAAATGCAATCAATCCCCAGTATTCCCCGTTCGTCCTTTGGATAATCTCTCCAGCAATTGGAACTCCAGTCAAAGCCCTAGACACAAGTTAGCATCCGCGAAATCCACATATGTATAGAAAGGAAGACATACCCTAAGCTGACAATCGTATAAACAGTTGTATAATACCTCCCATACGCCTCTGTCGGACACAACTCGCCCACACAAACCGGCACAAGACTGATATTACTCCCACTTGCAAAACCAAACACCACCGCAAACACTATCGTCGCAGCCACATTCCCCTGCGCCGGCATCCAGATCCCCAACACCGCGACCAGCGCCAGCAGATTGGTATAGATCAGCATGTTATACCGCCCGACTTTATCAGCGAGGATACCTGGGATCCAGCGACCGGGAAAGGAACCCGCATTGAAGAAGACGACCATTAAGTATGCGAGATCGGGGGATACGGAGTGATAGAGCGCGTACGAGGTTATGTACTCGAGGGGAATGAAGAAACCCCATTCGATCAGGAAGACGCCGGCGGTTGTCAGGGAAAGTAGCGGGTTGGCAAGGATCGTAAGGTCCGGGAGGAGGGATTTAATGGATTCGTGTTTGGATTTAGGTTTCTCGGGAAGGGATTCGGGAGACGGTGAGGGCTCGGGTTCCCGACCACGAACGAGGAGACAACCGATGAATAGGAGCACCAAGGTCACTAGCCCGATGGCTCGGGTGGTCCAGGCAAATCCTATTTTTGGTGCTAGTTTCTCTAGCATAATTGGGAAGATTACTCCACCGATACTACCACCAGCCATGGCTAGGCCTGTAGCTGCGCCGCGACGTCGAAGGAAGAAATGTCCGATACTGGCAACTGGGACAATGAAGATGAACGATGTCCCGATACCACCGAGGACTCCCAGCACGACAAAGAAGTGCCAGTACTTCTCGCAGAATCCCAGGGCTATAAACATAATAACAAGCAACGCTGAGCCTATCCACATGAGGGCACGAGGCCCTTTGGCATCGAAGATAGGCCCGATTTGCAAGCCGCCGAAGAAGATGAGGAAGTTGTAGACACCGAAGATCCAGCTGATTTCGGAGTGTGAGAGGGAGGAGAGTTGGTGCGTGCTGATGTAGGCTTGGTAGATGCCGATGCTGTTCATTAGCCCTAGGCCGCCGGTGATGGAACAGAAGCTGCCTAGGACGACGATGTTAGCGGCGAGACCTCCTTCGGGGTGTGTCATTGTGCTTGATGAGTATTCTGAACGTACTTGATACTCTACAGGCTATCTATTCCACTGCTTATATACTCGTTTACAGAGTCATAGTACTTCATTCACTGTAATGCAAATAATCTATATCAATCTACGGCATTCCGTATCCGTACCGATCGGCATGCCGACCGCCGCCGATGGCCGGTGGCCGGGGACTTGGCTGAGTCATCACGTCATTCAACGTCGCCTCGTCGCCGACTCGCCGCCGACATAAACTACTATGAATGCTTGGAATGCTGGTATATGCACTGTTACTGGCTTTGAGAGTACGCCGTCGATATGTCATCCAGACCCTACCGCTCCAAGCGTCAACGCCCCTGCGACCAATGCCGCGAGCGTAAACTCGGCTGCCAGACAGAGGCCGGCCTGCCATGTGCTCGCTGTCGCTCCGCCGATTTATGTTGCACTTTTGCCAAACCGCCGCCCAAACGGCCTCGGCGGCAGCTCCGCGAGGGCGACGAGATTGGGTTTACGGAGTCGGTTGATTCTCGCTCGCAGTCTCAGGTACATCCCAGTATCGAGGGGGGGTCTACGCCTTCACATCCTTCTTCTCAGCATAATCAGCATAGTCAGCAGCAACAGCAGCAACAGCAGCAGACTCAGGAAGAGTATCCGTATGCGCCAGTGCAGGGTCATCTTCCGTCGCAGCCACCTGTAGCGGCGACGCATAGTAGTGCTGCGACCACGCCGGCAAACCAGATTCTGTCGTCGTCATGGCCTCAGCAGCTTATGTCTTCTGGTCGGGCACCGACGCAGTTTGTGCAGAGTCTTGATCAGCTCGAGGGCTTCTCGGCGCAGTTGTTTGGGGCATCGGCCGAGTCGGATCCGTGGCTGTTGAGACATTGCTCGTTTGACGATGCGGGCGTCAAGTGTTTCTACAAGGTGCATTTTCGCAATGCAGGCGGTGTCCCCGTGCCGCTCCGGATCCCGGTGCATTTCATGATTGCCGCGGATGATCTGGCTGCTGATTCCAAGACTGAGACGCGTGTTGCTGTGCCTAGCATGAATCCACGAGAGGAGTTGAATTCGTTGGTGCCGGATGAGTATGGGGTGCGATTGGTTGGTTTGTATGTTCTAGTCATGATTATATTAATTGTGAATACAATTGCTGACTACTGACTCAGGTTTGTCAAGTACATCTGGCCTGCATTACCGCTGGTCTCTCGTCACCAGCTTGGCTTGACTCCATCATGCACCGTGCCGACTGCAGAGACTTTGGATAAAATTCCCGCGCATCTGCTGGCCGCTATCTACGCTACCGCTTTGCCATTCGCCGGACAGGACGACTACCTCTGCGTGCTGCACACGTACAATAATGCCCCCGTCGATCGTCTCTGGCGCTTAGTATACGAGCTCCTCGCCGAGGAGATCCACACTCCTCATCTATCCGTCCTGCAGGCTGGTCTGCTGTACCTCCACAAGCCGCTGGACGAGGGCCGGTCCGCAACGGCCGATACTCCTTTCGTGTGGTCATGGGTGGGGAGTATGGTTGGATTGGCGTGCTCGCTGGGCTTGCATATTGAGTGTCGCATGTGGGGGATTCCGGCGTGGGAGAAAAGACTGCGTCGACGGCTCTGGTGGGCGGTCTATGCGGAGGATAAATGGCGCAGTCTGCTGATGGGACGGCCGCCGTATATCCAGCAAGATGAGTGGGATGTGAGTGAATTGGACGGAGGGGATTTCGTCCTGCAGGTGCAGGGAGCGCAAGGGTGTACGAGTGTCAGCGATGTGGATGTACCGTTCCGGTATTTGGTCGACTTGGCGCAGATTGCTGAGACGATTCACGAGTCATTCTAGTGAGTCTCTGATTCTCCCGAACGTCTGAGGGGTATGCTAATATTATGAAGCACACTACGAACAGCCCAGTACCTCTCCGAAAACTTCGCAGCCTCACATGACACCGGCCTCCCCCTCCTAGAAAAACTGAACATCTGGTACGCCTCGCTCCCAGAAACCTTCCGCCTACCCAATTGGAGCAAGTCCGTCAGTGGCCTAGCCCCATATCCCGCGTCGATCCATTTCGCCTACCTGATCCTAGTCGTATACGTTTACCGAGCGATGCTACGACCCATGGCTCGGTCATCCAGTCCGCCGCTGATCTTCGACGTCGATGAAATGCCCTCCTCCACCACGACCCTGCCCATTGAGGAGACTTCTATTCTGGACTTTGCCGACGTGCCGGAAATTGAATCCTTCCCGGCGGTCGATGTCGATCTCTCAGAAGTGCATGGAACCGGCGAGACGACGCTGAATGCCGCCGAGAGATGTGCATCGATTGTGATTAGTTTTACGAGACGGTTGACGTCAAGTGACTTTACTGGCTTTTGGTATTCTTGTACGTTCCCTCACCTTTCCTACTATTCCCTACTATCACACACTATTTGCAGATCTGACATGTAATTGATAGGGTCCCGAATTGGCTTCGCCACCGTCTCCAACTTCACCATGCTCCTCCTCGTGCAAGCCCCAAATGCCGAGCGCGCCGTAAAAGGCAAGCATCTAGTTGATTCCTGGCTGCGCGTGCTCCGTACCCAAAGTCTGAGTTTCCCCCTGATGAAGCTGGGATTAACGCGATTGGATGCGATGCACTGGGTGGGCCTCAGCCAGACATTTGTTTTGCCGCAGCATGTGCAGGATATTATTTTGGGTTCGGGAAGTCTGTAACCTTGTGACTGACCTTAGGCGAACCTGGCTTTCGGTTGGTTCCGTGTAAAAAAATTTTCCTTGCTTTCGCCGAAAGTTATGATGACATCGGCGGATGGGCGGCGGCGGTGGTGGTGGTGGTGGTATACGCCGGGTGACAGTCGGTGAATGTTGGCCGAAGTATATAATATTTCGCCGACGCGCCACGGCGAGAATCTATATATACGGGGGTTTTCCAGGAGGAAATGAGGGATTCAATAAGTTCATATCTGTTTCAATACTCATAAAAGCTCTAGTCTTCTACTGTACACTACTCATCATCATACTTTGTCTATTTCACAATCTTAACTCTCTGATATCAAATACAATGGGCTTCTTCCGCACTCTCCAGCAAAAGGCTCACGAGCACAAGAGCAGCACTGTCACTGCTGCCAAAGAAGCTGAAGAGAATTCCTCTTTTACTGGATCTTACGCTACCCTTCTTTCCGAGTACGTTCTCATCCCCTTCAATCCAAGCCTAGAGAATAAGAAGTGTATGCTAACAGTAGCAGGAAACAAAAGGCGCAACAGAAAACACAGGGCGGTGGTGACCGGGTCTACAACTACAACCGTAAGTATTCTTTCCTATCCCCTCTTGTCTTTTCTTCTTGTATGGATGCTGACGATGCTTAGCCGGTGATCAATGCTTCGGGTCGTGCTGCCGGAACTACTAGACGCTACATGGCGGGTCGTTTCTCGGCGGCGGAAATTGTGGAAAATGGAAAATGGTGGAACTGAGACGAATCTATATACCCTTCTTTATTGCTATGCCTAATAAAATGTTTAATTGATGCTATATGGATTGGATTGTAACAAGTGTCTAGTTGGTTAGCCCTATATCTGACGTAATATCACGTGCAGGCGGTGACTATACTGCCGGTCCTTCGCCGATGTCTTCGAGTCCATCTTTAACAACACTCGCATTTACATACAATCGGATGGAAGAATGGGAGTGATCAGGATGCATTGCATTCTGTTCTGCCCAAGATGACACCAATAGTCAGTATCTTTCGCATTGCTATGTATCCCCCGCTAACGGCCAACGATAGACGCCTTTCCGCCCTCCCGCATCGCGCTCCAACGCCCGCCCCCAATTCGCATCGACGCCTCGTTTTGTCTTTTCGCAGCCGCAGAGCAGTTCGACTCAGAGTCGGGATGGTGATAAGGATTTGGTTGATGATATTTCGAATGATTCGCCCTCGACTGTTCGATATGCCGATAGAGATACTGCGCGGGGAGATGTGATTGAGGATGTGGAGGAAGATGAACACGACACCAGTGCTGGTCCGAGTATTATCGATGAGGAGCTCGATAGTACACCTCCTGCTTCTGTGGAACTTGACTCCGAGTTTGAAGACCTATTCGGGCCCCCGGAGCGCACGAAGAGGAGGCGGATTTCGCCGGCGCCAGAGCCGGACGATAGGCCGGCTTCGCGTGATTATGGGGGGGGACGAGATGATGCTATCTTGACTTCCTCGCCTGGTCACGACTTACAGTCGTCGTGGAATGAAGAACCACCCGTCACACCTTTTCCGCGTCGCCCAAGGCCCACGCAACAACCTCAGTTCCAAGATGAAGGTATACCAGCAGGAACACCCAAACCCTCAACACCGGCCACGACAAAACCCGCTTTCCGTCACCATCCTCGCTTCCTACTCTCCCAACAACCACCATCAAGTACTCAGTCAGCACCCGCTTCAGCACCGATATTCGCATCACAACTCCCGTCCTCCACCCCGCGGCGCAAACCAGCCTTCGTATTACCCCGCTCGCCCTCGCCCTCAGCGACTCAAGAAGATACTGCGTCTCTACCGACTCCGTTTTCGCCGTCGTCGCGTACGCTTCATAGACGCGGTCGTGCTCGACATGATGTTCCCGGGTATGTGCCGGGTGGCATGGCGGCTGAGGTTCGAGGTTGGGTGTTGGAGATGGGGACGAAAAGGGAGCAGTTGGATAGCTCTGTGGTAAGGTTTGGTGCGCAGGTGGGGGTGGATTCGAGGAAGTATTTGGTGACTACGAGGATTGTCAAGGTTGTGAGGAGTGTGTTGAGGAGTTCAGGGCCGGTGGCTTTTGTTGAAGCTGAACTACTTTCAGAGGGGTCGATATCGGTGGATGATGGAAGACGGAACATTCTTCTTATGGGTTCACCACGGTCTCGACCTGGAGATTCTGAGCTCGCGCAGGGCAGTGTGGTTGGTGTGTACCGAGGGCTGGTTTGGGAAATTGAGCTGGACAGGGACGGTGTAGATGCCTTGTCAAGGAAAGACGGGGTGGATGTAGGTAATTTAGGTGACTACCAGTCTTCAAATGCAAATGACCGCGAGCGATGGCTTGTGGTCATGGAGTGGGATTTACTCAATGCACCAGCATAAATATATTTACCGTTGACAAAGTCAACAACCTGTACATAGGGATATCATTAAACACTTTTCTACCATGGCTATACGCCTATAAATGCATATTTACAAATATATACAACAACCTAACCAACAACCCCATCCTTACTCGAAACAACCTTCAACGCATCCAACGCAACCTTACACCCCCACTTTACCTCCTTCAACTCCTTGGAGGGCACAATATCCGTCTTCGCAACGACCTTGCGAATAAAGTAAATAAGCCCCTTGGCTATCTGCGGCGTTTCTTGGACGCGCATGAATATGTCCATGAGTGCTTTTTCGTCCCGTGCTTCGTCGTCTTCGTTCTTGGACTTGGACTTGGATTTAGATTTCTTTGACTTTTTGGCCTTTTGGGAATTCTGGATGATGCTGATGATGAGGAGTTCGACGAAGGTCTTTGCTTTTGGTTGGAGGTATGCGAAGTTGAGGGTTTTGAGGATGCCAATTGTTAGCGTGTTATCAGCGATAAGGCTGCCATACATCTTTGCGATATTGACGATGGATTTTAGTGGTAACTGTGCGCTCTCGTCCTCGTCTTCAGACATCCCGTCTTCGTCGTCAAAGTCGCCCTTTTCGCCCATTCTTCGGAGGATGTTCCATAGTGTGTACATGAATGAGATTTTAAGCCTGCGGCCGAGATCCCCGCATACGCGCCGCGCAATGAGCGTGTAGTATGGGTTATACACTTCTTCTTCCATGATGCAGTGTGTGAGGACGCGGGGGATTTCGTATTCCTGAGCGCGCTTGAGGCGGAGTTTTAGCAAGCGCACGTGTGCATCTTGGAAGTCTGTTGCGGACATGATAGCGACGAAGATCGAGCGGCGGACGTCGGTGTTCATGCGCTGGGACTTGGCGATACTCGCGAGGTCGGGTTCGGCGTCGCTTTCGTCTTCGTCCTCTTGTGCTTGTGCTTGGGTTTGGGTGGGTTGGCCGGGGAGGGAGGAGAGTTCCTTTCGTGCTGTTTCGAGGGGATCTTCGCGCCAGCTTGCGCCGACGAGCCACCATTTACCCTTCTTTGCAGAGTTGTGGATGTCCTCGCGGGAGATGTTGATTGGTTCTGAGGCGCGGACTACGCGGGTGTTGTTTAGGGACCCTAGGATTTTGCGCATTTTTGTGATGTGTTCGGTGGAGATGCTGGAGCCGACGGTTTTCACTTTGTTGTTTTTGAGGTCGGTGATGATGTCGATCATGAATTTTGTGCGGACGGAGAGAGATTGTTCACCAGCTTTGGCGATGGCGGGTTGGATTAGGAGGACGATGTCTTTTAGGGAGGAGGGGTCGTCTTGTCGGAGTTGGGGGCCGGAGTCTGTTGCGTTTTCATTAGTGGGTGTTTTATTGAGTATGATGGGGGGTAGGGCATACTTCTGATGATCTTGAGGAGAAGCTCGGTGTTGTCCTCTGTGATATCTTGCACGAAGATGCGAATGTAGTCAAAGACCAGAGCATGTCCGATGACATGAAAATTGTACAGTTGCGAGATGAGCGAAATCAGGTTCAGATGTTCCTTTCCTTCGAACTTGCCTCGCTCGTCGCCTTGTGCGTCGAGAGACTGGACTATCTTCTGGACCAACTCGGCGCCAAAGTCCATACCCATAACTTTGTACAGGGCAGCGATGAAACCGGCATGCAGAATCATGAAAGTATCCTGGAGTGCCGACCTCTCGCAAATCAGACCCATCAACAGCGAAATGAGTGTAGACGTGACGTTCTGTCGGGGATACTCGCGGTAGAGTTTTTCAAACTCAGCCAGGATGGAAATCAAGTTTGCTTCAGACAGCTTGTTTAGCTGTCCTTGAGCCTGTCGCCGTAAACGTGTAAGAGACTCGTCCTCGGAATTGGATGCAGCGCGAAGTGAGGGAGGAATGTATTTCCCCGGTTGACTCTCTTGTGGGACGGGGGCGACATATGGATTCTCTTTCTTCTTTGGAGCCGGCTTCTCCTCTTCCTCGTCAAACCCACCGAATTCGCTATCCTCACCATCTTCGGCCGCCTCGTCATCCATTTCTTCATCGTCGTCCTCGTCCAGCAAATCCGCCTCCTCATCGTTCCCAAGATCACTATCATCCTCATCATCATCATCATCATCCTCCTCCTCCGACTCAGCTGCCTGCAGCCCCTGAGCCTTTCTCCTCTTACTCTGCAACCACTCATCAGCCTCCCGTTTGCGCTTCTTGCCTTCATCCTCCGACCCCCCTTCGCCCAAATCACCCAGCAAATCATCCAACCCATCATCCTGAAAAGACTGCGGAAGTTTCTTCCCTTTCTTCAACCCAAGTCTCTTCTCCAGCGCGGCGATTTCGGCATCGTCCTCTTGTAACTGGTCCTGAACGGCTTTGGAGACTTTGCGGGGTGCAGGCTCGTCTTCGTCTTCGTCCTCATCCAGGTCGATATCGTCGTCATCGTTGTCGCTCTCGTCGGATTCCTCGACCGGCTTGCTCTTTTTCAAAATCGACTTGGGCTTCTGTTCGGGCTTTGCGGCTTTCGACTTCTTCGCAGGGGGTGCTTCGTCGGATTCATCGCCCTCGTCCAACATATCCTCGTCCTCATCTCGCCTCGCATTATTCTTCCAAACCGGCCTATGCTGCGTCTGCACCTGCGGCTTCCTCCCACCACTCCTCTCCTCTCTCCGGCGGTCCTTTCGCGACGCAGGTCCATTGCGCCTATCTTTTTTCTCCCCGTATGTATCTCTTATCCCGAGTTCTGTGCGGAGCTCCCGCGGGAGGGCGGTTGTGAGTTTCATGGGACGTCTCATGGTGACCAAATTTAAAACTGGATTATGTGAAGTAATATGTGCTGTAGGAGCAGTGATGGCGGCTTTTTTCTTTTTTTTTTTCTTTTTTTTCTTTTTCTTTTTTTATGCCGCCGATGCGGAGCGGAAATGGAGGCGGTGGGCTGGGCGGCGGAGGGCCCGCTGTCTTTCTGGATGTGGAAGTTGATTGTGGACAGTTGGAGTTCGGTGATATTGAGATACAAGAGAAACGGTTGTTCTGCCGTTGAATTGGTCCATTTGATATTGCGATTACGGTTACTACGAGGTCGGGTCGACGTCTGTTAAATTGCACAAGAACAACCAATCGCACAAACTCCAAATCTGTCACAAACACCGACAAGAACCACGGAGATGGCGCCGCATCTCAGTAACGAGGAGGTACGCTACACCCCCAGCATTCCAAATGGCTAATATACCAATACTAACAATAAAACGAACAGTTCTTCACCTCCCTAACCTCCCTCCTAAGCACCACCTCCCAAAAAACCCGCGGCTCCGTCTACCTCACCCAAAAACCACTCCTCAACACCACCTCAACCACCACCGAGGACCCCTCCCCCGTCTCGCAACCCTCAATCCTAATCCGCGCAACAGACGGCAATACCAACGCGCCGAACCCCCAAAACCCCAAGAACAAGATCGAAAAGTCAACAAAGGCGAGCAAGGTGAAGATCTCGACTGTTGTGGCGGTGGAGGATTTGGAGGGGTTTTATGGACGGTATGCGGAGGTTTGTAAGGCGGGGATGACGGGGTTGAAGAAGAGGGATCGGAAGAGGGGGAAGGGGAAGGGGAAGGGGGGTGCGAAGGGTGCGAAGGCTTGATTTTGCCATGCTTACTATTCCTGTTCAAAGACACAAGTGCTCGGGTGGATGTTGTGATACCTTGATGGAAATGTGCTAGGTGGATTGCATTTACCGGCGTTTATGGTGGCTGTCCTGTTCTGTTGTTTATAAAATACCAAAACTATGTTGTCTTGAGGGTTGAAGTCAAACCATCCTACTATTGTACAAGATTGAAAACCGAAGGGTATATTACCTAGGTTAGACTAAAACGCTAGGGTACAATCATTATAACACGTAAGGAAACATTAACCTAGTCATAACCCGAATTCGTAGAGAACAGACAGTAGGATAAATCAGTGGTCAGCCATGTACAGAAAAAGAGGGACGGCAAGCATAATCAAATATGCAGAGCAGACTGAAAAGATAGTAAGAAAACTAAGAGAAGGTCGAGAAGTGAAGCGTGCAGTGGAATGCTAATTAGTCCAGTGCCCAAACATCGTACTTATTCTCTTGAGACTGGGAGCGTTCAAGAGGGAGATCGAAATCATCAACCGTATCTTTAGAGTCAGGAATTTGATATTCGAGTCTCCGGTGGGCTTCACTCATGGAGTTCAAGGCAGGACCAATGACAATCTGAGCAGCAATATGAATAAGAATGATTAACAGCTGAACAGATGGCACCAGAACGACTGTGCAGGTCTTCTGAACAATTGACTTTGCATCGTTCTTTCTAGAGTTTGACCGGCACAAGGTCGACGGCGGAGGCATCGGGGAGATCTCTCTCTCTGTCGATGCTTTAGCACGACGTCGGAATTCCCTACTCATGGTGTCTTTGTTCGCCTCAATTGGTGAGAGGCCGCTTGGCTTCTCAGTTGATGTAGTTGGGATCTCCAATGGCTTGGATTCCGGCTTTCGACGAGTCGTAGGAGATTGGGGTGCTTGGCACAAACTTCCATCCGAGTAGCTAGTGGAAGGACGGTTGTCAGAATAATCCACATCCTTGAAGAATTTTCCAGTTTCATAGTGCTGGTCCTGGTCCAGGTCGTTGGGGTCGACGGACGATGAAGAAGTAGAAGTCGAACGTGCACTAGACTCAGGGCGCATGTAATCATCCATTGAGTGAAAAGAATCGACGCTTGAAGAATATGATGTGTCAGGATCGACCTGCGATTCTGCTTTGTTATTATCGAACCTCGCCAGCAAGGTTTGGAAGCTTTGTGTGTCGGTAATCGAGCGCCGGGGTACATTCCAGTCTTCAGACACACTTTTAGGGGAGAGCAACTGATTCTCATCCGGGATCGTCTCCAAGACCGTACAAGCACTGCCTCTTTTCATGACGCTGATGCCCTTGCACCCTTCCTCATCCTTGGGGCTTGACCCTTGAGAAGCAGTCGACGATGCAGGCGCACTCTCCCTTCGTCCTTTGGGACGCCATGCCTTTCTGCGCTTCTTGATTTTGGCCTCCTGCGGTATCTCAACGGTAAACCCCCTTTTGAAGGGACAGGGCGTGATCTCGTAACGCAGGATTCTGGGTAAAACATCCTTCAATTGCACAACGTAGTTCTCATTGTTTTCCGTCGAACTAGGCAGTTCAATGCGATAGTAAGTGAGTGGTCGAACACGCAGAACAAACGTAGACTCGCCATCGACACACCAACACTGAGAGTTCTTGAGAATTGCATGCACCACACCGCCACATTTCAAAAACACAGTCAAGCCATGCAAATTCTGCAGTCTCAAGGGCGCAAATGCAACTGTCCTCTCAGAGGGTGATCGCCATGGCAGGGTCTCGATAGTATCAACCGGGTAATCGAAATCGGAGGGAGCCGTGCTGGACGGGATCGGGGCTAGAGCTCTAGGAGCGAAATGAACGACTTTGGCGCATGGATGGAAGAAAAGGTCGTCTGCTGAGGGCCTCAACGATTCGGAACTGCGTTGCTTTTGAAGATTGAGCTTAGGAGGAAGGGTAGCAGAACGGCGAGGAGGCTGTATTCGGACCGAAGGCGCATTCGAGAAATCAGACATTGTTCATGAAAAAAAGAGTGTAAATAGTAAAGAACGTATAGCAAAATGAAAGAATTACATCTGAAGAGAGAGCGTAAATCAGAAGTCAATACATTGAGAGAGAAAGACGAGGTTGTTAAAGAAGGGAATGAAAGGCAGTGCAAAGAGAGACATCCATACAAATTCCCGAGTCGGCCTTGACTCGCGGGGAATTCATACGCCTCAGGCAATATTCAGGCATATATGAGGCAGAACCATGGTTCGCGGCTAAGCCACGTGATGCTCGGCTCGGTTCCGCGGTTGGCGGCAGCTGGGCCAGTGCCATGACGTACTGCTTTTATACGGCTGCCTTGCTTGGTGCTTATATACCTGTTTTCACCATTCTCTGTTTACAACTATTTCAAAGATTAAAGAGGCATAATTGAGAGATTGTGTCTGATAAGGAAGATATCATGGCCAATTTTGAGCCCAACGCCATTATTCGCGGCGCTCAGCTGACGGTTGTGGGAAGTGAGTGCCCGACATCATCCCCTTCACTTCGGACTATCTGGAAACTGCCATAAGGTTGGATATGTCTGCATACTGCTAGGCAATTGGAGTGGGAAGTTCGTTCTGGGCATGACCCTTGGCTGGACTCCGTTCAAGCTTCGGGAAAGTCCCGGATCTGCATACCCGCGGGGCCTAAACTATCATCATTTGATATGCGATTTATATGCTGACTCCGGACAGCCGTCAGGGCACTTCGAAATGCCGAACTCTTCAAATATGATCACTTCCGGCAAGCAGCTCTTGCAATTGCTGTGGGAGTCATTATCCACGTCATTATTCAGATTCCGGTACGTCCAGATCCATAGGACTATGAGTCTTGGCCTAACCACTCCTAGATTATCGGCCTGAAATTCATTATCTGGATCGCATCCATCTTTGTTGATATGCAGGAAGTGACTTGGGATGATACGGTTTTGAACGGTATCAATTACCTGAACAAATCCGTCCTCCAGGTTCCCTTCTTGCTCATGACTCTGATGCGATATGTTACGCCGACTTTGGACGAGATGTACGTCTCATGCTCTCCCCATTTAGCTATTCAAAATACTGACAAACCAGATTCATGGAATCTCTGAATTGGGTTGACCAAACCTACGTTCAGAAGCACAAGGCAGAAGACCCTAGCACCCTTCGCGCCATGTATTACCCAAACCTGGCCCAGTACTCCAAAGGCAAGGCCGGTGGCTCCAACCCGATTGGAAAGTCCATCATGCTGTTTGTTCAGAGATACGGCCGCAAGGTTGCGATGCTTTTCGGTGTATACCTCCTCTCGCTTCTCCCAGTCGTTGGCCGATTTGTCATGCCTGCTGCTAGTTTCTATACGTTCAAGCAGAACGTGGGGACTACCCCTGCGGCTGTTATCTTCGGTACGGGACTCGTGCTTCCGAAGAGATTCATCGTTACTTTTCTGCATACCTACTTTGCCTCTCGCAGCTTGATGCGCGAACTTGTAAGTGGCAGCCGGACCACAAAAATAGCCTTTATCTGACAGTATCAGCTTGAACCCTACTTCTGCCGCGTCCCATTTACCCCTGAGCAAAAGCGCCGCTGGTTCAAGGACCGTCAAGGCGTGCTATTCGGTTTTGCCTTTGCCTTCACTGTCGTCATCAAAACCCCCTTCATCGGCGTGCTCATGTACGGTGTCGCAGAAGCATCCACCGCATATCTCGTTACCAAGATCACAGACCCTCCGCCGACTCCTGATGAGGGCCCGGAATTCGCTGAGACGCAGGTCCGGTGGAAGAACAAGCATGACTTCTTGCACTTGTCATTGGAGAACATTGATAAGCTGAATTTGCCGCGCGATCGTAAGGTAGGGGAGACTGAGTCTCCTGGCACCCCGGGAAAGAAGTTCTCTTGAGGTTTTGGCTTAGAGTGCTGGATAGCGTTTACATGCATGAAAGGAGCTTAAGTCCAACATTTTCGGGGAAAGACGAAACGAGGCAAAGTGGTTCATTTACATATTTTTAGTTTTGCATGAACTTTTTAAAAAATACATCTCGGTTGTATTCGTGGTAAAGAAGACAAGGTACTAAAGTACAGATACAAAACACAATCTATACATGGTGTATTTCTCCTGCCCCAAATAGCATCATCACGTAGCTCTTAAAATCTGTTTTGGAGCCCGAGCTACTGCTTTGCCATTAGCACTTACCACGAGCGAGTCAATTCATCTTGGCAAACTTCGCTGCAAGATCAATCGAAGTGACTTTAGAAGTAAACCCTACGGACCTCGCAGTCCGCAACAAGCGGTACATCATAATGCAATATCAACTCCAAGAATGTTTCGTTTTCGATGCGGTCCTTATAGACTTTCGGGTACGGGTCTCTAACTCGCGGGATGAAATTCAGTGCAGTAACCATTACATCCCGATCATATGCCTCCCAGTTGGCCTTGGTTTTATAAGCTCAATTCCATGGTACGGAGACGCGAGATGCTTGGCGGTATTCTTGGTCTTGTCTTTGCCATTTGCTTGGTTCCACTGTTGAAAATGTGTTCGTTAGGGCAGTCGTTGTTGGCCCCAGCATTATCACGATCGATTGTGCAATGTCGCGGACTGCCCCGTATCTGAACGCATGTGTTGTCACGCGGTAAACAACACCACCAGTTTATCCAACTAAACCACTAAAGCTCAATAGCAAATGTTAAGATAAACAAGACGCAGACATGCTGGCGTGAGCCATGTCTGATATAGTCTCGTGGCTCTAGTATTGCCTGGGATGGGATTCTACGGTACTGTCTGGCTGTAGTTCAGTCCTCCTGTTGGTGAGAACGCATTGCATGAAACAGCGACTGATCTGTTTGGTGATGGACTGTGACGGCATGAGATAAAAAGGGATTTGCATATTAGGAGTTGCAGTGTGCCACTTCTAGATATCTGCCTGAAGACAGCCAGCCAAGATACAAAGCTGTATTAACTTCAGTTTTGTTAATAGGAAAGATTTTTAGTTATCACCGGTTAGCATTGGCTAGAATTAAAATCATTGAAAGCTCGACTCGCATTCACGTAGCCTTCGACATAATCGGAAGCCGAAACGGTGGACCTCAACATTTGCGTTGATGCGCTTGTCCGCAGTTTGACCATTTGAGAATAACGGCACACGTAAATTGTTGTGCACCGCAGAGCCAAGTGTCTTTATGGCTCACTTATTGCTCCACGGTCTCTCTGCGTTCACAACGGATGGGAATGGGAACTCACTCTCCCAGATAGTCAGTTCGGGATACACCATGTCCTCTGTGATAGTTCTGCAAATTGTCTGTCCCCTGGCTTGAATAGAAGCCCTCGGGTTTCTGGTTTCCGATACGTCTTGGGACTAGGCTGTGGCCAGGTGTTCGTTAGGCATTCCTGTTCGTCCTGTCCCATTATCAATCCCGTTGACAGTTTCAGTAATGTGATGGGCATGTCCTTGGCGCGATGCTGCAGCCTCCAAGGCGCAATGGCTCATGATAGCCAAATAAATAAGGATTAGGGTTGCTTTCTGGACCTTTTCAGCCCTTCCTGCGCGGGTCGGAAACATGTTGAACGTACCATGCTTGTGGGCGGATGCTGAAAAACCATTACCCATCACTTGATCAGAAGCGCCATACCGTAACCTCGCTGTAAGTTCCACTGCATTTCAGGTGCAATATATCACCAGATCACTGTAAGGGATCCGACAGTAACGGCTCCGTATAGTGTCTGTATGGATTTGGACCTTCCTCGAGCTCTGAGAAGGTAGCTTCGCCGCTGCCTTCTATGTCAGGACAGTATGGGCACTGATAGCCCCGGTTTGCTACAGATTATTTCGGGAAGCGCTTAGCCTCAAGGATTACTAGCTTGTTCATGTTGTTTTGCTTGAGATTTGAGAGTTGGTGTTTGTGACAAGACGTTTGCCTTCTTCTTAGTACAAGTGCCCACCTCCCGCATAGGTGGATATTGTGAAAACTTGCCGCTGTGAAGGCTTCGAAATAAATGGTCATCTCTCCCCGCTCGCTGACGAGCGGGCTAAGACATGCTTTCCTGGGTAGCATTTCAATTCATAACTGGCTAATCAGGTCTGAGCGTCAGCACTCTACAGCAGTTTTGCAAAGTTCTGCTTCACAATTCTCCTCTCGCCGCAGCATTCTAAGTCCAAAGGGTCTGTGAGCACCATTTGTTCCATAGGCTTCAAGGCGATCCAATTGCGACATTGACTGCCTGGTCTCATGTAATGTATGGAAGAAATAGTTCCATAGATCGACGGCTACATTCAGTCGCGTCACGCATGTCGCTTGGTACCATGTAAGAGTCCGCAACTCTATGAGCTTTTCGAGGCCCAGTATATTCCTTCGGGAACATAATGAACGTATTTAGACTGTAAAATAGTGGCAATATGCCATGAGGTAGTGTGCCTGCGCGACCCGACTGAGCGGTACCATGTCTGTGGGCTCGAATCCATTGTCCTTGCGCAACACGTAATTAGCTTCCAGACGGACCCATGGAGCGGCGCATCATATGCTGGTAATCAGAACCGAGGTTGGGAAGATGAGGGTGATTTAATGAGGCCTTGTAGCGCGCGTCGTGCTCTGGTTATCTATCATGTGCTTATAATATCTCCTATCTGGTGAGATAGGCATGTCGTCGTCCATCCGAAGGATTGACGGAAGGCAGTGGTATCCATCTTAGGCGTTGACAGAAAGCAGGCTTTGTGGCTTTGCTCACAATGGGTGGGGTTCGATTTAAGCATTTCAGGATGCCAGAAATTGACTGTAACGCCTGTTTTTGCTTCGTATGTGAATAATAGGTTGTTTTTTGGCCTGCTCTTTGCGGTAGATCCGTACCTCGATTAGCCTTGCAGGATATAGCTCAAATAGTCCTTCCAGGTCACTTTAATTTCCAGAAATTTCTGATATCCGGCACAGAAATTGCCGGCTGAGCCTTTCACGTGGAGCAAGGCATGCTTTCCATCTTCTGATCGAATGATAAGAAGCCTCTAATGCTTGTATATTGTGCAGTGCATAGCTCAGCGCTTTCTTTCGACATTGTACACAAATGACCCGGAATCTCTGAGTGAGCAGAATGGCCCCCTTTTAGGGCCCATGATTCGATGTTCTGTGGTGTGTCCTCAATTACTTCAGCAACCATGGCATTCTTTAGACTGCTGTAAAAATTATAAGATTCTCGTGGTACGGCAGAATTGTGGTCTCTAAGTACAACGTCCTTATCGTGCCGAAGCTTGTTCTCATTGATCTAATAACCAGTTAGCATATAACAGAATACATGGACAGCTTTATGGGGTACTCACAGTATTTTGATACAAGGTCCATGCTCGGCAGTAAGGGCTTTGGGATTGCGGCAGGGTAATGCTCTTCATCATGCCACCAAATCTTTTGAGCTCATCCACATTTTCTGTGGTTCGTCTTGCTTCCTCTCAAGTTCAATCTGTGATGCCATATCTGTTTCGATGCTTATGGAACATAAGAGTATTCCTCAAGGGGCACTTCACCTCCACATACGACAAATTACCGCAAGACCTGATACAGGGGTTAACTAGCACGCAGGCTCAAGATCTCACTGGAACTTTATGGATAAATTCCAGTGTCTAAAGTAGTGTAGGTGTTGATAGCTTGTTTTGGAGCCCAAGCTGTCGGTTAGCAGCTCGCACTTGTGATCCGCCGATAGGTTGCAAATGTATAGCACACGCAAAGTAGATGGGGCGGCTCCACCTTCTCCTCTGCGTTTTCGGCTGTGCAGACACCAGGTATGAAGTCTCTCCGATGGAGAACCTCTGTGGTTTTGAACTCCAAGATTGCAAAAGTAATGTTGTTCTTACCCGGAGCGAAGCAGCCCACCTCATATTGAAGCGGCTCTTTCTGTCGTGTGTCCCCTCACTTTTACATGTGATTCTCACGTTCAGATTCGGGGACTTCTCCAACACTGCTGTAAATTGCGATAGCGATAGGCAAACAGGCAGTGTGTGACTTCTCCCTTGCCAAAGACACTAAAAGCACAGCGCATCACTTGACGACAGCGAACGGTCGTAATAGGTTGGAGTACCCACTACATTTCGAGCAGATGTCAGGTCGGCCGAGTCTGGGAGCTCCGCAAGTATGGCTGGCCGGCCCCTGACGAGAAATTTAGATATATCTCATGTCTGTCAACGATGAAAGTGAGCCAGCTAGCCCAGCGTCTCCCCCGAGTCAAGAATATAATGTATCGCGTGGGGCAAATGTTTGTGCACAAATTTCATGTTATTCCTCCACCCAATTTCGTGAATCTTCACTCCCTCCTTGGTTACCTTGAGGTGCTTTTTGTTTTCGCGCCATATTAGGACCATATCGGCTACAACTTTGATGAAACTTCCAAGTCACGGGATTAAACCTCCAGTATCCTTCTTCACGAGCATTTTGGTTGACCGACAAGAGGAAACATAGCTGTCTATGGTGTCATGATACCACGCAGAAGACAGCCAATCGGGCAAACTTATTAGCCACATGTTATTTCAAATTGAGCTTCCATGTCCCCTCATCTTGGCCTTAAAGTCCATTCCGTTTAAATGCTAGTCATGGTTCTCTATGTGGCTGTCTTGTCGCATTGTCTTATATTGTCCAACGTTTGCATTTATCTCTCTCAGATTGCCGGAAGGCACGACTCGGTTGAGCCAAGAGATCAAAATCATTTGCCGGTACTGAGATGGTCTTGTGGTATTGAAAGGGGCGCTTTTGATGCCCAAGTTTCAGTAAAAGGATTTCTGACAGTCGAGCCCTAATAAGGCCTTCTCAGGGGGTAGGCCAATTGCAACCTCGAACTTCTTGACAGCGCGGTCCAAGCAAAAGAAATCAAGAGCACTATTTTGCAACAGGATTGCGATTGAATTCAGATTTAAGGTGAATTTGTCTCCCAACGTTTGGAGGGGTGGCATTCACCATGGCGACAATGGCCTGTCAATCGGACTTATGGTCATCACACTTTCATGGAAGCATTATAATGAAGTCCTAATAAGGCTGCAGGACAAAAGAAGACAGAGACAAGTCGAGAGAAGAAGACGCGAAGAGAAATAGGGTTGGGTAGGCCGAGCGATTTAAATCCGAGGAATATGTCGTCGCTTTCCCGTGTACTCCCGAGCTGCCAGGCTCATAACTGAGATTCGTCTCTTGAGTCGTCAACCTTTTGCTTTTTGAAAAGAAAAATCTTTAAGGTGATGGACGTTCCTTAAGCAAACACCTGACCAGAGAGAAGCTCGTCATGTCTGCTTCGGAATTGGGGAGCCGGAGATGATCCAAGCAATCGTTGGGGAACTATCAAAAAGAAGAAATTCCGCGGAATAGCGGTCCTTTCTGTTCGCTGCATGTGCCATATGGTATCTGCAAGCAAAACCCACCGTTACGTGATCGTACCAGGCTGAAGGAACTTCTCAAGACCGTATTGGACACTATATTAACGCGATTATTGCTTCGACTCAGTTAGCCAAAGCCATCCCGTTTTCAGAATTCCGTATCGCGTATTAACCAAGTAGCTACTCACCTCTGCAGATATCCTGTATAAAAAGATGTCCCCTAAAGCGATCCAGCAACAAGATCTGTTCTATATAGCGCAGACGGGTTGATCCTGCAGAGATTACCGGGTGCCACTACGCTCCGTAAGGTCGAGCTACTTACCTTGGGCGGCTTCGATGGTTCAACTCCTTCAATTAGGAGGCAAAATTTGCCCGTAAAGCAATAGGATCAGGGTGCACCACACTCATTTCAACATTTCTTAGCCCAATAACGTAATATGAGCAACGTTTCCCCCGTGTTTTCTGGTCCAGGTAACGGTAACACAGCTGTAGCAAGCCAAAAAAAAAAAAAAAAAAAAAATAAAAAAAAAAAAAAAAAAAAAAAAAAAAAAAAAAAAAAAAAAAAAAAAATTAGGAGTCAGTCAAAGGATAGGATAGATGGAAGGATACTAACCAGGAGCTCCTTATTTAGTATTCCATGGTTGGAACAGCCAGTCCCAGGTAACCCATTTAGGGCGAGCTTGCTTGAGTATAAATGATTGAGCCATTGTAAGAAAGATGGACGGAATGCGAAGTTGGTGTCTTCTTCTTGTGCAGTCGAAGTTCATCCAACGCTCCCTGGCGGTGGGGGATTTCGGAGGTTGCATGTGCCAGGTAGACGGCATTCCAAGGAAGCTCCGGTGGAAGTCCCTGGGTCTCGAATCTCGCTGTCGTGCTCACCTTTCAGTTCGCTGAAGATTAGGCCAATTGTGATCCTGCCATTCCTGGCCCTAGAAAACTTTAAACGTGGCAGGGTGTTGTAGTTCTCAAGATCGCTGAATATTGATTTTAGAGTCTTGGATCAAATATGTACTCACTCGCTCGTGGAATCTGCGCTCGTAGCGACTGGCATAATAAAGCTCATAGTCAGTTCCAGCGCCCAGGCCTGGCTCGGAACCAAGCATTATCCTTCTCAACGAAGTGGCCAGGCGATTCTTTTTGGGCTTCCTCTGCGAAGACCTTAGGATTCTTGTACAGAGTTCATTTAGTCTCTGTCGGAATCATCCTTGGGTGCTGTGTATATGCTGATGTAGGAGAAGTCTGGGAGGGAGAGTTGCAGAGAAGAATATTTTACGGATAGTGACTAGTCAGCCACTGATACTATTGACATACTAGTGAATGCAAGTAGACAAAGCTGTAGACGTAGTTCATTCACATTGACACATTCAGCAACAAAAAGCCAAACCTTAGCGCATTACATTGAAACAAACCAACTAACCAAAAAATCAACTACTAGCAAACGCACAATTCCCCATATCCCTCTTAACAACCTCTGCCTCAGGCCGAATGTCAAAATCAAAAATATCCATCGGAATTCCCATCGTAGTACACGCATTCGGAATATCCACAACACCAGCAATATGCCCCTGCACCGGTGCACAACTAAGCAGCAAATACACCTGATAGTCACTATATCCATACCTCCGCAAATACTCAATCGCCCGGATACAAGTCTGTCGGTACGCAACAGTACTATCGAGGAAATACTGCTTCCCTTTTTCATCGACCGAAAAGCCCTCGAAGGTGAGATACCGCGAGGGCCCGAAGTGAGGCTCCACGATACCTGGTAGGTAGATGGGGGATTTCATGGCCATTTTGGCCATGCCATCTTTGAGGACTGTGAATTTCAGGGTGATTTCGCCGGCCATTTCGATTGCGCCGCAGAAGGATATTTCGCCGTCGCCTTGGGAGAAGTGGAGGTCACCGACGGAGAATTTGGCGCCGGGGACGTGGACGGGGAGGTAGATTTTGGAGCCGCGGGAGAGGTTTTTTATGTCTGTGTTTCCGCCGTTTTCGGGGCGACCCTGTTCTGTCAGTGTTGTTTGGATATAGGTGCGATGGTGTGGGATGATTGACGTACAGGGATTGTGCGAGCTCCTTCTCGTGCCACCCTTTCTTTGAGGGTTTCTTGAGCAGCAGAGCCGGTATGTGCACCTATTGGTTCCGGTGGGTGGGCGACCACTCGATCCGCGGTAGTATTCGCTGCGATGAGCTCGCCCTCGCGACGATTCCATTCGGCTAGGATCTTTGCAGTTGGTGCAGTGCCCAGGATACCAGGATGGATGAGACCTGGAAATCGCACATGGGGAATATGACGAGAAGAGCAGAATATTCCTTCAAAATCCCAAATTGCTTTTGCTCTGCGTTATTTCACTTGTCAGTGTACATTGATGCAGCTTATTCGCGCAAACATACGGCTTAGGGTATATTTCATCAAGGAATCCTCCCCCGTTGTACCGGTCAAAAACGCCCCCAAACCCCCATGGTGCGTCTCGCAGCGCCTGTACGTCCTGGATCTCGACTAGCAGCACATCACCAGGCTCTGCGGTCTCGATATCAAATGGTCCGGAAAGGTAGTGGATTTGAGTTAGATCCACGTTCTTGAGATCATCGGCAGAGTCATCGTTCTTGATCTGGCCTCCGGTCCAGTCCATGCATTCGATTAAGACGACTTCGTTGTTCGCGATGGTGGCAACGGAGGGGACTATACGAGTGTCAATCACCCAGGTTCAATTCAAGGGAATGGTGATGTAGCAGCATACCGTCAGGGTGCCATCTATTCTATAGTTCAGTTAGCATGTGTCTCCCATAGTCTCGTCTATTGACGTACGTGAAGACCCGGTTGCTCCCACGCCGGTTTCTCATGGTCAATTCTGAGAGTGCGAATCCTTCTGGTACCCATTGTGAATCCAGCGTGCAGGGTGTTTCATCAAGTCGAATTGATCCGGGGGTAATGCTTTACGTCTATATAGCAACGTCTTATGACTCTTATCTCGGCTTTCCATTGCTATCATAATGGGCAAACCCCGCTGCGGAGAAACGATCCGATGTCTTATCAGACCATGATCCCAGGGGTGAAGGGCGTCTTGATGTTTGTGTTATGTACTTCGCATTGGAGATAATGCATTATCTTCAAATCCCGGATTCCGAGGGCTTCAGTTTTCATGTACAGCTGACGATAATCCCTTCCCCAAGAGCTAATGAAGAACCTAGCACTGCAATAAAATGTTTGATATGCTCAGTAGACTGACTTCACGAATAAAAAAAAAAAGAATGCACAGCAAAAATTTTTTTAAAAAAAGTAAAAAGGAATTTGACAAGGGTGGGATTCGAACCCACGCCCCTTGCGAGACACGGAAGCTTACCCGAAGGAGAGCTTAAGAGATCCAGTAACCTGAACCGTGCGCCTTAGACCACTCGGCCACCTTGCCATTGTTAGATTATATTCCAAGTTATGCATTATATAAGCAGTTACATAGCTTATTAGTCTGTCACGTGAATATCACTGCAAATCGACCGCCGTCATCATCTTCAATCAACCCCGCGCACTGTGAAGGAAAACACTTCAACATGGGTTCCGTGATTCTGCCTCACCTTCACTCGGCATGGCACGTCGACCAGTCCATTCTCAGCGAAGATGACCGTCTAGTCATCATCCGTTTTGGCAAGGACGGCCACCCGGACTGTTTGCGCCAGGACGATGTGCTCGCCAAAATCGCGGAGAAAGTGAAGAACTTTGCCGTGGTTTACCTGTGTGATATTGACGAGGTGCCGGATTTTAATTCTATGTACGAGCTTTACGATCCGATGACAATAATGGTATGTGCTGCTACCTTTGTTCCCTGGGTTTTGCGCGAAGGGTATGGTTGGTTGCTAACGGGTGCTTTTTGCAGTTCTTCTTTAGAAATAAGCATATGATGTGTATGTCTCAGTGCTTGGTTATCGTCAATTTGCAGCTAACGTCTTCAAGGTGATTTCGGAACTGGTAATAATAACAAGCTGAACTGGTTACTGTGAGTGCTGCCCTTCGCTGTCTGGTTTGGCTATGACTCATGCTAATATCTTTCAGAGAGGATAAACAGGAGTTGATCGATATCGTCGAAACGATCTACCGCGGTGCAAAGAAGGGTCGGGGTCTGGTCGTCAGCCCCAAGGATTACTCCACGAGATACCGTTACTAGATGGGGATCGGGTTGGGCCTTGCGTCCTGTAACGTTTACGATATTATGTCAAGCAAAAACTTTGCCTCACGAATGATCCGTGATACGGAGTTTCTTCGCCCGTCGACCCTTCCGGAAGATAACACGATACTGGTGGTCTTGGACGGAAGGCCATAACAGTGGAGTGAAGGTAACCCAATCCTTCAACATGGGCCATGCATTCCTATATATATGAGGAGACTAGACAGCATAGCACTTCAACAATGATATAACATCACAGTCGACTTTTGGCGCTTTCAACGATTTTTGTCCACCCATTTTCACCCACCTCTTGAAAATCCATAACCTTAAAAGGCCCCCCATACCGATTCTGAGTAGACCTCCAGTCCCGATGAACAGCTATCACCGGCCGCCACCGCACAACACGCTTTAATTCCTCCTGCAGACTCCCCTCCAAAGCATCTGCAATAAACCCCCCAATCGTAGGCATCTGCATCGCCCCATTCCCCGACCCCCCAACAGCCAACAACAGCGATGAATGCTCCGGATGCCGATCAATCAAAAACGCCCGATCCACCGTATCAGCATCCCAGCAAATCCTCGCAAAGGCCAACGGCCTCCCCACCAAATGCGGCATCGTATCACTTAGGAAATCTCTAGCCCGCGCCTCCGCCTCGAGCGGGATCTGGTGCTTCGCAAACGGGATACTACGTATCTCTCCAGAGTGCTGTGGATCAGGCACGAAATTGCAGTATCCGGGATGTTCGTCGCAGATCTTAAGCTCGTGCTTGTCCTCGTCGGGCTCCATGAAGAAACCTTTGGCGATGTTGAAGAGCACGGGAAGGTTGCGGTATTGTTGCGCTTCTTCGGGGGTCATGCGGATGTGGCATAATGTCCATGCTGTTGGGCGGAGTTGGTTTTTGAAGTCTATGAGACGGTCACTGCCTGCGCCGGCGGCGAGGATGGTATGCTGTGCATGGTGGATGATTCCGTCTTCGGTTCTGGCTCCGATAACGTCTCCGTTTTCGTAGACTAGCGAGATTATATTTCCCTGTGGTGAACCTGTCACGAAAGTGACACCCAATCTCTTCGCTTCGGTATAAGCAGAGACCATAGCCTTCCGGGCATGGATCCATCCTGCACCGGTCTTATTGAACCAGCCTTTCCACCCCGGGAAATCACCTGTTAATATACCCGGGGGCATGGTCTTGCAGAAGTCCTCTGCCGTCTTCAGCTTCACCAGATGCTCGGACTTTGTTGGATCGATTTCATCTTCTTGGATGTGTTTGATCAACTCTGGTGTATGACCAGACACAATCGCCCCCGTTTCATGGAAGTAGGGCTGAAAGACCGGGTCTGTCTTCCACCCGTTCAATGCCGCTCTGGTGCATGTTTCGAAGGCGACGCTTATGGGGTCGGAGTTGGGGTCTATCTTTGTTAGCTAGAACTTATGGACAGCCTGTCTGGGGGTGTAAACCTTTCAATTCCCGATGTTCCATGATCTTGTTAATATCATTCCCAGCCGCAATGGGCGACGGCACCGGATGGGGATCCAGCACGGTAACATTTTTATATCCCCGACGGGCGAGATGCAGAGCCGTCGAGCAGCCCCATGTTCCTGCGCCGATGATGAGAATAGATGAGGAGGGATTGAGTGGTGGTGTCATATTGTCGTCGTATAGCTTTAGAGCTAGAAAGTTGTAGTTGTCTTGGTACGATAGAGAAAAGGGAATTCAGTGATGAGGGGCCATCGAGCTTTATCAGATGACGCCAGACACAACAGCTATAAATACAGCAAAAACAAGGAATAATTCCGGTGCATATCTATTGTCTGATTGAGCTTGCTTTTATCCGATAGGGCCAGTCGCAGATTGCATCGGCTGGACCTTCCTGTGCATTTCTCCACATTTTGTAGACTCAGATTTACCGTTTTGGGAAATGTCAGGACAACTATTCTCCGCGGCGTCCAGGGTTGCGGTTGCAATTATCAGAGTCTATTCGAGTTTCCTGCTCGTATCTTGTCCAATCAATTATGGCATACGGTAGAGGATTCACTTGTTCGTTTGGTTTCCGCACTTATCACGCGCGCAGTGGTATACTATATCTCCACCGTTCTTCTCCAACACTAATTATCTTCTATCTCGTGTTGATATCTATGGCGATGTAAAGAGTCAGAGACGAGAAAGTGGCCTCCAGCCCCTCATGGTGTCTTTATCATCCAAGGGTGCTATCTTGTTCGGGGTATGCCGATGTTGGTGTACGAATATATATAGTCCGCTCTGGTTCTCAGGATGGGGTTTCTCTCCACATTTATACCCTCTAGGGATGTGAACGCTCACTATGGCTCCCTCGGACGATATTATGACAGATGTACCAGGCACCGTGTACCTGGTAGATAGTATGCCATACACCCCCTCCCCTTTCCCGGGATGTATAACCCTAAACAGACAAAGCCCCCAGAAACCTCAGCGATGCAGCCCGTTCTGGACACGATATCCTCCTAGTTCCTCAGCCTACGCCCTCGCAAGCTGATCCACTGGTGCGCAGCACACCACAACCCCAATACCATACATATCCAGTCCACTAACACGAAACCACAGAACTGGCCCAAACACAAAAAATACTGGTCCCTTTTCCTAATTTCCGCATACGCCTGCATAATGTCTTTTGGCGAGAACAACTGGGGCGCAGCCTGGACAACCATCTCCGAAGAAACCGGCGTCACACTGAATAACATGAACGGCGGCTCGGCACTGAACTACCTCCTCCTGGGCTTCGTGAACATCATCTGGATCCCGTCGGCCATGAAGTTCGGACGGAAGATTGTTTATATCTTGAGTTTGGTGTTCATTCTGGCTGGGGGAGTTTGGGGTGGGTTTTTTGAGGGCACGGCGCAGTATTATCTTATGATGGTTGTTACGGGGATTGGGACGGCGGCATATCAGGCGCTGATTCAGTTGACGGTTAGTTCTTCCTTTTTTTAATTCCTGGGACGTGGGTTGTGCTGATTGGTAGATATTTGATATGTTCTTCTCGCATGAGCGTGGTCGGATGTTGGCAGTCTATATCTTCTTTCAGCAGTTAGGGTCTATTCTGGGGTTGATTCTGGGGGGATATATTGCGGATGGGATTGGGTGGAGATGGAGTCAGCCGATTGTTGCGATTGCTGCTGTACGTCCCTATCACATTTTCTAGGGAATGTGCTAACTGTCTAGGCCATCTTGATCCTCCTATTCACCTTCGCCTTCGATGACACCATATTCCCACGCTATCGATTCAGGAACCAAACATCCACAGAACCACCCAAACTCGACGAAACAGCCCAGCCTTCACCAACCAATGATGAAAAAGACCACAAGTCAGACCCTAACCTGGCTATAACTATCAGCCATAGCGCCGGCGAAATCTCCATGCCACCCCGAACATACACCCAGAAACTCGCACCCGTGCACTACTACAAAGACGACAAGACAACCTGGTTCCAGTACTTCCGGCGCCCATTCTACCTCTTCCTATTCCCGAATATCGTCCTCGCGGGTATCCAGTTCGCATTCGGCTGCACGGCTGGCATTGTCTCCTTCAACACCATCTCGGAAATTATGACAGAACCACCCTATAACTGGAGCGCCGGCTCAGCAGGACTATTATTCCTCGCTGCCCTTGTTGGGAATTTCATCGGGTACCTCCCTTCCCCTCCCCATACACCCATTATATCTAACATAATGTACCGCGCCGCAGAATGGCCATAGGCACCCTCTCCGATACCCTAGTCCTAACTCTAACCCGCCGCAACAACGGCTACAAAGAGCCCGAAATGCGCCTCTACACATACATATTCTCTCTTCTCCTCGCGGCCGTCGGATACTTTACGTACGGCTGGGCTGCGACGGCGGGGAGCCATTGGATGGCTGTTGCTGTGGGGTTGTGCTGTATGATTGCCCAGCAGGTTTCGGCGACTAGTATTGCGACGGCGTATGCGATGGAGTGTTTTGATCAGGTATTCACCCATGCCCCAGGTTTCCATTTACGCTTCACTGCACAGTGGAATAAATGTGTTTCTAATGATGGGGGCAGATATCTGGTGAATTGGTGATTGTGCTTGCGGTCTGCTCGTCTGTTATCAACTTTGCGATATCGTTCTCTGTGCAGAATTTCATCGATGCGACGAGTTATGGGTGGACGTTTACGTTTTATGGGATTTGGGTGGTTTTATCGATGGTTATGGGGGCGCCGATGATTGTTTGGGGGAAGAGTTGGAGGAGGAGGTGTAAGGGGAGGTATGAGACGTTTTTGGCGGAGACGATGTAGTTTTTCTTTTGCTATGCTATGTTTTGTTATGTTTGATGTTTTGGTTGGGTATATGTCTGTGGTCATATTGGTATGAGACGAGACCCTACTGGACTGGATGTTGAAGAATGAGAATGAAATTACGCCTGCTATGCTACCAAATGCTAAAAACAAATGGTCGAGGCACCCTGCTGTAGAAATGGATTCTTTCCTCCCCAAGTAAATAATCTTTCTTCTGAAAAATAGATCATGGATATCATGAATCATACGCGTTAATACAACTCCATCTCACGAGAAGAACTTCTTAGCAGCAGCCTTCTCCTTAGCCTCCCGGTCCTTGATCGCCTTGTTGACCTTGGCCACCTCATTCACAATAGCAGCATCCGAAGGAGCCAGCTTGGAAGCTTCCTGGAGGTCATTGAGCGCATTCTCTTCCTCCTTAAGACCCGAAAAGGCGACAGCACGGCGGTAGTAAGCCTTGGCCTTGTCCGCGTCCTTGGAACCAGCGGGACCAGAGACCTCGAGAGCATATGTAGCCCAGGCCTTGCCGTTCTGGAACTGACCGATCTTGTTGGCGAGGAGGGCGGAGTTGGAGTGGAGGGTGAAACGGAGCGCCTTGAGCTGACCGTCGAGCTCCTTGGGGTCATTCTCGTCTGGCTCGGGGAACTCATTCAGATAGCGCAAACCCTTCTGGTATTTCTCGAGACCCAGCAGGTGGTCACCGCCCTTGAATGCGGTGTTACCAAAGTTCTTGAGCTCCGACGCGATCTTGTAGCACACTGGCGTGCTAAGTGCCTCGCCCTGGTGGTCGTCGGGGAAGTCCTCGTACGGGTCACCGGTGGTATCGGGGACCTGCTTGGCCGCGTCGTCGTACTCCTGGTCGGTGAGTTCGCCACAGTCGACAATCGTCACGTCCAAGGTGGGCTTGTCGCCCTGGGTGTTCATGGTCTCGATCTTGCGGACGACGCTCTTTCCGTTGAGCACCTCACCAAAGACCACGTGCTTGCCGTCGAGGTGGGGAGTAGGGACGGTGGTGATGAAGAACTGGCTGCCGTTCGTGCCGGGGCCCGAGTTGGCCATGGAGAGGAGGAAGGGACGGTCATGCTGGAGGTCGAAGTTCTCGTCGGGGAATTTCTCGCCGTAGATCGACTCGCCGCCGGTTCCGTTAAAGGCAGTAAAGTCACCACCCTGAATCATGAATTGCTTGATGACACGGTGGAAGATCGAGCCTGGATTGGATCAGAGGTGTCCAATCGAGAGGAATCTTTCACGCGACGTACCCTTGAAGCTCAATGGCTTGCCCTGCTGGCCCACGCCCTTCTCACCAGTGCAAAGAGCACGGAAGTTATCAGCAGTTTTAGGAACGACTGATTCATCAGTTGCGCATTCTATTAGAGGGGTGTAGGATTGGGACGTTTCGTACCATCGTTGAACTGCGCGAGAAGAAGTTAGCTGGTACCACAACCACAGCCAGAGCTAAGCAAACAAGAGAAACTCACCAATTCAAGAGCAATGCGGCCCATAGGCTGCTTGCCAATCGTGATATCGAAATAAACACGAGAACGAGCTGAAGCGCGCGCTGTTAGTTGAATTTTCATTTATTTGCTTCAATCCGGAGCACCCCGCAGTTTAGAGGGGAAAGAAGAGACGTACGCGACTCGACCATGGTTGCTAGAAGAGAGGTGCTGAATAAGGAAAATGAAGGGATTTAACGATTGAATCACAGAGAATGAGAAGTAGACGTCGATGGGAGTGGAAGAGTGAGTAGAGATAGAAAGAAGGAAGAAGAGAATTGGTGGGGAGAAAACCCATACAAAGGCCGGGCTGGCCTTCAGGAAGCTTCCATGCACTGCACTGTGAATGTTCTACCACAACTGGTGAGTTAAGTGAATTCCTTGTACATCATTACATTCATATCTATATTGGATGTCTATTTTACTATGCTATTATATTGTGGTGGTGTTATTCTAGCAGCGTCGCGGGGAGCTTGAATTCATAGCTCTGCTGGCCCTCGGTCTGTCCTCCCTTATCGCTGTCGCCCTCTGATTTCGATTTCTCAGATTGCTCAGACTTCTCAGGCTTGTCTGGCTTCTTCTCAGACTGCTTATTCCCCTCCGGTGTCTTTTCTTTCTTCGGGAGTTTCGTGTTAACCTCGATCGTGACCTGCATACCATCTCATGGTCAGCACCCCATACTCATTCAACAGGATCGGTAATGCAAAGAAAGTAAGCTATACCGCCTCTTCGTCACTGCGGTAATCTAAACCCACCGGTCCGTCGTTCTTCAACTCGACATCCATCATCGCCTGGAAGACACCGTTCTTGACCCGTTCCGGCTTGTAGGCTTCGCGTAACCGTTGGTAGAAGTAATCGTAGAGTCTGCGCGCGGTTTCGACATCGGCGGCTTCGTGGAAATCGGGTTGTTTGCCTTTGTTTAATTGCGCATAGAGGGTGAATTGCGAGACTGATTCGTCAGAGCTTGATGCCATCACCACTGAGGCGGGGACGAGGCGTACCGCAGAGTATTTCGCCTTCAATATCCTGGACATTCTTCTTCCACTATCCAGCACTGTCAGTCCCAATCGTCCTGGTTCTGCTGTAGCATGGTCTCGAGTCACCCACCTGCTTCCCGTTATCGTCCGGCCATAACCGGCATCTTATGATCCTCGAGATCAAACTGTCTGCTTCCTTCTCATCGTCGCCTTTCCCGACTCCAGCTAGAACTAGGAGACCACGCCCAATCGAAGATACCAGTTGATTATCGACCGTCACGGATGCGGACTTGACTCGTTGGATGACCGCTGGGACTGGGATTAGATCGGGTTGTTTGTCGCGAGAAAGCTGGCGCACCTTTCATGTTGCTCTCTTTTTCTTTTCCTATCGTAGCAGGACCGGGATGTTTGAGCTAATGTTAGGGGTATCACTATCAGACGAAGAAGTCGGTACTGTATGCCTTGGACTAAAACGGCGGCTGCGGACGGGATGCATGCGTACCTCAACCTGTAACAGACAAGCTATAACAACGCAGGGGTCAACAGCACAGTATAATAGAATATATATAGATCAGTAAACCACTGCAGAGTATAGAAATAAGATAGTGTCTATTCCGTAGTGGAATGGATTCTCCCATACTACTATCTCGTGCCTCAGTCTTGGCACACTGGTCTTGGCATTCTCTCCCCAAAAAGCATCACGACTGACGACAACGACTGCGACGACGATTCACTGTCGGCCATACAGGGCTACACTACAATTCTTCCTCCTCTCAGACACAATTCGTGTTGTTTCATCCATTCACGAAATATTCCCCCATCCTTCTTTCCGCCCTCCGCAAACCGGCTCCCACGCAATATTTTGTCCCCAGCTCCAAAAACCCCCTCTTGACCACCACATGAACCGTCCATCATGACCTCCCGGAAAACACAGCAAGAGATCGATAAGACCTTCAAAAAGGTCACAGAGGGTATCCAGGCCTTCGATGGGATATACGAGAAGATCAAGACGACAACAAATGCCGCCCAGCGCGATAAGCTCGAAGACAACCTCAAGCGGGAGATCAAGAAGCTGCAACGATTTCGCGATCAGATCAAGTCCTGGGCAGCAGGCAATGAAGTCAAAGACAAGAGTCCGCTGCTCGAGCAGCGTAGAGCAATCGAAACTGTGGGCTGATTTCCAAACCGTCCCTTTGCACTTGCCACAGACCATGCAGGAGCTAACGGAACTGCAGTGTATGGAACAGTTCAAGGCCGTCGAGAAGGAGATGAAGACCAAGGCATATTCGAAAGAAGGTCTATCAGCAGCGTCGAGGCTCGATCCCCGTGAGAAGCAAAAAGTCGAAACGTGCGATTTCTTGTCCAATATGGTCGACGAACTTCAGCAGAAGATTGAGGCGATGGAGGCTGAGGAGGAGACGCTTCATATACAAATGAAGAAGGGCAAGAAGGATATCAACAAGTCAAATCGGTTATCGGATATTGCACACCTCACGGAACGCCATAGGTGGCACGTCAATAAACTCGAGTTATTGCTACGGGCGCTCCAGAACGGGAATGTCGAAACGGGACAGGTGCTCGATCTGAAGGAGAGTATAAAGTACTACGTCGAAGATGGGCATAACATTGACTACTCCGGGGAGGACGAGACGCTCTACGATGACTTGAACCTGGAGGTCGATGCAGAGGGGCAGCTCGGATTCACGGGCGACAACGATCTGGTATCGTCGCAAGATACGCAGTCGCTGCAGGATGATGACCTGGAACCGAAGCCCAAGATCAAGGCAGAGACCCCCGGGCCACGACGGTCATCAACACAAATGAAGTCACCTCTGCCCGTTCTTGCGACCCTACATCCTTCCACGTCAACCAGCTCCACAAGCGGCATGAAGCCCGCTCCTCCACCAACACGACTTCCCGGGGAAACTCTCAAGTATGCATCCGCAGCGGCAGCAGCAGCTGCAAGTGACAAGAATGGCGTTGGAATCGCTCCTTTGCCCCCACCCCCAGGTGCCAGCCCTGCATTTCCCGCAGCAGTTCCCGTGTCGAAGCCTTCCTCGATCGCCTCGCCAAGCGTCGCGCCAGCACAGCCCACGCCCAAGCTCGCATCAGCTGCCGCACTCGCTGCGGAGGAACGATCACGAACGCCCGCCTTCAGTAGTCCCAAGGTGGCTGCTGCGCCCGCACCAGTTGCAGAGAAGAAAGAGCCTCCCAGCAAAGAGCCGGTTACTGCTGCGACAAATGGAGAGACTGACAAGCCGGAGCAGCGCGATGCCGAAGAGTCGATATACCATCTGCCCCCCGGGTTACAAGACCTGATCCAATCTTTCGAAGTGACCAAGAGCCGCGCGTCGACGAACCCAGCACCATCGGCTCAACGACTTCTGGCAGCATCGTTGACGACTTGCCCGGAACCCGCCGATGCAGAGAAGCCCCGTCACTACAAACCGCAAAATCCCTACAACACACCCCTCTACTACCCTCAAGAACCGCTTGCGATATTTGACGACCCGCGACTGTACGATACGGGGCGAATCGACACGGATACTCTCTTCTACCTGTTTTATTACCGGCAAGGCACATACCAGCAATTCCTGTCCGCTAAGGCACTCAAGAACCAAAGCTGGCGATTCCATAAACAGTACCAGACATGGTTCCAACGTCATGAGGAGCCCAAGGCGATCACCGAGGAATTCGAGCAGGGGACGTATCGGTTTTTTGACTATGAGAGTACATGGTATGTTTTCTTTACGTTTCTTCTTGGCGTACCGATCTGATGCTAACTTCTACAGGATGAATCGGCGCAAGGCGGATTTCAAATTTGTCTACAAATACCTTGAAGACGAGTTATAATGCGTGTACCATGTGGAGCAGGTTACACTTTGAATGCAAGAGAACTACTTGATTGATTGGTTGGGATTGGTTTCTTCTGTTCTGTTGTTTGATTCTGCCAGGAGTGAGTGTATGTACGAATGGGCAGCGGTGGAGTTCTTCGTCTATGGGGATTACCATGGTTCTTATTCATTTCATGAGAACACTGTACTCTTTATTATGCCATGTTATCCGGAGTACATAGTAGAGACGACTGCGTGTTGCATATTGTAACATTCACCTGACCGGAATTCGTCCACGGCTACATACATAGTACGCATGTCAGCAGCCCAAACCCGACGCAAACCAAGGTTCACCCCAGCTTCCCACCTACTAAGGTTTTTCCAGAAGCCTTCCACCCTCAGGAACAATCCCGGGGTAGTCTCATGGTTTGTTTGTGCCCGAGGCCACCTGTTGGCCTTGGCCAGCCATACAGAGTCCAGCGCAAGCAAGCGAAGCGCCTCACTGCTTTTGCCCTTTGCAAAAATGGGTATCGATATGCTTTTAAGATCTACAGTACAGCAACTTGTACGTGGTACTTGAGGGATTTTTGTCTTCTGCAGTTCTCATTGATTGACTGACATATACTTGTGCAAAGTGCAGAGAGTGGTTGCCAAGAGGCTGTGCGGCTCAGCGATACAGTTACATACGAGGTCCTCTTACGTTGTGCTAGCCCACTGACTACTGTGCTCCGAGTCCAGATACACTAGTATGTACAGAACTGACGTCAAAACGGGGACTCCGTACAACACGGCCGGGAAATCGTTTTCTCGTTGGCGCGGATCGCACAAGTGTACAAAAGCCTCTGTCGATCCGGATATTTAGTGCCGATGAAGGCCGGAGGGTGCGATATTTGCATGTGTGTGTGTGCCTACGGAGTATGCCTACAGAATACAATACACAGCGGGATACGCGCGACTGCCCAGCAAAAGGAAAGACCGGACACAAGACACGAAGAAACTGTCCAAGTCGAGTATGTGGTACAACAGGAGTTTGCATGATCCCCATGCTACGGACGCTTTGTGACCCGCGGCATCATCCATGCTCGGATTTCTCTTGTCCTGTCGCACATCCTCCGCGGAATTCCCCAATCAAGTTCATGTACATCTTGGGCTGGACTTCGTACTTTCTCAGTCACGGTCGGCGCCGAATACCCGAAACGAGACAGACTCGGACCCATCGAGAGGACCTGTACAGCGAATGAGGCTGAGTAGCCGCCATAAGGCTCTCTCCGGAATTCTCTTTGTGGGTTTTTCTGGGTCGTTTGTTCGACAAACAGGCCTCCGTGGACAACACTAATACTCCACCGCAATTTGTTCCTGTGGAGGAACTTGGGGGGTCGATGATGTTATTGTGTCTTTTGTCCCTTCGTGATCGTCCTTCAGAACCTTTCAGAAGTCTTTCAGAACGCTTTAGTGTCCACTCGGGATGGGGGTCGTGTCAGCCTATTCGGCGATTCCCAAGCACACAGCAACATATACTCCAATCACAACTCCTTCGGGAACTTGGCGATGCAAGCCGGCTCTCGAACCCTGGATAGAACACCGGACAAAATTCCATCGAGTTTCTAGCGTCAGCCTAGCCGGTAGGGATGTTTGCTTCACTTTGATCCTGCGTAAAATAAAATCTCTCACCCACTTTTCCTGGCAAAGACGCCCTATCATAACTTGCGGTTTAAGGTGGCTGTGTGCATTTTTTCCACACAACTTCCTATCTCGTCTGCGTGGTCTTCCGCCCTTGGCAAATTTCGTCTATTGCAGACAAAGGTTAGCGGAAAGTCTTGGTGATGACATACCCTGGGCTCTGGGGGGATCCGCTTGTTGTTTGACGTTCGATCATGATGCAGTGCGGAATTAGACTCCTTCTTGTGCATATATAAAGACGCACATCCCGATGCTCTCAGTCCTTGGCTCTACCTTCTTTGTTTTACGAACTTACTCGACAAAGTAACCCAACTGACCTGACCATGGACTTGTACTTATCCAACACTCAAGCTAACATGATGTTTTCCAATCCCGCAATGGTTGTCTTCCACCAGTCGCCAATAACAAAAAAAATAAAAACGCAAAGCTAATCGTATTTAGACACAGACTCCTGGTCTGTCTTGTCCACCCATGGAGCCTTCGTACTCTCACGGAAGCGACGCTTCAACACAGTCTTCCTTCACTTATCCAGACCTGTACTCTTCCTCTCCGATGCAAGAACCAGACCTTTTTCCCTGTCCGTCTCCTTTCGAGTCGTCCTATGATTATGATTTCTCTTCTTCCCCGGGTCAGTGCCAATATGGCTTTGCGGACGTATACCCGGCCGTCAACTCGTCCTATGTCAACTCCATCCCGATCCCTGGCGCTGGATACGTCGACCACTCGCTTGCAACATCTGCATCGTCGATATCGTCTTCTCCGCCGGTTCAATGGCCGCCCCAAGATGCACAACTCTTCCCTGACATCTGTCACGACATTCCTTTCGAAACAACATCTCCCAAGTAAGTCTCCCATCCACACCCCCCCCAAATTTTCGACACAACTAACACGCGACAGATCAAACAAACCCTTCCCCTGCGCAGACTGCGGTAAAGCATTCACTCGCTCTGCCGACCTAAGACGTCACCAAACCAGCGTCCACTACCCCGTATTCCAAGACTGCCCCGTTGCCGACTGCTCGAGAAAAGGCCACAACGGGTTTCCGCGCAAAGACCACTTGCTCGAACATCTACGCGCGTACCATCACGTCCCTGTACCCAAGCGCGGGGCATCCAAGAGAGTTACTAAAGCGCAGTATCTGTAGCTGATTTTTTGCTACGGATCGGGTTTCTCTTTTATTTCTTGCGAGTTGACAATACTCGTCGCTTATGATTTTAATGCCCCCTTGCACTTCACTTTTATCCATTCATTTCGGATTCATTCGTTGCTTTGATTTTTTTTTTTTTTTTTTTTTTTTTTGAGACGCTACGAGTTATGCTAATGCTCATGTTTATGTTTATGTTTATGTCTGATGTTTCTTTACGGTCATGTTGCTGATGACTGCACATTTTCTGTATACCCATACATATACCCGAGGCTGATGATGTCTTTGTTGACACACTACTGAAAGACTAGGCTCTCTTACATACTTCAAATTAGAATTGATACAGATAGATCAATTGTTTTCTTTCTGCCTTTTTATGGGTTTATTTGAATGACTGGTTAATTGATCTACATGTTTGCGCAGTTGTTTTAATACAGATTGCCAGTGTCAATGAATAATGTGTTATATTTATCTTTGGTCTTCGTATTCACTTGTAGGTCAATGAAGTATGTGATAGTCACTGTTACTGCTATCCTTAAATCTTTCCAGTCTTCCTCTTTTCTTCCTCACGAGTCTCCAGATACAGAGTCCAAGGACGATTCTAACAACAAGAACATTTTTGACAGCAACTTCAGTCCTACCTCCTTTGGTTACCGAATGGTACCTGGAGGCTCTGGTTGACTTTGATAGTTTCACTATCCTGCTTAAAGTGCCTTTCCTTGGTACACGCGGAATCAAAAACGTTGAAGTATCTTGAACCAAAAATGCCATGTCGCGGTGATCTGTGGCGAACAGCAAGACAGCCAGCACTGTTGGTCGTCTTTTGACGCAATGGAAAAGGTGCTGCTTAATGGTACATATGCTTGAAGCAGTCGTCAGGCCTTTAGTGAAGGATTTTTCAGCGACACCGAAATTCTACCGGAACGATCTGAAGTGGACGGATTGAAGGAAGCGAAGTTGCCCACATAATGGGTCCTTGAGATTGCTTGTCATTAGCAGATATAGAGTTGTTTTCTGGACAGGTATCTTGCCTGTTCTTGCTTGCGTCCCTTTTGATGCATTGCTAAATGTGAGAGCCTATTTGGTACGTCTTTTCTTCGGCTTGAGCTCGAGTCAACCCTTGTTGAGATATGGGAGACTAAAAAGAGATGCTGGGACTATGCCTTGGAAAAACAACTTGCTACAAGACAGTCGTTGTGTGATTGGAGTCAGTCGGTTTAAATTGACTAGGCCATGAGGCCTACGCCCAAAGGAAATTACTACGTCCACTTGACAATCTGGTAGTTGTGGCATTCCTCATACTGCAGACATTCAATAAGTCAGAAGCATTGTTTGATCTTATTGATAATCTAACAGGATCAAACATAACGCTCATTGATCATTCCACCTCATGCTCGGACTTCAGTGTATTGACACCAAATTTGTCTGCTAACAGGATTGTGCAGCATTTATGATCAAACAATCTGAATACACGCGTGAAGCTATATACATGCTAACAAAATCAACCGTTGTTCCTTGTTGTCGTCACTTCGGGGGTGCGACTGGTCAAAAGACGATGGATGGTCAGTAGCTCGCTTCCTTGGGAGTTGCTTGGCTGGAGAGACTTGCTCATCATTATGCAGGTCAATAACATACAATTCCCTAACGAAACTTGAGAGAGATCATTCGATACGAATGACCTTTTCTTTTCTTTTCTTATGTGCCACTTTCGACGGATTGAAGAGACTTGATCAATCAACAACCTGCCCTGGACTCTTTGGATACTCTGGAATAGTCCAGCAGTAATGAACGCAACGCACATTATTCCATCTTATTTCGTGTTCGAGTTTCGGCACCTTGATGTCAAGGTTACTTGTCAACGGGATCAGCTTATAACTCAACCGCCCAAAAATATGTGAGGCTACATACAAACTTACATAGCTAAACAGTGCTTCTTGATAACCCTGTGTAAGTATATTTCTCAGCACTCCACCTGAAGCTTGTTTGCAGATTTCCTGGCCCGGGAGTCAGAGTTGGCGGCTATTCGAGAGCAGCTTAGTCCCAGACGGTTTCCCTCCCCGGAAATCGATCAAGACCATGATCATATCAGCTAAAACTTGGTGTCTCAGGAGACCTATCGAGCAAAGACACTAGAAATCATTTCTTCTTGCCTACCTGTTAGAGAAGGTTACATTACAAGGACAAAAAAAAAAAAAAAAAAAAAAAGCCAGCTAGGCATTTGCAAGGGGCCTGGAGATACCCTTAATCACCCATGATAGAGCTGGCCGTTTTAAGCCTCGACTACAATAATGTGCTCGTTTTACAAGGCTTCCACACATTTCTGGTAGCTGGACCAGCCCCGCGGAATTTCAGTGCAATGGTACCCTATTAGATGGCAGGATAGGTTCGACCTCGCTGATGCATCAAAGACTGGCAATTTCAGTATTGCATATAGTGTCTCTATGAAACCCACCAATGCTTGAAAAAACGAATCATCAGCAGCACACGATGGAATCAAGTACCGTCGCCAATACGGTTTTTACGAGGCAGCACAGACATTCGCGGTGCATGCGATGCTCTGCTGGCCTTTGTCGGCTGGGCTGACACGTTGAGGTTGATCGCGAGAGCGTCAGAACGACCAGCTCGAAACAGTCAATGGAAGGAAAACGCCTTTTGGCAATAACATACACGATTTGCATCAGCTATGTCCTATTTCACATAAGGGCCGAAAACCCCGTGTAAAAAGGGATCTTCGAAGAAAGAGCAAGAAGGTCCTGTCTCCAGGTAAAATGAGCTTTATCACTTCAGGCTCGCTAAGTGAGAGGTGACAGTTGAAAAGAAAGAAGCAATATACCAGCTGAGCTTATAGACTCACCAAAGCAATTCCTCCAAATTTCAGCAGAATGGCGAGTCCTCAGCCCTGTTTCTCCAGATAGACTTTTTGGAGAGTCATCGGAGGAATGGCGTCTTTGACTTTCTTGAGTCTGAGATTTTGCTGCTTGGTTTGCGACTGAACTGAACTGACAATACCACGCTGCGAAATTCACGATGAATCGCCCGGGCAATGTTGCGGATGCGCCTGCATGGACAGCGCGTATGAATACACCGATATCCTCAGTTGCACCAGTTTCTCTAGCGTGGACGGGGTATCGCCGGGATGGGCGCTTTTATCCAAGAGGGACAAAGCAATTCACCAACAACGAGCGAGAAAAGTGGAAGCTTCTTGAGCCATGGAATGTTGCCTGAGCCATCTGGAAGCCTTGAATTACTGATGAAGGATATCGATCGGTTCAACAGCATACGACCTATGCATGTATTGTCTCAGGGCCTTTGATCCATCTCACCGATTAGCTGGGCCTGATGTACCTGCTCTTCCACTCCTCTCAATGACTGCATGCGAGCGCCAGAGGGACCTTAAATCCTCTACTCCTACTAAATGGGGGTTCAGAAAGTTTACGATGGAATGCCGACATTAGGTATCTCATCACATCCGCCTACAAGACCTACGATAATGATGATCCTTTCAATAACTCAGTGACCGGTTCTCCCATTGCATGATCTGCCTAGTCTGACGAGATGCTTTTACAACTCTCTGCCATTGACCTCGATCGAGATGATCCTACGAGGGCCCTGCTAAACTTGCTTTAATGACAGATTGACACAACTCAAGGTCAATAAGCATACCCGGTGGAATTACTCAAAATTGAGCAAGCTGTGGTGTTTCAGTGCCTTTGATTGTCAATTCAAAAAAGGTGACACGGTTTTAGCGAGAGTCCTCATGAGAAAAAAGAGCTTCGAATCTGAAGATTTCAACCTTACGCTAAGCCGCTTGAATACTAACCGTATGGTGCAACTTTCAACATGCTTCCCCTGCAAAACGACGAGTATATACAAGACCTACCCCCCTTCGCGGTGTGCCTCGTGGTAGTACTCTTCAAAATGTCTATGAGGCCGAGTAATAATCTTCCTGGCCTTTTGAAGATGAGATGAATGCTGTCAAAAGAAGATTTCTGCCAAAAAGTATTTCCGTTAGCTTTCTTGGAGAGATCAGCAGAGAGCCCTGAGAACCTTGCTAATAGGCTTTGAAAAGAGATCCACAGCTCATTCTTAACAAGAAGACGTTCACGAAAAGGCTCGGCCTTTATTCCTTGTTCCTACGGGGCTAGATACAGCCTCACATTTCTGTGAGAAGGATAAGCTGCACGCATCAGACGGGTCCTTGCAGGTTATTCTGAGCCATATCTCATCCTAGCAAACCAGCATTTTGCAAGTCACGGTTATATAGTCCACATTGGGGGGCCTTCAACTCAACCCAGAAACTTCCCTCGTTTCATTTTATAGCATCAACCCGGCTCATAGCCCACAATTTGCCCAATGTCTCAGCTATTATGTTCATTTCTATCTTATTTGACTCTGTAGCTTGTGTGACTCTCCAAAGTACATACTATCGGAGTATACTCGGCAATTTCTCTGATTGGTCAATTTGAAAGCACCTCGGCATAACATTCTCGACGCGCCAACACCTCGCTAACTATCCCAACCAACTACATAAACCATCTTCCCTCCATACAAACCAAAACCATTACAAGATACAACTACTTTATATACATCACCATGTCCACGACCACCATAACCACAATCACCTTCCCCTCCTCTCCCAGCACCTTCACCTCCAAACTCGCCTCCCCAAACACCACCAATCCCAATCCCACCCCCAACCCACCCCTCACAAAAACCCTCCACCGCATTTCCCTCCACCCAACCCTAACCCCCTACCGCCGCCGCCTCTACCGTACCCTCCTCTCCATCCCGCCCGGCCGCTGGACAACCTACTCCACTCTCTCAGGTTATCTGAACTCGTCCCCGCGCGCTGTCGGGAACGCGCTGCGCACGAATCCGTTTGCGCCGGGGGTTCCGTGTCACCGGGTTCTGGGGAGTGGGGGGAGTCTCGGGGGGTATAAGGGGTTTTGGGCTGGGCGTTCTGATGCAAATGGGAAGGGGAATGGGAAAGGGGAGGAGAAGAGGAGATTACTGGAGGAAGAGGGGGTTGTTTTTGATGGGGAGGGGAAGGCGATGGGGGTTTGTTTTGGGGGGTTTGTGGATGTTGGGGGAAAGAGTAAATAATCATATGAGATTGATTCTTCGTTACTTCGTCTACTTCTATCAATACGGTACAACGCCATCACGACCGATGCTCAACAGTCGCCACATTCTCCGAATCTTTAACACGGCCGGCCTCAGCATCAACCTCACTATTCTTCCGCGCAACGGTCTGCATGTATCCCGGGTTCTCCTCCTTAAGACGCGCAAATGTCTTCTCCGCATCCCACACCCACCATGAATCCGACGCGAAGAGCAGATCCATGTCTTCTAGTGTGCGCTGGTTGCTCTCTGGGTATAGAGCCCAGACCATGGGGATACTGATGACGTTGCAGGCGGCGAAGACGTAGAGGGTTTTTTCGCCGATGGAGTCGAACATTACGGGGCAGAGGAGGGTCTGTCGATATTAGTACTGGAGTGCTTTGTGGGAGGCAATTGGGGATGTGTAACTTACCAGCCATCCATTACCGATACTCCAACCCACAACACCCCAAGCATTACCACGAGCTCGAACGGCCAACGGGAACACCTCAGCTTGATAAATCCACGGTCCGACAAGCCAAGTCGCACCGAAGACGGCGGTGAAAATGAAAACAAACGAAGCAGCTGCGGCTCCGTAAGAGTCTGCTTTAGCAATCTCCCCTGCCGCGCGAGCATCAATACCAAGACGAGAGAAACCACCCGCGAGGAACATGGCGATTGCTTGGCCGGCGGCTCCCCACCATAATGTCCAGCGACGGCCGATTCGGTCGAGGGTGAAGACGCAGACGAGTGTTGCGAACTGAGAAGAGGTTAGATAAGCAGAGCGGATGAGTGAGGATGGTACTCTGTACATACCATGTAGAAAACATTGTTGAGACCGCTGATCCATTGGCTCTTCATTGTATCGAATCCGGCAATGCTGAAGATTGTTGGCGCATCTATTCATGTCAACTTATTTCCACTAAACGGGGCGGGGGAAAGAGAAACATACAAACTGTAACACCAGCAATCCCAACCCACTCCTGCATAATCTGCAACCAAGCCACCAACTGCACACGCCGTCCAAGATGCAACTTCCCTGGCTTATAGTCAAACAACATCCCCAGATACGAGTAATTATGTCCAACGGTATTCTCCATCTCCACAATACTCTGGATATCCTGGAACTCAGCCTCAGCGCGGATCGCATCCTCGCCAGAGCTTCCACGCAGACGGCCGAGGATATACCGTGCTTCTTGTTCGCGGTTTGCTTTTACGAGCCATCGGGGTGATTCGGGGAAGAACCAGACAGCGGCGAGGAGAACGATGAGGAAAATGAGTTGGAATGCGATGGGAAAGCGCCAGCGGAAGGCGGATTTGCCGCCGTCGATGAAGGATAGACCGCTGCACTTGTTAGTGAGATGCAATGGAGTGGGATGACAGGGGGCATACAATTCCAACCAGTATGCGAGGACGACACCGAAGATGTTGAGGGTGAACTCGATGGCAATGAACTGTCCACGGGAAGTATGGTCCGCGACTTCTGTAGCCCAGACGGGGACGATGGCATTCAGGATACCCGTACCGACACCGTTAATAAAACGCGCTGCAATTTGTCAGCTTCTCTCTCATATTCAAATCCAAAGGCTTCCATACAGCAAATCATCCACTCATGATTCATAGCCGAACACTGCAGCGCAGCACCCAGAACCGCCCACCCACAACCAACAGCAATAGTCTTAACCCTCCCAATCCGATCACCAACCCAGCCACCCAGCAGTGCACCACAAAGTGTACCCAGGTAATAAACCGATACGATCCCACCTTGTAAAAGGCTGTTAGTCACGACTGGTGTGAGCATGCCATCTTCCAATTTCGTATGTCCAAAGCCCATTAGGTCGATGTAGTTTGGGGAATTGTTGACACCGGCCATCATTCCTTGGTCGTAGCCGAAGAAGAGGATTGAGAGGGCTGCGACGCAGTTGATGCCGACGAGAAGACTGCGCTTCTCAAGTTTGTGGACGAGGTTCCATGATGGGATTAGGTCGGCCATTGTGATGTGCGTAGGAATTTGAATGTTTTTTTTTTTTTTTTTTTTTTTTTTCGCGATGGACTCAAGTAGAAAGATTTCACAATTATAAGAGCCCCTTGTTATCGTTGATACATTCCCCCAAAAAAAAAAAAAAAAACAGAAACAACAGCACGATACCTCAACTGTCCAAAATCAATGCCGGAAAAAATACAGAATAAAATCGCCGCGGGGTAACCCCAGTATTTAAACATCGGCCGGGATCAGCAAAGACACAATCACCCGGCATAAACATTGACCATGACCACGGCCGGCCATATGCCATGATGCAGAACGCCGGGGGAGTCATGAATATGCTTTACAACCGGGGAAAGCAGCCATCGAGCTGCAGAATCGGGATTTCTCCACGAGCAACGCTTCCCCACGCTAACCATCTGGGGTATTGAACCGGGCGTGGATGTGTCAAACCGGGAAAGAACTTCGGGTTTGGAGAATTTCAAAGTGGGTTTGGCCTTGGACCGTGACCACTCCGGTTTGCGGGTTTGCGGGTTTGCGGGGGAGTCAGTCCGGGGATGAAATGTCGGGGAACTAATGTTCGGAGAATTTCCGACGAGCCGAGCCGGGTAAAGTCAAGAATTAACCGGCGTGGTCGTCCATGGCTTGAAGAGTCGATAGAGTAGGCAGAATGTGAAAAGTAGAAAATAGGCAAAGTGAAGAGGTGAAACTGAGGTTGAAGTGAGATCCGGCTACTGAATACATATTCCAATTATTCATCGGCTCCGTAAAAAAAGAGACCGAGTGAGTTAATACGATGCCTCTATTAGCTCTTCAATGTATTGAGCAATTTCGTCACGTCGCTCAGCTTTTGCTTGCTCCGAAGCTTCACGTGCACCATGCTTGAGTAGCAGTTATGATATGGGACCGTCAATCTCATCCTCCACAATAAAACGAACATCCCAAATCGACGTAACCCTCACGTCCTTGCGTAGGTATCCCAAATCAGCCCTCTGATCAATCAAAAACTGGACTGCATCGCGATGGTACTCGTGCACTGCCCAAACAAAACGCAGAGGTCCATGTCAACCCCCAAGTCAAGAAGCAATTGGAGTAGTGGAACATCCCCGGTCCTTGCGGCCGCCGAAAGAACGCTATCTCCTTTATGGTTCACCATATTAAAGTCGGCACCACATTCAATAAGCAACTTCACCGTATCGGGTCGGCATTGCCTCGCTGCATGAATTAGGGGCCTCTTGCCAACTTCCCCATGTCCTTCACCGGCTGCATGTGTGAGCGGGGAGTTGTTCCGGTAAATATCCTTGAGGCCCGGTCTGGCCCCATGCGATAGCAAGAAGTATACCACGTCGATATGGCCACTATAGGCAGCCAGGGCAAGAGGAGTGTTTCCCGCGGGATTCTGGTAGTCTGGGTCAACTCCATACCCGACGGCCAGCAGCACAACGTCAAGACTACCCCGCCAGGCGGCACGAGATACGGGATGCGCCCATCTTTCAACCTGAAGTAGCTCATCTTCTTTTGTTGGGGTCAAGATATGGAGTTCATTCCGCTTGCTTCTCATGGTTCTCGCGAGATTATCAGCTTCCTTCGCCACCGGTGCGCCTAGTCGTAAAGCCCTTTCGGCCGTTTACAGCATGTCGTAAGTAGCTGCCCAGTCCAAGGCGGAAGCTTTAGGATATCGGATGTTGTAGAGGTAGAGGTCGGGATTGAACAACTTATAAAAACGCTTGCATGTCCGGACCAGCGCGTTGAAGTAGCAATGCACTAAATTTGGCCAAACAACGGCTGACTTTAGTCTCTCACAGGACGGTTAACGAGGCTGTATATTAGCTGCTCGGGGTGACTACATAAAATCCCAAATCGCAGACGATGAATTACTATTCTTAGATCAAGGATTTTATTCTCCTGTCTCGACGGTCCTTGAGGCATCGCTTGTTAAACAAAGAGACTGACAGCCGGTGGGCTATTCCACTATCCTCATATTTGAATAACACTGAACCTCTTTTTCTGGTTCTAAAGAGCCGGAATCTTGCATTAACTTTGTGTCTATGCAACTTCATATAACGAAAATAATAATACTTCTACCCCGACTACCGAAGCATCAATCGTCTAGCTGGGCTTTCGCAAGGTCAGAAGCTTCACGCACGTCAGTCTTGAGAAGAAGCTGTACCATATCATCATCCTCTACTATAGTCGAAGCACAATCCAGACAGGACATCAGCCGGCGCCTGCACATGCGCAAATATCCAAGAGGAGCCCCTTGGTCAATTAAGAACTGAACCATGTTGTGATTTACAAAGAAAACTGCAGACCACAAAGCTCCGCCGCCACAACGGTTCATATCAATTCCAATGCCAAGAAAGAACTGAAGCAGTGGGATGTCCCCGGATTCTGCAGCAGCAGAAAACGCGCTATCACCGTCTGGGCTCATAACATTTGGTTTGGCACCATTCTCAAGAAGGACATTGGTTGTCTCTAGACGACGTCGCCTTGCTGCACAAGCTAGGGGGTTGTCACGAGTTGGTTGATTGATCTCCGCGCCTTGGTCGCTCCGAAAACTTGTGCTGGTGTTCTCTTCCGACACGGCTGACCATGCCGCTGCACTCACCAAGGAGCTCGGAATCCATCTGACCCAGTAAGATCATGGCATCTCGGAAATTTCGAACCGTGGCGTTCACTTCAATTTCAACATCGTCGTCTGCCAGTGGCCCCTGTAAAGTGGCGTTGTCTTCAAAGCAAACATCCTGAAGGGTCCCTGATTGACCAACAGCTAGGTTGGAGCCTCTCACGATCGACCGCCGGCATCCTCCGTACCAGATACTGTCGCATGCATTCTGTATCCAGACTGAAAGAAGGGCTGTGCAGGTCGAAAAAGTATGACAGTCGGTTTGAAAACATTGCTTCCCCATTACCAGTAACAGTATAGAATGGTAGGTTTTCAGGATCGCGGAGGAGCATCTTTTCATAGTCCCTACTGTACATTGCTGTGTAAACGGACGTGTCGCTGCCCTTTAGTCTCTCGAGTGTAAGCCCGCCTGGAACAGTGGTCAAAGTTTAGCAGTTGACCTTGCGCAAGAGAACCCCTGGGACAGGACTAACCATTCTCAAAGGCTTCGTATGCTACTTCCAAAAGAAGTCGCAATTGGGGTCCATAGCCCAAGGTGATAAAGGAAATACTAACTGTGCTTTGGTTACTGGTTTCTGGGTAATAGAACGCCTCCTGATTAAAGCGATCCTTGGGAACTTTGGACCAGGTCTCGCGAGCTTTGCTTAGAAGGTCCCAGAATCGTTCTACATCGGTTGCCTCGCCAGGAAACCGGCATGCCATGCTAACGACAGCAATTGGTTCCATAATTTTGGTGTTGTCTAAGCTTGACATTGTTGTATTGCTGGGGTTTTTCTTTTCACTCTCTAGGAGCTGAGATGCTCACGAATTAGCAGTCATGGAGGGGGTGTACCTACATGATGGTTGATTGCATATCCCAAGTTCCACACAGCGGATCTTTACTCGTACCGTAGCGAGATCCTTCTTGGGAACTGCGACGTTAACCCGGATTCTCAGCAAAACCTCCCCCAAGCGTATATACGTGCTCTGTCGGCGGGGCTACGAGTAAGGAACTCCGATTTGTTCTGGCAAAACCAAATCTCTAACAGAGTTGTGACTAGGGGGGCACGGGAGAGATGGACCTCGTTATTACCGGACTCCATTGCGGAAGCATTACTCTGCAGCCCAAAAATAACCATCGTAGATGGCGATATCATTGCTGAGAAAATGAGTCTTTCGGATGAGATGTGGAACACCCTCGAGCAAACCGTGAACATAACCATCCATAGCGCGTCATCTATCAACCTGCTCAGTGGATTGCCAAAGATGTCTCGCTCTGTGATACAGCCAACTCTAGAGCTGGCAGAATGCTCGTTAAAGTTTCGAAACCTGGAACGCTTTGTCTATATATCAACAGCGTACTGCAACACACACTTATGGAGATTGACCGAAGCTGCCGACGTTCCCGTGCAGGAGGACATTTACCCTCTGGGACAGGAAAAGGATTCTGGGCAGCAAGCACTCGAAGCATGACATGAGGTGCAAACAAAGGGACAAGCCACGAATACCGCTTTTACGATTTCCCCCTTTGCATATGCATACGCTAAAAACTTGACCGAACGGCTTATCACACACAAATTCAACAAGCATGACATTTCAAACAAACTGCTAATTATCAGACCATCCGTCATTGCTCCAGCCATTGAATTCCCTTATCAGGGCTTCTCTTCTCCCGCCTCGACGCCATCGACCGTCCTTGCAGCCTCTATTGTTCTGTACCCCGGTCGCCACATGGTAATTGTAGGAAGATGCCAGGACCCGTGGAAAGAAACGACCATGGACGAGGTCCCCATCGATGTGGTTGTTGATCGTCTGCTTATACATACGGCGTTTGCAACCAGCGGCTGCATCCATGCTGTTCGAGGAGAGAATGAGCGTTTTCCCTTCGAAGCCTGGTGGAAACCGCTTATGGGTGAACGCCGGATTCCCTGGAGAGTCAAGCCGGCTTGGAAGGAAGTGGACTGGCATTCTTCGAAGTTGCATCCTTCTGCGAGGATCTATAAAGTCCTAGGGGCTTCTTTTGCGTTTTCACAGGAGAGGACTCTTGAGTTGGGCGAGCGTCTTCGTGAGAAAGGAAGGGGTGATTTGCGATTGTTTGAGCCGGCGGGGGAAGTTTATTCGCTTACATCGAGGAGAGATGATATTCGCCAGATGGCGATGGCCATAGTGAAGAGGAATAAGTGGCCTAAGTGTTTGGTCAAATTGCTTTGCCGTAAAGGCAATGAGGAGCGGTACAAGTCTATATGAGACCAGCATATGGTTAAAACGTGCAATGTATACAACGCTAAACTGTTGCTGGTAATTAATGGTATTATGCCTTCTCTCATAGACTATATTTGGTTTAATCGCGCTCTGTAATCATCCCAGCAACATTTCACCACTCCATCTTCCTACTTTTAACGAAAAGATTGAACTAGAATTACATCTTCTCGCACAAAAAGCCCCGAGCCCGGATCAATCAAGACGCTTCGGGCTCACTTCCAGAGTTACAGGACTGTCGCCAATTTGCTGATCGATATCCCTGCCACGAGCCCGTGATGGTTTAAACCACCTAGTCCTGTCCCTTTCATGCAGCACTTGCAAGTGCTCCTTGCACTTAATCTTCAACCTCTGACGAGAGACCCGTCTCCAAGTAGCATGCCAAAGCGGAAAAATCTTACAAATATTCTTCAAAGCCGGACTAGCCCCATTCACGAGCAAGAAACGCACAAGCTCAAGATGGCCGCCCTGAGCGGCCAGACAAAGGGGTGTATGACCGGCTGGGTTCGGATAGTCAGGATCCACGCCATATTCCAGAAGTGCTCGGACGATGTCAAGGTGGCCATTCCTCGCTGCGGATGATATGGGTTGTTCGTAGAATTCTGGGCAGAAGTAGGGTTTCCCTGCTAATTCGGACAATGTACAGCCCAGCACGCACCGTCTTCGGCTAATGAGTCCTGTGACATGGCCGGATTTGTTATATGGTGCCCCTGCCTCTAGGGAATTTCGGACTGTGTTTCCTAAGCCTTGGTTTACAGCCCAGGACAGGGCTGAGGATTGATGGTGTCGAGTGTTGCAGCGGTATAGGAATGGATTTAGTAAGTGGAAGAGACGGAGGCAGGTTTGGGCAAGGGCGTTTATGTCTCGTTGGCATGGCGGTAGATCCTCGGCTATTATGAGTAGTATCTCATTGGGACACTTCAGCAAGGACATGGTGCTAATTCAGGCCCGATATACCAGTCAGCTTCCTAAAAGAGAAATCTGAAGTCAAAAGTTGAGCAAAATCAACATACTGGCTTTTTCTTTCGTATTCAAAAATTCTTTAACCTCTCGGAGTATAAAATGCCACATGAATGGTACTTTCCACCGGAACAAAGAATTGAAGCCTCCTCTCTTTGTCCTCTTCTTACTCCGATCTCAACCATCAGCAAACTTGCCGGAGATGTACAAAATGCATGTTCCATAAGATTCCGAAAAGGAAGGGAGAAAAATCATAAACAGAATTCAAGACGGTTGCAACAACCGCCATGACAACGTCATCGACTTCATCGACCCTCCGACGAAGCTGTATTTTCTGCCGGGCTCGTAAAATCCGATGCTCCGGAGGCCATATTTGCACGGCCTGTCGAAATCGCAATATAAATTGCGTCTATGGTCTGGAATCTCGCAAGGGTCGGCCTAGGAATATCAGAAAGGGGGTTGCTGAAGCCGGTCTTTCTTTGGAGGGAGGTATCCGGAAACATGACGATACACCTACCCCGCGCCGGGGCCAGACACTTGGGGGTGAATTAGAGCAGATGTTCGACGAGTATTTCATTCGCAAGTTGGGTTCGCGTTCGAACTTGTTTCAGAATTCTATCGCTTCCTTTCAGCGACACGCGCAACAGCAGCAGCAGTCACTCTCTTCCGATCAACAAAAGGAGAATCCCCGCTCCACGCTCAGCTATGACGGGCTTCTATCCTTCCTCGCCCATGAGATGGTCGAGATTTTGCTTCTGCGAGTCGGGCACTTAGGACGCGAGAACCCGGGTTCTGGCCAGGTAAATTTCTATATCACCTCCCTGGCTACAGACACTACCCCTGCCATGTTCGACCGGCCACAGCGAGCTAAGAATCCCATCAGTGCCCTGGGACAGCATCGGGTGATGCAACTAGTTGACATATGGTTTCTCATGCATCCTCTCTCGTCGCTGGTGTCCAAGACCCTGCTGCTCAGCGCACTCAGAGACAGGACGGTGGGCGAGGCTCTTCTGGCCATCATGCTGGCAGATGCATGTGAGGTCTTTAGCGATTCCAATATTGGACTAATGTCGTCTTCGAATGATGATCAGGATCCTAGCACACTGGTCCAATATGCGGCCGACGAGTTGAAAGCCCGTCCGCTTCCACTCCCAGAGTCAGCCACCCTGTCGACAGCACAGGTCATGATCTTCTTAGGATGGCGAGAGCTATCTCGGAGATATGCGTGGCGCGCAACTTGTTACATAAGATATATATGTCGCATCGTAGCACGCCAACATCAACAGTGGCAGAAACAGAACAGACAGGATGGCGCGAAGCTGAACGGGGTGAACATCGCTGATGTCGAAAAAGAGAAATTGCAGAACCTCTACTGGTTATGCCTGTCCAGCATCACCTGGTCGTTCATGCAAATTGACCAGCCCTTCTCGCTTCTTGGCCCCGGTGGTCTTCCTGGTTTTCCTAGTATGGATGAAACTACATCAGCCGTCCTCCGTCTCGACCAGGCCTCTGGTAACATCTCCACGCTGCATTTTCAGATCCAGACGATGCGCTGGCTGTGGCCGCTCAGTCATGTTACAAGCACTGTTGCTCATATCTACACGCTCTACCTGAATACCCACCGTAAGCTCCAGTCCGCACACCTATATATGCTTCCATGGGAGATCCGGGACATTCTTGATCAGGCCATTAAGCTGGTGGAGCGGGAGATTACCACACCCAACTCACAGTGCTTCCTGTTTACTGCTTATCACACCATTATCATTCACATGGTATTCTCCCCGGGGCAGACTACATCTTCCATTGTTGACGCGTTCTGCGAGTCCACCTCAGTCCTCCTAGAAATTGCCCAGCGCTTTCCATCCACGCTGCCATCCGGTCTAGTGCCCACCCAGAGAACATACAGTACGAACACACTAGCCCTGACACTTGACGCCTGTAGCCGTGCGTTGGTCCACATATGCAAAGAATACGAACGGCAATCTATGGACACCACGAATCAAATACGAGATAAACTCGCCGGTCTTGCAGAGCAACTGCGCGAAGTGTGCAAGGCGGATTTTATGGCACAGTGTATATCAATTGTACGACCTGTCAAAAAACGGCTCAAGCGCGTACAATTGGCTTACAAGTCCCTTGGTGACGCTTCTGCGCCGATCCTGGATGAAGATCTGAACTTTTCCCTCAACTTTGTCTCGTGGTCCGACCTGATAAATCCGGTCCTAGGAGACGATCCAGCACAATTGGAGTTTGCTGATCCGGGCTTTTTTGTTGATGATCCGGTCTGGGGCTCCTTGCTAGGGTTTCCGGGCTTTACCCAGATGGCTACTGGTATATCAACACCAGCAGATGGTTGCTGTCTGGCGGGGGAAAACGACATCAATAGTAATTTACCTTCTGGTCAAGACCTTGTCACAAACAGCTTCAATGATAATCATAATGTTGCAGAGACTGGTAATATAGATTAGAACGGAGAAAAAGTACTCGGTACACCAATGACTATGTTATTAAATCGAACCCAGAATCAAAAAGCTAACGACAAAATATCAAGTAGTAATACTAACAACCCTCCCCAACCACCCACTCCGACTCTCCTTACCCCCCTTAACCAACCTCTCAAAAACCCACCTCCCCACATCCTCCCTCGCAATCACATAGCCCACAGCCGGCTTATCCTCAACCCCAGCCTTAATCTTTTCCAGCCCATCCCCCTCGCCCTCAGTCAACAAACTAGGTCGGACAATAATATACTCGCCGACACCACGCTTCTCAACAGCCTTATTCATCTCCTCCCGAATCAGCGCCTCCATAACCTTCTTATCCTCGTGTGGCATCTTGAGCATCCAATAGTACATGGGCATCATAGCGTAAGGCAGATCCCGGCATATATCACTGATGCCCGTGGTGCTAAGCACAATCAAGGTTGGTTTCTGAGCACTGTCTGGTAATTCCGCTTCCCGTGTGGCTTCTAGAATGGTGCGGACTGCATCCTGGCAGACAGTTGGGTTGTCTAGTGTGGGTTTCAGCGGGCTGTCGAAGAGCAGCTTACCCCCAATGCCAGAGACGATAATGTCTATCATGGGGCTACCACTGCCGCCTGGTTGGATGGTTCTCTTGACGGCATCCAAGTCTGTGATTGTGCCCTCGGTCACGGAAAGATGGTCTTTGATGATAGATTCGGATATGCCGCGCTGCTGTAGGCATTCGATAAGCTTAGATTGGGAGCGAGCCACTATTAAGGATATTAGCACCTGGTCTTTCTATGCCATACAAGCATCAAAGCAACCTACAGGCAGTACAGTGATAGCCGGCTTGCAATGCGGGAGCCAGACACGAGATCGTGCTTCCGCCGGTGGCGCCGAAGAATGCGATAGATGACATGACAAGATGTGAATGGATGAATTGAATGGGGAAACGCAAACAGAATGTAAAGAGAAAGATATCTAGTTAGTAGCAGCTTGGGGGAGCTTCAGGGTTCTTATCTGAGAAAAAGTCTCCGTCTGCAGACGGAGACTTTACGTCTCGTTTCATGATGACCCTTTGATGCGCTGTAGGCTGATCAATAACTTGCCATGCCATTGGCACAAGATGGACAGTAACATCAAGCTATGGTATAAGTGATATGCCATGTTATGTCGGTGTTTTTGTCTACATCTTTTTTTAGCGGTCACGTAGGAGAGGCACGTACACATCACATTGTTCAATATAAATCGAACAATCGATTCAACATTCCATTTACTTGTCTTTCAGTTCACTTTGGGCTAATGCTTTAGTTTTAAACGGTTTGAAGGACGGATGGGTGAAAGGTAGGGGGGTGCTGGGTATTGAGAAGGACTCCGAGGTGAAAAACGTGGGAGAGTCTGATTTAGGAGAGATGTCAAGATTATTTGCATGTGTGCAGAGAGCGACCACGATTTGACAATGCATATTCTCATTATAGACATAACATGATAATGATGCGAAACAATCTAGGCCTAAAGCACCAACATAAAGCAGAGCGTAGCGGGCATTATACAGGTATTTACAACGGATAACTGAGATTGCACCATGGAGGAAACCAGACGAGATTAATGATGGTCAGAAAACACGCCCTGCTGCGCGCAAGATTTCCTACACTCCTCCAGGATACGAACCTGTTTCGCAACGTCACCAAGTCTCCCAATGACTTCCTTGTTACCATCAAGGAAAGTGAAAATAGCATATGGGATACCCGTATCCCGACAGAACTCAAGGACTAGCTTCTGCGTGCGACGGAGGTTATGCCGCGGGATACGCGGGTAGAGATGGTGGATAGCTTGAAACTGCAGACCGCCGTGGAAGAAATCCAGCCATGTCGGGCAGTCCACGTCCATGGTGGTGCGGAGCATTTTCTGGGGGAAGGACTCGTGCACGCCCAAATCAGCTGTGGACATGGCGAAGTGGGAGAGAGTGATTTGCACATGCAATGGTGAAGTGACCATGTGGGAGATTAGGATGAAGAGGACACGGCTATTCCAGTCCGGGATGGTGCGGTAAAGGACACCGTAACCGAACCAGGTCCAGAAGAAGACTTGGCCGGCGATCTCGAACCAGCGGTGCCACCAGGCTGGGCCTTTCTTGGGTGCTTGGTCGCCGAGGAGATATTGCCAGCTCAGAACGTAGAGGTTGAATCGGCCAAAGAGGAGGATGGGGTAGTAGAGGTAGTTCTGGAAGCGCAGCAGGAAGTTGGCTGCGGCGTCGAAGGTCATTACACGCTCGTAGTAAGTGCTCGTGAGACTCGTGAGGAAACGGTGCGAAATGGCGAACAATGGCATGTGTTCAATGTCGGGGTCGTGTTCAGGGGCGTTGGTGACGATGTGGTGGACATTGTGATTCCTCTTCCACCATCCCAAGCTCAATCCTCCCAGGTAATCTGCAATGATCATGCCAATCACACTGTCGACATGGAAGTGGTGAGTGATACCCATATGGCCTGCATCATGGGCACTGAAAACAAGCTGGTGCCAGAAGCAGCCCAGAAAGAAACCCGACGTCCCGTACCAGCCCAAGTGAAGGAAATAATATGACAAGCCCGCAAACAGTGTATACCGACAACATTCGATAAAGTACGAAAAGTAATTGCAGTTGTACAGCCCTTCCGCGCGAATCCGCTGATCCAGTTCGCGGTACTTCTGCCGGATACTCTCCTGGCTGGTTGTATCAAGCGACGGGTATTTGTTTATATCGAAAACAATCTCCTCCTGTGTTCTCGCATCGAGGAAAAACGGCTTCGGTTCGAATTCGTCGTCGCTACCGGGAGTGGACACGGAGGTGTTTGTGGAAGTCGACTTCCTTCGGCGAAGGGTACCTTTTCCGTCGACGGCGTCGAATACGGGAGACGGCGGCTGCGAGGTTTCCTGTCCAGAGCTGCTGTCTTCTTCAAAACACGTTTCATCGTTATACGGACGGAACTTGCCTCCCTGGATGGGAGGTAGGAAATTCAACCAGACACCTTGTACGCGGCCGATCTGGAAGGACAGCATGCGTTGTCGTGCTTCTTTCGAGTGCAGTCTGCAATTTGGAACCAATGTTAGAAACAATCACTCGTAAACTCCCAATCCTTGAAATACGCACGCATTGATCTCATCCGTCGCATCTCTCCCAACCATATGCTTAATCGACTTGTCACCTCCCGGATGGAACTTGATCCAAGCATCCACCTTGAGGACGCGATTCTCGAAGATTATAACATGCTTTTCATCTGCAATCAGGCCCTCGATATACCGTCTCGACAGTATCTGCTCCTTTTGGGATTGTATGGCGGTCTTCGCAACGTCCGCGGACTTGGCCATGGTGAATGCGGTGTAAACAATTGGGTGTCTGGGTCAGGAACCGGTGGCGTTGAATTCATGAGGACATGGTAGTCGAGTAAAGAATGGGGTATAGCCAGAGAGCAGGAATGTTGAGCCTGACTGGCATAGGAGAGAAGGAATGAAGGTCCGTCCGTGTCTTCCGTCTGCCGTCTGCGGTGGGGATGTACTGAAACAACGTGATCTTCATCACCTGATGCGGCCCGCTTTATGCGGTACAGCCTCTCTACGCAGTATATTAGAAATCGTCCGTTGGATATTACTAGTGCACACTACTGCTATTAGGGTATACGGCCTATATACTACTCGTGAACCCTTGATAATACAAATGGTATCTCATTATCATGACCAGCATGAAAGCACAGCGCTCTATATATCGGTACCCAATGTTTGTTGAAAAGCCAAAACCAACTCCAGGAAGCAACATGTTGAATCAAACTCATGTGACTGGTTTTGGCCAGCCAGGTATATCTGCAAACCATCGCGATCGGTAAATTTCATCTCCAATGTTGATATCGTTCTTGTGCCCGTTGACCACGAGGTTGGTGTGATCCCCGCGATATTTCCGCCACAGAGACTGCACATAAATGTAGGCTCCGTCCGGGGCCACGCTGAAGCTCTTCAGGTCCGACCGGGGTATTTCCTCCCACTCTCCCGCGCCGTTGTAACCATGCCGATTGCGCGAGGTTGCTTCAAATCCCGGCAAGTATTTCGCGGCGACGGCCTCGCCTTCCTCGGTAAATTCGCGGCGGTCGACGTCGAAGGCGTGTATATCGTGATCCTCAGACATGAGAAAGACTCGTCTATTCGGAACCGGGACGAGGTCGTGTGGCCCAGCCCACCAGGTATATTTCGCACCCCATTCGACCTTCTGGCCGTGTGCCACCGAAAGCTTGTATTGAACCGATTCGTCCTTCTCAAGCTCCCCCGTGGTCGCGTTGTAGGGATATGCCTGCAACGTCCCGTAGGCTGGAACGCCATCCGAACCATCCGCCGCGAAATCCGTCCCTGCCGCCCACAACATCTGTTCCGTCTCGTCCCAAATCATATTGTGAATGGCGCGAAGGCCAGTGACGTTCTGCAAGACCGGTGGATCGTCGATCAACGGGTTATCGGGGTTGGAATCATAGACAAGAATACCGTCCCATGCTTGTGAACCGGTAGTGCCTACGGCCATTCTATCCCCGGGTAACGGCTCTAGGGTATGGGCATTCCACAGAAACTCATTCTGTCTACAGACGGCCCAGGTGATGAGTTTATCGGTCGCGGGGTTATCGGGGGTGTAGTTGATGGTCAAGACGAGGTCGCTGTAGATGGCAGCGATACTGGTGCCGTTTCGCATCCACTTGAGTTCTGTCGCATCGTTGGCGGAACTCAGAAGACAGCGTTCGATACTGGGAGGGAGGGCTTGGTTGACATCGCTTCGTTCCCACGTCCATTTTATCCGGCCTCTTCGGTCGTGAATCTTCAGCAAAGGAGGGACACCGTACACGCCGGTGATAATATCCTCCCACGGGCCGTTGGCAGGAATTGATTCTTGATACTCGGGTCGTAGCCTCTGCTGAGGCTTGATGGGATTCAGAGACAAGTTCGCATATGGGTTGATAAGGAAGAAAATCCAGGCCAAAAGGCTACCGAACATGGTGAAATGAATGTTTCTCTGCTCATCCCCTTCCTTTTCGGAGACGAGAGAGGATAAGATTTTTCGGAACTGCGCGGGGAAAATAGAAGGAAGGAAATATCATACGTATGATGAAGGAACGACCAAGGCACCCGCCAAGTGCCACCATTAATTATTATTGCATATACGGTACAGAGTACGCGGAGTAGTTAGAATCCGATCCATAAAAATGCAGTAAGAAAAACGCCCAGAGCCAAGGCCCTATGCCCTGTTATGTACGGTTATACGGTTCCCCTGAACACTGTCCACTCACCCAGTGGCTCTGTAGACCTGGTTCAGACGGGATTGGCCCAATAATAGCCCATTGGCCGGTGAAGGCCAGCACGCGAGCACCTGCCACTGCCAGAGTTAAATCACGACATGCAAAGTTCCAGGAATTTTGGGGAGTTTTGCAGGAATATCAGGAATATCAGGAATATCAGCCCACTGTCTGGGCGCATTGCGTGTACTTCGGGGGCTGGTACTCGATACGGATTTTCCGAGTACGTTACTTACCAGTACGTATTGGTATGGAACTCGGAGTAACGTATGGTACCGGGGTTTCTCCGTGGTCACATGACCTTTAGCCAGACTGATACACCAATAATATAATATATCTATCGAGCGAATCATAGTGAGTATTTACCTTGGCTCACGTGAGAGATGATGATTACTCAGCATCTCCCCCGCCATACATACAGTCCAGCAAAGCAGTGCTACTTGCAAGCTATTTCAGTAAAGAGCTCATAATGGCTACTTCTAAAGACGTACGTCTCTTGCTATTTATTGGCTACCAGTACTAATGCAGATCGTACCAGGATCTCCCTTCGCTGATCCAAACATGGCTAGAATGGGACCAGGTACTACCATATCCACCAGCACCGAATCAGGAACCAAGTTAACACTGAACAGGATCCCAGCACTCGCGCCGAAATCACAAACCTCCGTGACTCCAATGCATCAGCAGAGCTCACTCAGCGCCTCAGCCAGCGTACGTCCTCTCCCAAACTAAGACTTACATCTCTAACACGAATCACAGGCATCCAATTCGGCACCGCCGGCCTCCGCGGCCGGATGGCAGCAGGATTCTCCTGCATGAACAGCCTTACCGTCATCCAAGCATCCCAGGGTCTAGCCAAGTATATCCGAGACAAGCATCCCGAGATCGCGGGCGACGGGGTGGTTATTGGCCATGATGCGCGGTATAATTCGGATAAGTTTGCCAGGTTGGCGGCGAATGCTTTTGTTGCGCTGAAGATCCCGGTTTGGTTTTATGGGGAGGAATCTGTTACGCCATTGGTGCCTTTTGGTGTGACGTATCTGCGGGCTGCCGCGGGGGTTATGGTTACGGCTAGTCATGTAAGTCATTGATTGCCCTGGGGTGTCTGGATTGGTGGGTGCTGACTTTGGTAGAATCCGGCTCAGGATAATGGTAATTCAACCTTGCTAGGTCTTAGATCTGACGGTTGCTAACAGATTATAGGCTACAAAGTGTAATGTCTATCGCTGATTATACCACACGGATTGACTAACCCTATCTAGCTATTTCAAGAACGGCGCACAGATCAACACCCCAATGGATACGGAAATCGCCCAATGCATCGAAAAAAATCAAGCCCCTTGGCCCAACGCATGGAAAGACCACCAACCAGACAAGTACCTGCGCGTCGACGCCTATCAGAAAGTGCTGGCCCAGTACCAAGGCACCGTCAGCCAATATACCGTAAGCCATCGACGTCCTCACTCAAAAAAAAAAAAAAAAAAAAAAAAAAAAAAAAAAGACTAACATTGTAGAAATCAACCATCCCCGAATGGACCCAACCAAAACCCTTCGTATACACCCCTCTGCACGGAGTAGGAGGGCTAGTGTTCCCTGACCTATGTCGTTCTATGGGCATAAATGAATTCACCCCTGTAGCTGAGCAAGTAAAGCCTGATCCAGATTTCCCTACCGTTTCATTCCCAAACCCTGAAGAAACTGGGGCTTTGGATCTTGCCATGCAGACGGCAGACAGAGAAGGCAAGAGTCTGGTTATCGCGCATGATCCGGATGCGGATCGTTTTGCTGCCGCTGAGAAAGTCAAGTAAGTGCCTAGTCCCCTTTCCGTGTGGCTCAGAACTAATATAGCAGTAACTCCTGGTTTGTATTCACAGGAAACCACCTCGGAGTCCTCCTCGCTTCGTATCTCTTCGAATCCCAAGACCCCAAAAAAAACACCGCCGTCGTAAACTCCACCGTATCCACCGGCATGCTCGAGAAAATGGCTGTGTCCAAAGGCATCCGTTTCCAAGAATCCCTAACAGGTTTTAAATGGATGGGCAACATAACTCGAACCCTCGAAGCATCAGACTACGACGTCCCCTTTGCCTTCGAGGAAGCACTGGGCTACATGTTCCCGAAAGTATGCCACGACAAAGACGGGATCACCGCGGCTATGATTTTCCTATCTGCAGAAGCGAAGTGGAGATCTCAGGGTCTTACGCTGTATACGAAGCTTCAGAAATTATTTGGGGAATTTGGATACCATGAGACGCTTAATAATTATTTTAGATCCCCGAGTCCTGATGTCACGGCAAAACTGTTCAGGGTTATCAGAGATGGTCCATACAGGACTGAGAAGAAACTGGGCTCATTCAAGATCCTGCGATGGAGGGATATGACCGAAGGATACGACTCCGGAACAAAAAACAACAAACCAACCCTCCCAGTCGACAAGGGTAGTCAAATGCTGACTTTGTGGCTGGACCGTGGTGTTCATTTCACACTTCGGGGGTCAGGGACGGAGCCAAAGGTTAAAAGTAGGTTTCTAGCTTACCCTCGAATAAACAAAACACTGACAATATCTAGTCTACATCGAAGGCTGCGGCGGATCCCGCGAAGAGGGCATAAATGCAGTCTGCGACGCCTTTCTAACTGTGTTGAAAGAATGGGTTGAGCCATTTGCTCCGTCGATGACATATAGCAAGCAGCTTCCGACGTCGTCGGGACATGTTTTTAGGGTTTATTAGCTTACTGTTGGTTATTATTGCGTACTGCATAATATAGGGCGTTAAGTGTGACAACTATCCCTGTACTAACGGCGCCATGTTTTGGCAAATATACCACGACATACGGAGTACATATTTTAAACCCGGGACATTGTGTTGTGTATCCGTGACAACCCTGGATAACCCGGGATGGTAGAGTAGGCAAATAAAGTACTTGTACTTGTACAATGTAACACAGCGGCTGTTGTGCACCATGGACCCTGGAATGCATCCTTGTGGCGCGCTTCGGGGATCTTTTCGTGTTAATAGACGGTTTTATTAAGGGATGGATATAAATATGTGTATTCAAGCGCTATTCTGATCCTCATTCTCATCTACCTACCAATTCAATCATCTGCATTCAGACACAATGGCACATTCACTCCATTACCCTCGTGTCCATCGGGGATGTGTCGCGTACGTATATCCAACCCTCTTTACTTTCTTTCCCTTCTCAAAGTCTTGCTAACTCACGTCTAGACATCCTTCCCCTCCCGTCGAAGCCTCGCCCGAAATCAACCGCCACCACAATCATCACCACGTCCACAATGCGTACCATAAACCAAACCCCAAGCCAAAGCCGAAGGCCACACCAGTCGATGCTCACCACCACTACCATCAACACCAGCATCAACACATAATGACACCACCTCCCTCCCCACCACCCGCACCCGCACCAGCAGCAGAACCAGTCCGACACCATGTGCACTACACCTATCCTATTCCTCGCAACGTGAGGCTTCCGACTCCCGTTCCTACCGATTTCGAAGAGGAAGCTGAAGAAGAAGATATCTACAAGGAAGCGAGTTATCTTCGGCATTACCATCACCACGATCACCGGCACCATCATCAGCATGCTTCACGGGCTACTATGCCCAAGACCCATCAGTGTCGCCATGGCCACCATATTCACGGGCAGTTCGCGGGTCACTGCAAGCACCAGACACACCCGAAGACCCATATGCATACGCATACGCCCACTCATGTCCATAACCATGGACCTGCTCATACTCACGCCCACGCTCATGGGCAGAAAGGGCGGTATGCGTATGGGCCTCCGTTGCCGGTGTTTGTGATGGGGTTTCCTGCGGGGGGTTATTGATTGCAACTGAGAAACTTGTGTATATGTTTTTATGTACTATTTATTTGTGTTTTTAGGTGTTTTATCTAGGCATTTATTGGTTTGGTGTGTGGAAAGGCTATGGCCATCGTCTCATATACACAGTGCAGCCAAGAAAGCACCGGTATTTCTGTCATAGCATAATAGTAAACCCACTTCACAAAGCCAGAATCGGTGGCCAAGCGGTAAGGCGTGTGATTGCAAATCACAAGATCCCGTGTTCGACCCACGGTCGGTTCTCTTTTTTGCGCTTTTTTGCCCTGGTTAGGATCGAGGTCCTGTGTTTTTTGTATTTGCTCCGTAGGGGTATCATGGAGAACGACCAGAAGCAACCTCTACCTTTCATTTCTTCGGAAATGTCTGGCTGACAGATCCGGTATTTTTTTCTGAACGAAGATGATTTGCATGCCGCTGATACATGCTCTGGATAACGAGTGGCAGCGTCGTATGTTGATTTCTCTGTTCTGGCTAGTTATATACTAACGGCGGAGGGGTAGGGCTACAACCTGACTGGGATATCACTCACCGATTAAGAGCTACCCATATACGACCCAAGCAATCCAACTATGCATCTACTCCATGAAAATGGTTTCTCGTCTGGAGAAAGATGTTTGGTTTTTGACCATATTTTTCGCCGAACTCGAAGAGCTTGAGAGCATTCCGGCTTCTTCGTTGTGACGAAAAAAAGCTTTAATCTAGATTCATTCAGACTTCACCATATCGAAAAACTTGCGATAGAAGTGGAGTCGAGGTACACTGACTACTACTCGCGTTTGTACAAAAGGAAGCCTGTGATCTTGCAGATCCCTAGGAAGTGTTCATCTTGTCAAGGTCGAATCCTCAACGACGCATTCCCTTATTTCGCAAAGACCAAACAGGATATGTATATCGTGAGAACCCTCCAGCTCAAAAGATGCGGTCTTCCAGGATGCACAGGCAGTATCAATATTTGTCCATTTGACGAGTGGCAAGATCATGTCAACCCTAATCGAGGACCCTCGCTTTGTTATCCCAACCCTAAGATGCAAGCCCTACAACAGAAGCAATCGATACTTCCTGCCGACTGAGAACTTCAAAACCATCCATTCAAATGCTTTCACAAAAGACTAGGTGAAGATTTTGGGCCCCATAGACTATCCCTCATTGCGAGGTAGGCTTCTGGGCAAATTGAGCTTTGCTAGGTACACGGGAGGCTGCGGCCCGCCAGCAGCATGCAGATTCTATTTTGAGAACTTTGGAAGAATGGAGAGAAAGGTTAGAAGTCGCGTAGATCCCAGCGAGCCCTCGGAAAGACCACGGTTTGACGATTCAAAGCCAGGAGGTTCGCATAACTAGCGGGTAACACTTACCTACATAGTGTACTCCGTACAGTAGCACCATTTCCTACTTGGGTATCTTAAAAAGATAACGTAATTCACAAGCGAGTGGGCCACACAAGCGAGTGGGCCACCTAACGCGAAATGCGTCAGTTGTATACACCATTCCTTCTTCAAACACCCACCATGCCACCAATTCATTCTTGAAGCTCTCAGAATTCAATAGAGCAGGAGGGTAGGATCTTATTAGCTATCCAGGCTATCAAGAATCAAGAAATTAGCTCTATTCGCGAAGCAGCACACCACTTTCAAGTACCTTGCTCTACCTTACAACGCTGCCTTACTGGTGATGTCTTTCACGTTGAATCACATGCCAATAACCATAAATTGTCTCAAATGGAAGAAGAATTGCTTGTACAATGGATACTCTCAATGGATTCTCATGGAGCAGCGCCTCAGCCTACTGCTGTACAAGAAATGGCTAATCTATTACTCACAGCGCGTGGATCTACCCCAGTTCAAACAGTCAGTGAGAATTGGGTTACAAACTTTGTGAAAAGGCATTCTGAGCTTTCAACCTGATTCTCAAGGCGCTATAATTACGAGCGTGCAAAGTGTGAAGACCCAAAAATCATCCAAGAGTGGTTTAATTGTGTACAACATACAATACTTCAATATGGCATTGACCCTGATGATATCTACAACTTTGATGAGACTGGTTTTGCAATGGGATTAACTGCAACTGCAAAAGTGATTACAAGGTCTGAATACTATGGTCAATGATCCCTTTTACAACCTGGAAATCATGAATGGGTCACTGCAATTGAGGCAATAAGTGTTATGGGGTTCTCGTACGAACCCAAAAGATGACAGGTTCGGCCAAGGCCAGCACGGAACGCAACCTGCAAGGGTTCTGAATCAATTATTGACGACCTTCATACGAACCCTCTGCATACAAGGACTAGCGGTGACTCCTTCGTACGACTCCTGACTTCCAAGGAAAGAGTGTCATCCCCGGATGTCCATAAAAGACTGCCTTCGCTTCTGCTCCGTTTGTTTCTTCTTCAACGATTCCTTCTTGTACGATAAAGGGTAGCTTTTAGTTAAGACAACTCAAGTTCAACCCCTAACAATAAGCATGTCAGGGTGGGCCTTGCCTCCATGCATCATTTTCAAAGGCAAGGTCTTTATTGAAGGTTGGTTTGACAACATCCCAGGTGATTGGCTCTTTGAAGTTAGCCCAAATGGATGGACTTCAGATGAAATCGGGCTTCAGTGGCTCCAAAAGCTCTTTATTCCATCAACAATCACTCATACAAAAGGGAAATATCAGCTTTTGATCCTTGACGGCCATGGTAGTCATTTGACACCAAAATTTGATGAAATTTGCAGTCAAAATGATATTATCCCAATCTGTATGCCAGCACATTCATCACATCTTTTACAGCCACTTGATATTGGCTGTTTTGCGGTATTAAAGTGATCATATGGTCAGCTTGTTGAAACCAAAATGCATCTTGGGATCAACCATATCAACAAATTAGACTTCCTTGAGGCCTACCCACATACACGAATTGAGGCTTACAAACCTGATACTATCAAAAATGGCTTTGCAGCAGCTGGTTTAGTGCCTTTTGACCCTGATCAGGTGCTTTCAAAGCTCAATATTCATCTTCATACACCAACCCCCCCTGTGAGTCAGGATAGTGATTGGGAACCAAAAACGCCTTCAAACTATGTGCAATTACAGAAGCAAGCATCCTCAATTAAAGCCTTATTAAGGCAGTGCTCAAAGAGCCCACCCAGTCCGCTTAATTCTGCAATAAATCAAGTTCCTAAAGCATGCCAAATCACTATGCAATCAGCTGCTATTCTTGAGAAAGAAGTAAGTGATTTACATGCTTTGAACGTGAAGCAGAAGCAAAAGCGTACACAGTCTAAAAGGCAGATACCCCATGAAGGCGGCCTTTCAGTTCAGGAGGCTGTTGAGCTAATTGAGGCCCTGATCGAGGCCCCAATAGCTCCAGCACCCCCCCGGCCAAGACGGCCTTCACCACCTTTACAGCCGCGTACGAGGGCTTTACCGAAGTGCGGTACCTGTGGAAATGAAGGACATAAGAGAAATGCATGTCCAGATAAACCCAGATAGCTTGTTTTGTTAATTAATTGGCGTTTTGGTAGAAATAAATGCATTTAAATACTAGATATGGGGGGTGGGTGGCCCACTCGCTTGTGAATTACGTTATATAAAATATATTATAAAAATTTTTTTTTAAAAAAAAATAGAGAGAACCGACCGTGGATCGAACACGGGATCTTGTGATTTGCAATCACACGCCTTACCGCTTGGCCACCGATTCCAGCTATGCAAAATAGCGTTTCTTTTATGCTCTAACAACAATACGCCGGTGTTTTCTTGTAAGACCGATATATGCCGAGGGAATAGGTTCCTGCACACGGTCTAATAATATTGATGCTTCGAGAACGCCCCCTGCATATGAAGCTGAACTTACCTAACTACTGACGCTGGCAGGATTATTCGCTCACAGCAGAAGGCCCTCACTTCCAGGAAACAGATTCAATCCGACACCCCCGTCTGCCGTCACTCGTTCATCTCTGTGCAACCAAAGCCGATCAACCGAAGCCGATACAGAGGGGGGCTCATCGTCGTTCTGGAGGCTACGAAGGCGCGAGCAGAGAGGAAGAGAAGTCTCAACAGGCCGCCGTCTCCCTGGCGGGTGGCCTGGTATATGTGCGGTAGGGCTCCGAATTGCCGGGCTTGCATCATGAACTGCACTCTTGCCTTTTTTTTCATTCCTATCTATGATGGAGCCGCCGGGTATACAAGTAGTGTCGCACGGAGTGTTAATTACCCAGGGCTATACCTACGCGGGAAGACCACGATTTTCTTAAGACAACACCACGCACAACAATCGTGGTCTTTTCGCCGTCACCCCGACTTACACCACATCGGATGGTTGTACCTTGTATCTTGTGCATAGGTATAGGTGTAGACGTAACAGGCCGTCAAGTATGATGATGCTAATGCTGGTGTTGGATGATACTCCCCACTTCCTTCTTCGACTTCTTCGTGCTCGTCTTCGTGCTCATCTTCCTGGACTGAGGCGACCAAACCATGTTGGCCGCGATTTGCAAGTGAGTGAGCGGACGGGTGACGGATATAGTTGACCCGGCTACATATTGATTCTGCCGGCAAATCAGGCGACAGATCCGTGTATGAGAATTCAATTCAATTCAGAGTACAGTCCGGATCTATCTAGAAATCATGACGCCGGTCAAGCAGCATGCAGCGCCATGACAGTTACCAAATACAAATCAATTGTTTTTCCCCGTTCATGACTTTGAAGACCTTCCACCAAGACTCCCCATAGCTTGCAATCTTTGGGTATCCACATTAGGAATGGCCTTGATACCCGTAGTGGATGGGCTAGGTAAGAACCCAGTGGCCACCAAGAAGGCAAGGTACCGGCCAATAGTCTCTGTGCCAACTGCAAGATCGCTCAATTCCTCTGGCGAGGCGCCAAATGCACGTAAAGAGGTAGCGGCATTGACATCATCAAGTTCTGGGGCAAGAGAGTGCGTTGGCAGATCGCCGACAACAAAGTGGAACAATGGAAGAAGTGCAAGCTCCTGCGATTCAGTGTT